TAACCTCCTCAAACCTCCTCTAACCTCTCTAACCTCCTCTAACCTCCTCTTACCTTTTCAAACCTCCTCTAACCTCCTCTAACCTCCTCTAACCTCCTCTAACCTCCACTAACCTCATCTAACCTCCTCTAATCCCTCTAACCTCTCTAACCTTCTCAAACCTCCTCTAACCTCCTCTTACCTTCTCAAACCTCCTCTAACCTCCTCTAATCCCTCTAACCTCCTCTAACCTCCTCTTACCTTTTCAAACCTCCTCTAACCTCCTCTAACCTCCTCTAACCTCCTCTAACCTCCACTAACCTCATCTAACCTCCTCTAATCCCTCTAACCTCTCTAACCTTCTCAAACCTCCTCTAACCTCCTCTTACCTTTTCAAACCTCCTCTAACCTCCTCTAACCTCCTCAAACCTCCTCTAACCTCAACTAACCTCATCTAACCTCCTCTAATCCCTCTAACCTCTCTAACCTTCTCAAATCTCCTCTAACCTCCTCTAAAGATTTGTAAAACATCGTCCTATGACCTCCCCTAATGGTTTCTTAAAGGTCATACTTTATCCTTTAACTTCCTGTAAAGGTTTGTGACATGTCAAACTTCATCCTATAACCTCCTTTAAAGGTTTGACATGTCAAACTTTATCCTATAACCTCCTGTAAAGGTTTGTGACATTCTTTAACCTCCTGTTTAAGTTTGTGACATGTCAAACTTTATCCTATAACCTCCTGTAAAGGTTTGTGACATTCTTTAACCTCCTGTTTAAGTTTGTGACATGTCAAACTTCATCCTATAACCTCCTTTAAAGGTTTGTGACATGTCAAACTTTATCCTATAACCTCCTGTAAAGGTTTGTGACGTTTTTTAACCTCTTGTTTAAGTTTGTGGCATGTCAAACTTTATCCTATAACCTTCTGTAAAGGTTTGTGACATGTCAAACTTTATCCTATAACCTCCTGTAAAGGTTTGTGACGTTTTTTAACCTCTTGTTTAAGTTTGTGACATGTCAAACTTTATCCTATAACCTCCTGTAAAGGTTTGTGACATGTCAAACTTTATCCTATAACCTCCTGTAAAGGTTTGTGACATGTCAAACTTTATCCTATAACCTCCTGTAAAGGTTTGTGACATTCTTTAACCTCCTGTTTAAGTTTGTGACATGTCAAACTTTATCCTATAACTTCCTGTAAAGGTTTGTGACGTTTTTTAACCTCTTGTTTAAGTTTGTGACATGTCAAACTTTATCCTATGACCTCCAGTTAAGGTTTGTGACTTCTCAAATTTGTGCTCTAACCTCCTCAAAAGGTTTGTTCCTGTAAATTTTGTATTCATGAATTGACAGTTTCCACGGATACACAAAGTACCAACTTTTGTACCTTTAGACAGGCTGTCTGTTTTTACTGGTTGTTCAATTTCCTTTATTTTTGGGGTTATGAATTGCAACGGTATGTAAGCCGCAGAATTTTTCACTTTTTTTTTTATCTTTTTCGATTTTATCCACATATTAGCTGCATCGGAATATAAGCTGCTTCTTTCTTACGATGTGGTGACAGTTTTGTTGACCAAAGTGCATTAATAAAACGGAGAACGGAAGGCAATTTATCAAGATCGTCAGTGAAACATTGAATATAAGTTTGCAATTTAATTATCTCCATCAGTGCCTGTACTGTTAGATATTAGTGAAGGCCCTTACATACTGACAAAATTACACAAAGCCATTCTTATCGTAAATAAGCATGAGGGTCATTCTAGAATTTGACCTGATGACCTATCGATCCGAGGATGCAATCGGCTAATGTAAACTTCCGCTATGGCTTCCAAAGCAACCATGAAAGTTCAGAAGATATTATTGTTGTTCATATTAGAAAGTATGATTAATTAAACCCATAAGAATGTCATTTTTATTTCAATCTTAAAATCATCCTGTATACGGTTGCAAATGATGGTTTGAGACGATCTATTTCAGTCACAAACATGTGAGGGACAGGTACTTGTAGAAAACTTGGAACCAACGTCTTGTGTACTGGTATCCTTGGTTTAAATCACTATTTTTATTTTCTTTCTGGAATCGTGACATGTTACAGCAACCAAAATTATCAGGGTGTGTGGTCACGGAGGTCAATAGTGCATGGGATATGCCTTGACAAAATGGTCGTTATGAAATATATACAGGTCCAGAATCGATATCTAGATAATACATTTCATTTTTTTTTCATTCATTCTAGCTTTTTTTTTTTGTCCACAAGCAGTCCTGGTATATGAGCCGCACACCCGATCGCCAAGGGAAAAATCTGTGGCTTATAATTTCGGAAAATACAGTAACCACTATGATGCTTAAAGTAAGATCATGTAATGACGTTTGACTCATAGGTATCTTGTAACTTATGTTTCGTCATTCCCTGGCTTACCATTCAGTATCCACACGTTTTTTAAGTGACATAGTTTTATAGATTTTTTGTAGAATTATCAGTGAATTGTTCATATATTTTGTGTTTCTACAGTTTACAGATGGTAAGGTTTATTTAGTGGAATATTTTGTGTTTCTACAGTTTACAGAGTGGAATATTTTGTGTTTCTACAGTTTACAGATGGTAAGGTTTATTTAGTGGAATATTTTGTGTTTCTACAGTTTACAGAGTGGAATATTTTGTGTTTCTACAGTTTACAGATGGTAAGGTTTATTTAGTGGAATATTTTGTGATTCTACAGTTTACAGATGGTAAGGTTTATTTAGTGGAATATTTGGTATTCTACAGTTTACAAATAAAATAATCAATAAAAAGGAATTATTGTATTGCTCATATTAATAATTTAGATTTGTGAACAAACTGGAGATGAATTATCAATATCTAGTTATCTGCATTTTCATTTAAAGCATTAAAAACTTGCATAGAGAAAAGCATGTATTATGTGAATCAGAGATGTCACTGTTTGGTATGAGAGATTCTTGACTTACTCCGAGGCTTGGTGCTATTTTAGGTCCGTTTGTCAGAGGCTATATGATACAATAAACACACAAAGAAACCATGACTGTTCAACAATTATCATATACTGAATTAGCTAGCTAGAAAGTGTTGGCATAACTTGGTTTAAAACCACACAACACTGACAGGTATTAGAGATTGAAGACAGTCAAACCACATAACACTGATAGATATTACAGAGATTTAGGACAGTCAAACCACATAACATTGATAGATATTACAGAGATTTAGGACAGTCAAACCACATAACACTGATAGATATTACAGAGATTTAGGACGATCAAACCACATAACATTGATAGATATTACTGAGATTTAGGACAATCAAACCACATAACACTGATAGATATTACAGAGATTTAGGACAGTCAAACCACATAACACTGATAGATATTATAGAGATTTAGGACAGGCAAACTACATAACATTGATAGATATTACAGAGATTTAGGACAGTCAAACCACATAACACTGATAGATATTATAGAGATTTAGGACAGTCAAACTACATAACATAACACTGATAGATATAACAGAGATTTAGGACAGTCAAACTACACAATATTCGATGTTACTTGGGTTATTTTGGGTTTTCACTGATCAGTTGTGGTCTGTATATGAGTGTTGATTGTTATATAAATATATGTACAAATGTATTCCCTGTGTACACTCTGGAGTCACTATATCTATGTTATAGGGTATACATGTGTTAAGTACAGATACACACATGACCTAAAAACATGTCTATGTTTAATATATAACTGTATATACACAGGAAAAACTCCTGTAACACAGGGCAATGTTAACAGTTACCTAGTCAAACATGTTTTACGAAGAAAATGCAGTGATTATATAAAATGCATAAGTTAGTAGTGCATTGCATTGTCAATTTTGTTTTCAAATCTTCAAACAAATCAAGGAACTACAAAAGATAATTGTTTGATAATCAATAAATTCAGGAAAGTTATTAAAGGGAGATGACTCTTAAGCAGCTTTCAGGTTAAACAGGCCTGTTGGCCCATTAAAGTCAGTGGGGTCAGTGATGAATCAGGTTAAACAGGCCTGTTGGCCCATTACGTCAGTGAGGTCAGCGATGAATTAGGGTAAACAGGCCTGTTGGCCCAATAAGTCAGTGAGGTCAGTGATGAATTAGGGTAAACAGGTCTGTTGGCCCATTAAGTCAGTGGGGTCAGTGATGAATTAGGGTAAACAGGTCTGTTGGCCCATTAAGTCAGAGAGGTCAGTGATGAATTAGGGTAAACAGGTCTGTTGGCCCATTAAGTCAGTGGGGTCAGTGATAAATCAGGTTAAACAGGCCTGTTGGCCCATTAAAGTCAGTGAGGTCAGTGATGAATCAGGTTAAACAGGTCTGTTGGCCCATTAAGTCAGAGAGGTCAGTGATGAATTAGGGTAAACAGGTCTGTTGGCCCATTAAGTCAGTGGGGTCAGTGATAAATCAGGTTAAACAGGTCTGTTGGCCCATTAAAGTCAGTGGGGTCAGTGATAAATCAGGTTAAACAGGCCTGTTGGCCCATTAAGTCAGTGAGGTCAGTGATGAATCAGGTTAAACAGGTCTGTTGGCCCATTAAGTCAGAGAGGTCAGTGATGAATTAGGGTAAACAGGTCTGTTGGCCCATTAAGTCAGTAGGGTCAGTGATGAATCAGGTTAAACAGGTCTGTTGGCCCATTTAAGTCAGTGGGGTCAGTGATGAATTAGGTTAAACAGGCCTGTTTGCCCATTTAAGTCAGTGGGGTCAGTGATGAATCAGGTTTGTGTGGCTGAAATGCAGGTTAAAATCTCGTCTTGTAAATATACTTGTTTGTAGAAAATCAAATTCAATTACTTACAGGACATATTATGTTTTCACATTTGCTTTCAAATAGATAATTCGTATTTTGAAAAAAATAGATATGATGAATAATATTTAAGAGCCAATTTTATATAAACGGTCCTACTACATTACTTGAAGTGAATTTGTTTATTTCTTGTTTGATTACAGATTGTTGATAGGGAGTCTGTTGCCATGGATAAAGGTGACAAGGACTCTCCGGGGTCTGGCAGAAACATTTTTGATAATGCAGCCAATATGATGGGTAAGTTTGGGGAGGTTATAAACCATGGAATAATTCAGCAAGGGTAGAAAATAAGTAAAGAATTCAGCAAGGGGAAATAATAAGTAAAGAATTCAGCAAGGGTAGAAAATAAGTTAAGAATTCAGTAAGGGGAGATAATAAGTAAAGAATTAAGCAAGGGGAGATAATAAGTAAAGTATTCAGCAAGGGGAGATAACAAGTGAAGAATTCAGCAAGAGGAGATAATAAGTAAAGAATTCAGCAAGGGGAGGAGATAATAAGTAAATAATTCAGCAAGGGGAGATAATAAGTAAAGAATTAGCAAGGGGAGATAATTAAATAAATCAACAAGGGGAGATAATAAGTAAAGAATTTAACAAGGAGAGAATATCATTGAATAAATCAGAAAGGTTAGCTAATGAGTCATTGATATGATCTCAAAGGGTAGATCAGCATTGAAGAAAAAATAAAAAAAAGGTTGAAGATAATCATGAATGTACAAAGGAAAAATGTTGAAGGATCTTCACAGGGAAATGATCAGGGGAAAAAAAATCATTATTGGTTAATGATCATGAAAAAAATCATTATGGGGAAAAGATAGGAAAAAATCATCAAGGGGAAATAATCATGGAAAAAATCATTATGGGAAAATGATAGGGGAAAAATCATTATGGGAAAATTATCAAGGAAGAAAATCCAGGAAAAGTTATCAATGGTGACAGTCATGAAAATTGTCAATTATTATAGTACAACAGCAGAATAGATGAGTGAATATTTTAACATATTGAAACTTTTCTTACTGTGTTTTACATAAATTGATTAGAGGTATGATTGTTAATGTATGTTGGGCTTACTGTAGAATGATAATTCAAAAGGAACATTTCTAGAATCACCAATGTGGAGAAACATTGATCCTATATATGGAAATATTGTTTTTTTCTTCTCAAATATATTTCATGAAGATGCATAACGCTGTTATCAGTGGGATGATAATGTTGCTAACATTTAATGTGATGTAGTTTCGGAGGCCTCTGTGCAACATTTTGATCACTTCAGTTTAGGGGAGATAACTCTCTTTTGGAAATTTGAACAGCTGGCTTGAGTAGTGTTCAAACATGAATGTGTTTTCTTAAAATGAAGTTCAAGTTTTAAATGCAAGTACCCATGCAGTGTTGGAAGTAAAACAGATTGATTGATTGGGAGTGTTTAACCGGTTTTCTTTAAATACTTCTTCAGTACAGTCATTTTATCTGGTCTTTTCCTCCATGTATTTTTTCATTGGTCTGTCTGTAAATCTCTCTTTTGTGCATATTTTGCCCGAGTTTCATGGAATCTGAGTTTGAATCAAGATTCTGTTGATATGTCAATATTTTTGTTGTTCTTCACTTTGTAGGTATGTCCCCATTTGGGTTGTCATTCGGCGCTCATTTAGCCCACATGCCACACATGCCCAGCGCGTATTCATTGCTGCAACACCATCCAGCCTTCCCAGTGTCCTCTCTGTTCAGTGGAATATCCGAGGGTGCGTTTGGTCACTTCCCCCCATCCCTCACCTCCACTGAAGGTAAGGTCAAAAGGTCAAGCAAGGCAATCTTTAACACTTTATATAGGCTCTTATTACCAAGATTGACAATTTAATATCTAATCTGGTTGTCCCACTATCAATTCACCAAAAATCTAGTTGTCCCACTTTCCAGTCACCATTAAACTGGCTGCCTCAATATTCTGCCATCACTAATCTGGTTGTCCCATTATCCAGTCATCACTAATCTGGTTGTCCCACTATCCAGTCACCACTAATCTGATTGTCCCACTATCCAGTCACCATTAATCTGATTGTCCCACTATCCAGTCACCACTAATCTGGTTTGTCTTACTATCCAGTCACCATTAATCTGGTTGTCCCACTATCCATCCATCACTAATCTGGCTGTTCCACTATCCAGTCACCACTAATCTGGTTTGTCTTACTATCAAGTCACCAGTAATCTGGTTGTCCCACTATCCAGTCACCACTAATCTGGTTTGTCTTACTATCCAGTCACCACTAATCTGGTTGTCCCACTATCCAGTCACCACTAATCTGGTTTGTCTTACTATCCAGTCACCACTAATCTGGTTTGTCTTACTATCAAGTCACCAGTAATCTTGTTGTCCCACTATCCAGTCACCACTAATCTGGTTGACCCACTTTCAAGTCACCACTAATCTGGTTGACCCACTTTCCAGTCACTACTAATCTGGTTGACCCACTATCTAGTCACCACTAATCTGGTTGACCCACTTTCCAGTTACCACAAATCTGGTTGACCCACTTTCCAGTCACCACTAATCTGGTTGACCTACTCTCCAGTTCCCACTAATCTGGTTGAACTACTGTCCAGTCCCCTGACTGTTCCAATATCCAGTCACCATTAAGCTTATAGTGCTGATATTATGTCACAGTAATCTGGTGGTCTCACTATCCAGTTGCCACTAATCTGATTTTCCCTCTCTAAATACCAATAAGTTAGGGGCTACACTTTATTACAGAGTCCTATTTTGATGACTAGATGTGTTGTTTAGTTTTGGGGCTGCATTATCACAGAATCCTCTTTCAATGACTAGATGTGTTGTTTAGTTTTGAGTCTACACTATTACAGAGTCCTATTTTGATGGCTAGATGTGTTGTTTAGTTTTGAGTCTACACTATTACAGAGTCCTATTTTGATGACTAGATGTGTTATTTATTTTAGGGGCCACACTATTACAGAGTCCTATTTTGATGACTAGATGTGTTATTTATTTTAGGGGCAACGCTATTACAGAGTCCTATTTTGATGACTAGATGTGTTATTTATTTTAGGGGCTACACTATTACAGAGTCCTATTTTGATGACCAGATGTGTTGTTTATTTTAGGGGCCACACTATTACAGAGTCCTATTTTGATGACTAGATGTGTTATTTATTTTAGGGGCAACGCTATTACAGAGTACTATTTCGATGACTAGATGTGTTGTTTATTTTAGGGGCTACGCTATTACAGAGTCCTATTTTGATGACTAGATGTGTTGTTTATTTTAGGGGCCACGCTATTACAGAGTCCTATTTTGAGTCTGAGTGCAAGTCCTAATGGGGCTCCGTTGAATATTGCAATACCTGATTCCAATAAATCTGAAACTGTTAATAATAGTAAGCAGTTGTCTCCCTTTTTAATAGTGCTTGGATGATCCCCAGTATGAGCCTGCATGATGAACATTCAACTATTTTGTGATTTGATTTTTTTATTTTCACTGACTTTTTAAAAGTATTTTTTCTTATTTATTTTCAAAGTTGGTCAATATGGTTTTTTAGTCTAATTATCTATCTCAAGAAGAAATTGACCCATCTTCATATTTTTGCATCAACAAAAAATATTACAAGGGAGGTTATTTCAATGTTGTTTTTATTCTGCATGTGTAATTTCTGAGCTTTTTTAGTGTACACATCATTTCCTTATCCTCATATATTAAGATGTGAAAGGAGAAGATAATTAGATAAATGAGATTTAATTTTGTTTTAGAGTTGGTGTTTTCCCCTTTTTATCAAGTTTTGCATGTATATTTATTTACACAGTTGTGGACTCGACTTCCCATGAATGTTTTTTAAGATGGCTTTATAGAATCATTATTTGTAGTGTTGACTTGTACAGATGGCATGTAATGATGATCATGTTGCTTTTATTGGTTATCGTTTTAATATTTTTGCAGTATTTTTATTAAAAATGTAAGATCAAGAATTGAAATTGATGAAATCTGATCTCTAGCTAATACAACCAATATTGTGCAATTTCTTTGAGAAATATGGCTTATGTATTCTGAGGTCCTGTGTAATCTGACCCATATGTTGTGTTTAATAGGACTTTATGTAAGTTTGATGTTTTAATGTTTAAAAAAGAAAACAAATCTTTTCTCTGTGTTCATATTGTTAAATCGGTGTAAAATACAGGACGGTGAATTTGTTATGTTGGTAAGTGAAATGAAGCTGAAAATGAAAGATGAAGCAATTTACTTAGTTACGTACAGTTGTTCTTTTTGTAATAGAAGGAGAAGTATTTTGTGAAATCATTTCACTGATTCAGGATAAAATTGATTATTCAGATAAGATGTATTTACTGTAGTTAAATAAAATGTAAATTCATCTTTGTATATGAACATTGTAAAACTTTTGTCTACACAGGTTCAAGTTCAAAATCATCGCCATCAAAACATTCACCAAAGTCTTCTAAATCCTCATCAAGATCATCCAAGTTATCCCGATCATCCTCGTCCAAGACGACCGTTACTAAGGCTACAACCACACTAGCAACCACCTCCACTGTTAGCACCAGCTCTAGCAGACCTTCTCCTACTACAATGGTGTCTGGGACGACAGGTGTCAGTCTGTTATCAGGAAAATTCAAGAAATCATCCAAACATTTGTCGTCCAAGACGTACACTACCTCTTTACTCACACAGAGCACCTCACCTAAAAGTTCAGCCAATGGCACCGTATCCCAGTCAGCCTCACCATCTCCCTCGGCAACCTCATCTTCATCAGCAGCTGTATCCCTATCGCCTTCAACAAAGCATAAGGAGTCGCTTAAGGTAATCAGAAAGTCTTCATGGTCATGGTTTGTAGTCATGATGGATGAAGATAATCACATTGGTTTTAAGAAATAAATAACTTTCTGCGGTATGGAATGATTGAGACATTTTAAAAAATTTCTGAATTTCTTTGAGGCCTGTGTTGCAAAAATCTTTTTAGGGTAACACCGAATCAATGAGAAGGTCGACATTTTTGGTGTTCGGAAAATTTCACCATTATAATTAGACTTGCAACAGAGCTTTGTATGAATTCTCCAGATCATCAGATGAAAAAAAAAAAAAAAATGATAAATTTTGTATGAGATCAACATCAATGTCTGCAACAAAGAAGAATTAAAAGTGATCAGTATTCTGGTTATGTAGGTCATAGGTGTGAACTGTAGTGTCTAGTAAAATCACAGCATTGGGGACCGAGAATCTTTATCCTAACTAAATGTTTCGTGATCTGCAGACATTAGAAAATGGTGCCACATTATATGAAAGTGACAATCCCTCCAACGGGTCTCTAGCAAGTCCCTGTCTCAGCAGTGACGACGACGAGGATTTCACTGGGAATGGGCGCCTTGGAAACGACAAGGATTTGGTAGGTACCAAATGATCAGTGTTAGACTTCCTACAGTCCAAAAGGTTGAGGTAACCCAGGACAGCTTACAGTATCTATAACCACCTATATATTCTTCCTTGGATGCTAATAAATTGTTTAAATGGATCTAGGAGAAATCTGTATCTGTAGTTATCATTTATTTGATCTCATTCTGAAAAGTGATAGGATTTTTCCCTAGATGTTGATCAGCTTTTTTATTTTGCCCAGGATTCCAACGATGAGGGTGGTAATGGTTCAATGGATGACAGAAACACAGGTTCACCAAATATCCACATCGATGGTACCAAGAAAAGGTTGATTGCAGACCAGATCAGACAACGTGTTCAAAACAAACCCATTCAGAACATTAAACCATCCATCATGCAACCAATGAAAAGGGGTCGGGGTCGCCCTCCCAAACATGAGCCGACACCCACTCCGCAACAATTAGAGGTCATCAAGGTACACCTCCTTATGTAAAATTTCTGACCTATTTAAAGGTAGGAATTAGTGTAAAAGAATGTGAGATTTTGGAATTCCACTTTCTTGTTAACACACTGTAAGTATGTTAACTACACTTCAAAAATGTGCTTTACGTTTTCCTTACAATAGCCAACAGCAGGATTTCATTTGACCTATATGTTCTAACTGACTCATTATTTGATTATAAATTCCAAGAATAATTTTGATAATTTACGATATGATTATTTAGCCCAATGTCCAACAACAAAATGTGTTTTTACCATTGATGAATGTTTTCTGTAATATTCTGTAATACAGGAGTATAAAAAGCAGCAGGAGTATTTGAAACGACAGCTGGAGGAAAACCTGAAACAACAACAAATGCAACTTAAGATAATGAAGCGAACCCAAGTGGAGAAAGAGAAAGAGGCTTCAGCCAAGGTACAGAAACTGCTTGAGGCCAGCGTGAAACAGGCACGGGCGAACGCTGCGGCCGGAGTTCGAGACAAGGAGGCACGTCAACGATCTGCTCTATCACCACCTTCACATGCCAAAGAGGTAGGCCAGGTATATAGACTGGTACTACAGTCCTTCTACTGACCGACACCTTTTCTGTTTAGTTATATCACACCTACCTCACCACAATTTTATTCATTTCTAGTATAAAATCGATTATTTTTTACAAAATTGGCTGTAGACTTCTCCATCGAAAGATTTTCTAGTTATAGGACTTATCAGAAAATCTAGTAAGAGAGAAATAACATGATAAATAATGATAAATTATCTGTGGTTAATTACAGGCCAGTAGTAGATCTTCCTCATCACAAGGCAATTCAACCCTGTCCCGATTAGACAAGTCTGATGTTCATCCTTCTACATCTAAGAGCAGCCCTGTGAAATCTAAACTGCAGTCTGAAGAGAGCTCTGGACTCTCGGAGGATAATGATTCTGATATGATGAATGAGAGTGATGACGAGGATGATAGTGGCATCAACGAAACTGATTCAGATGCTGAACCGAGACTCAAAATGGTCATTGACTCCGAGGGTGAATCACATGAATCTGGTCAAATGAACAAGGGATCAAAGCGCAGTGCTGAGGAAACTTCTGACAGTATGTCGTACTGTAATTTAGCCAATTATCTTTTCCTAAATTATCAGATGCATTTTTCCAGCAGATTTATCAAGCTAAATTGATCTTCAAAATTATCCTTGAGATAATAAATTTGTAAAAAACCATGAAAACTGAGTCCCATGACAATATCTTACAGTACTGCTTTTAATATTCATGTAATAAGAGTGGCTCATATTTACTGTTAAATACAGTCACTCAGCTGGTGGAGCAGGTTTCTTTGGCTCAATTGGTAAAGCTGGTTGTTTTTATGCCGGAGACCCGAGTTTGACTCCTGGCCAGGGCACTCGACACAAATGTGTATTTCCCCTGTTCAGTTACATTTATTATATGATAAAAGGAAATGTTTTCCTCAGAATGAGTATTTGATATACCTACTGATAAAAAATAGTTGTCATAAGTAAGCTTTAACAATGGTCTCTTTTTGACATTTTAAACTATTCCGTGTACCTAGTTAAAGGTAGACATGATGAAACAACATCTGCCAGAAGGTTCAGCAGGATTTATTGATCCTGTTGAAGTTTCCTACAGTTGTCGGGTAATATCTACTGTTAACTCTGATTACCATTTTTGAACTGAACTCTGTATTACATTAGGGATCAATCTCAAGACCACCAATGCTTTTCTGTCGGACTTTGATTTCATTTTCTTTGCAATAAGTGTACTTAATTGTTTTGTAGAGAATGAAACACCAATAAAACGTCCACGTGTGCAGATGGATGAGAAAGAGCTGAAGATCCCCATGGATGCTGGCTGGCGCAGACAGACTACAATTCTGGCCATTGGCAAACGTGGCTTCATTGGTGAAGTGCTTTACTTTGCTCCGTGTGGCAAGAAGATGAAGACTATTCCAGATGTGATGCGTGTAAGTGAAGAAGCATACTACATATTGTTTTTGAAATATTTTCAGATTCAATACCTGAAATTGTATCTTTAGAAACAGGAATGGATGCCATATATTGTAGTTATGATGCGATAGTAATTTTTTCTGAAAGATACACAATTTTATGTTTATGTGTTTTAAAGGAGAAAGATCTGATTTGTTGGCAGTAAGTTTGATAGATAAGATTTTTGTCCTGGATATATCATATACAATCTTTTAAATTTCAGTATGTTGATCGACACTCGATCACAGGAATGGGACGTGAGAATTTCTCCTTCAACACCAAAGTCAATGTTGGAGATTTTTATGAGACGAGACATGGTCACAATGTAAGTACTACTTAATCTACTGGAAACTTGTATAGATGATCACAATGAAATGTAAGAACTCTGTACTACAAAGTACAGTGTATACTTCTGTGAGATCCAATATGATTCAATATCAGTACACTTTAGTACAAAATCCAGTGGAGACTTCAACGTGACATGATATGATTACAATATCAGTACACTTTAGTACAAAATCCAGCGGAGACTTCGACATGAACCAATATGATTACAATATCAGCACACTTTAGTATAAAATCCAGTGGAGACTTTGACGTGACATAATATGATTCAATATCAGTACACTATAGTACAAAATCCAGTGGAGACTTCGACATGACCCGATATGATTACAATATTAGTACACTTTAGTACAAAATCCAGTGGAGACTTCGACATGACATGATATGATTGCAATATCAGCACGCTTTAGTACAAAATCCAGTGGAGACTTCAACATGACCTGATATGATTACTATATCAATACCATATATTATTCTATAAGTCAGAAATCCACATTTATGCACTTAGTTTTTATTTAATATGTAAATCTACAAAATTATCAACAATGATTCTGACAGGAAGGCTGACTGTGGAATAGAAATATGATACATAAAAAATACAGAGAATGCTGAAAAGAAACAGAAATCAGGAGAAAAAACTAAATATAAAGCAATCAGAATATTTTTAGTACGTCTTCATCAAATTGTTTACTGTTGCCTATGGTCAAGTAACTAAACAGGATACACATCAGTTTGGCCTCATATCTTGTATTCTTTACGATCCATAAAAAGTCTTCTCTTAATATGTTTTCCAAGTGAAAGCAGCAGTCATAATTAGGAAGATTCCTATTTAACAATGATATATAGTCAAAGCCTGCTTTCTAATACCTTAGAATTGTGTAATAATAATGTACATTTTTTTAATCCTTGTACCTGGCTGCCATGGTTACAGGGAGTTGTGAAGCTGACCAATGAGGAAGTGGTGGAGAGGATGGCGTTAGTTGAGAGTAAAAGACAGAAAATGCTACGATATAAACAACAACGAGGTCGCAAACGCATCGAGAAACAGAACAAACAGCTACAGTTGGCAAAGCAGATGATGGACCAGAAACTAAAACGCAAGATGGAACAGCAAGGTCTGATCTCGATTCCAAGTTAGCTGAATTTTTTACTTCAAAAATTTTATCTCGATGCCAAGTTATCATGATGTTTTACTTCAAAGGTCTGACCTTGATTTCAAGTAATCATGATGATTTACCTCATTGAAATAATCTCTGAACGCACTACAGACAAACTCAAGTTTAGCATTTATCAAAATTCTCAAGGAACAATTCATTTTGGGTATCAGGTTTACCATAGAGACAAACTTAAGTACTGAATTTTCCTTTGCTTGTTCATAGTAGAGATGGCCAAGAGAGCCTCAGAATACAAGATGCAGAAGAAGGTTGAGAAAGATCGCCAAAAGGATTTAGCTAACAAGGTCAAACAGATCAAAGGTACACTATAAATACTAATCAGATCATTTTGGCATTCCTGAAATTATTTCTCCATGTTCAAGAATCTTGTGTTTGCAAAAGAAACATTTCATTGTTCTTTGGTATGCTCCCATTTACATAAGGGGGTTGGGGGGTAGGGTTGGGGGAGGTTTGAAGGATATGTATTAAACACTGCTGTGGTCAACACCTGATTAAACTTGAGTGGTCATTGGTCAAAGCTAAATGTCTGTGGTCATCCTTGACCTTAGATTTAGATCAGAAGATTAAAGTGTTGAGGTGTGTGTACATATGAGACTGCTGAATTTTTTTTTCTTATTACATTAGAAATCAAATTTTACAACCAGATGTTGTTGGATGTCTCGATATTTCATCCTCACAAGGTTTCACATAAAAATATATATTTGTATAGGCTGATGGATTTGTACTTCACGAAAGGAAAGAACTGAATAATTTTATGAGAAGTGTGTAAGACAATTTTTTAGACAATCAGTTCCTCTCTTTAAAATGTTAATGATTACATGAAGTTAAAAAATGAAAAATATCAACATTTTAAAAATAATATTCAAAAAGTAAAATTTTACCATCAAGGAAATGAATAAAAGTAGATTTCAAGGTGACAATGATTTCTTTGATTGGTGTGTTTTAGCTTTAGAGCAGAAGAAACAGAAAGAACAACTTAACTTAATACGGGAACAGGAGAAAATGCAGAGACATGAACAGATGAGGATAGAGAGAGAGATGAGAGCACAGCAGATTCTGGAGGTTAGTAGTCAAATGGCAAGGACCTAATCTATCAGAATTGTTGCACACAGTATTAACAGTGTGAAGACTTCTGTTACACACAGTATTCTCTGTGTGAAGACTTCTGTTACACACAGTATTCTCTGTGAATACTTCTGTTACACACAGTATTCTCTGTGTGAAGACTTCTGTTACACACAGTATTCTCTGTGTGAAGACTTCTGTTACACACAGTATTCTCTGTGAAGACTTCTGTTACACACAGTTTTCTCTGTGTGAAGACTTCTGTTACGCACAGTATTCTCAGTGTGAAGACTTCTATTACAAACAGTATTCTCTGTGTGAAGACTTCTCTTACACACAGTATTCTCTGTGTGAAGACTTCTGTTACACACAGTTTTCTCTGTGTGAAGACTTTTGTTACACACTATTCTCTGTGTGAAGACTTCTGTTACACACAGTATTCTCTGTGTGAAGACTTCTGTTACGCACAGTTTTCTCTGTGTGAAGACTTCTGTTATGCACAGTTTTCTCTGTGTGAAGACTTCTGTTACGCACAGTTTTCTCTGTGTGAAGACTTCTGTTACACACAGTATTCTCTGTGTGAAGACTTGGACCAGATATTGAAATCTTTTAGCTTGCCATGAACTTTATGCCGTAGTACAACTTCCGTCATCTGTTGCCTGTCTGGCATCTGTAACTTTTGTGGTTTGATGCCTTTTTGAAATACCTGTTTTCAATTTTCCTGTCAAAACACTCACCACAGATCAGTTTGATGTATTTGAAATAATGATAATTTGGCATATTTTGACCAGGGAAATTCATTGTTGTAATGGATATAAGTCTTTTCATAGTAGAGTGTCACAGCTGCAGCTCTGAAATCATCTTGACATAATTCATCCCAGGGTTTGGATACTGTAGTGAAATAAGGTTGTGGTCTCCCTCGAAATAGAAGTAAAATGATGGTATCTTGTGAAAGACTTCACCTCAAGAATGGTTAATCGTATTTTAACTGAATCAGACAGAAGGTATCCCAGTGGTGAGATAAGGACCAATAATCCTAAAAGCTGATTCCCTTTGATATATCCAACCTCTTAAACAATAAATAAACAAACAGTGAAACAATACAGGCCCATTAGGTCTCATTTTTGTCTTTTAGGGAGAAATATTCAGCCTGTAGTTATGAGTTTTATTATTTTGTTTTAAGTCACAGTGTACATTGCATCGTTAGGAATTAAAACAGAATGTTTTACTGCCTGATTTGCCTGTGAAAGCCAAAAGCTGTTAAGGATTTTATTTTGCTTTTATGAAACATCATCTTTATTTTCAGGGTCAGATTTGTTTTCATTATTGTTAAGAACAAATCGATATTGTCAGAATTTTTCTTCTTTTTATGTTTTATTTCTATATCATTACTGAAGATTGCTGTTATGTAGAGCTGAGTAGCTGTGATTAAGTACCGAGTGATTGTGCCTTTACCTCTGAGTAAAATTAAGACAGCTAAATAAGGAACTTTCATTTAAATTTCATCTCGTTCCAAAACCCTTCAAAGATTAATATATATGTTTAAGCATATACAATTATGACATAACCTGTAACATCTGTGTACAGAGGCGGTGGGTTGGAATCTCAGTCTAAGCTTTGTATATTCCATATCTTCTGACACTGTTGCAGAAAAATAATTTCCTTAAAACTGATGATTTAAAAAATTCACGAACAAAATGCATGGTAGTTAATCATCACAGTGATAACCATCTTTGCATGTCTTATCTTTGTCAAACCATTCTAATGAAACATTATGTATACAATATATAGGATGGTGTTATTGTTGAATGTTCACACAGCGGAAAAAAGTAAATATTTTATCAGAAAAACAGATTTTATTTATCAAACTATATTATAATTGGTAGATTTTTGAATTACAGAAAAAGAGGTGAAGAGAATTGTAATTCACTAACAATCAATAATCATAACTCATGCACAAGTGAATTGTTGAGTTGTGTATCACGGTTCTAAAAGAACTATTTACTAGAGTTGTGTCTGCCGCCTGCTGAAACTTTTATACCTTATATAACATTGCAGTCCAACCTCTTGTGGTATCATATGGAGAGAGTAAGTTTGACCTCTTTACGCCCATTACATGTATCCATCCTCGCTTCAGTATAGTCCCCTCTCAAAAGTTCATCAGTAACTAGATTTGCCTTGGTTTTTTTTTTTGTCATAGTGTTAGAGTAGATCATGTCCATGATTAATTTTGGAATCAGAGTTACACAATCTTGCTAATTATTTGTGAACAACACTGTTTCATTTGACTTTGCTGAGGAAACAGTTTCAATAACAATGAACCTCTGTGTTTGTAGTAGTATTTGAAGTGGTAAATTATGTTGAAAATTTGGCAAATATTGATGTAACAATGAGCTTTTGGGAGGAAACGGTCGTCAGTAATTATTAGATGCTAATGATTCTTGCATTACGTAGCTGTATGTATTAATAGTTCTGGTCCGATACTCGTGTACTCATTCTATATATATATTTGCTTACTTCCTTTAAGCTTTTAGTAGGTGGGTTCTCTCTCATACACTTCAAGTATTTATCATGTATAATGCCTATATTTACTTATCTATTGGCCATAGTAATTCTGCTGTACACCAGATGACTGTCACTATAGCGGAGATTTATGATAACAAATCCTCTACTTCTCGTCTGTCAGGAGATGAGGGGGGAGAGGATTCTTATTAATCAGTCTTATATTCATCTGAAACAATTTTGGGGATAGATGTTGATGCATTGATCAATCAGTCTGTACAACAGAAATGTCGCTTACAGTTTTTGAGATAAAATCTGTAGGAAAAAAATAAATGGAAATTAAAGAAGAAAAGTAGAAAATAACAAAGAAGACAAAAACTTTAAAATGAAAAATTTAAAGACAATGAAAATCTAAAATTTGATATATTTTGTACAAGCTTGCTCGGATATATGTCACTATGTATTGAGGAACTCTTCACTGGCTTAGTTTTGGCAAGTGTGGCCTTGCAGGGTTGGTGTCCACTTTTTACAATCTAGGTTACTTTGCTGTCCCTGGTAGACAAAGCTAGTGGTTTATCTGTTGTATTATTTATGGGTTATATCTATCATATTGTATAGTTTTTCATGCTTTCTCACCCGATAGTCTACCTGTAGAGTCCCCGATGTTGGCTAGTATCTGCAATGCTCTGATTCATTCTGTGATAGCTCATTAGATTTTACCAAAAGTGATCCTATCAGGAAACGCTTTATTTGATTTCAACAAAGCAAGTGTATGTCAGTATTTGTTTTGTTTTAAAGCTTATAATGTGTTCAGCTCAGTACTGTTTTGTCAGTGTTTGTAATTTTGCAGTGATTTATTTCTTAGTTTTTTAAAAAAAATTTGGTTTGTTTTGTATTTTGATAAATTCACTGTTTGACATCTGGTCAATATACTGTTCATGTCTCTTTTTTATGATTTTGATAAATGTGATTTTTGTTTCAAATTTTTTCGGTATTGGCAGTTTCTCAAAATCTTATTATATTTTGTAAGAATTAGCAATATTTTTATGTTTTCATTTGTTATTTTTGAAAAAAAAATGATTGAATAAATTCTGAATTTTTTTGTTTCTTGAATTAAGAATGATTGACCTTAAATGATTTATTTCAGGAAAATTTACCCAAATTGGAAGTAATGTACAAAGAATTTTAATGTATTTGCCAAATATTAATATTGAATCAACAATTTGAACCGTGATGTGTTAAACAATTGATAAGGACACAAAACTATTTGTCCAGTTAAAATTATGGATATGCAAACTCCCTTTTTTAGTTCAACTATTAGAACAGAAATGTGTGTTTTACTGTTAACAGAATGTTGACTGTCTCCTTTGTGTTATTGAAATAAATTAGAATATTTGTCAGTAAATTTTGATAAGATTTTGTCTTTGATTGAAACATTAAGATTTAAGATCTGAACAGAAAATTTTCTATAGGAAATCAGAAAGATTTTAGTGAAACTCCTTGTAAATTTCTCCAAAGGAAGAGAAATGATACAAAAATTGTAATATTTTTTATGTATTTTAGATAAATATTTTGATGTGTTTATGGTTAAATTTTCATGAACAGCTTCTGGTTTTCACAGGCTAAGTTGTTCCTCCAGTAGAGTAAGATTATTACTACATCTTTCAACATATTTGTATCTAGAATCAGGAATTCTGAATGCTACCACAGTGATTACAACAGTATCGATGATTCCCCATGCTTGGGCACATACTGTTTGTAAAGTATCTTGTGGGAAACCTCCTGTAGTACATCTGGGGACTTCAGATATGATATCATGGGGATCCTGTAATGCCTATTAATATCTCTCCTGCTTTTTCCCTTGTGATAACTATGCACTTCTTAGTATGCCACATAGCTGTAGTAACCTTATAAAGTAATGGCTGCTGATTATATATAGAATATTGCTGGAAATCATCTGTATCATGATTCAGATTTATCTTTTATTATTAAAAATTAATCAACATCAAAAATTATTTCCCTTTATCTAATGAAAACCGGTCATGGAAACCTGGATGGACAAATGTCTTTCTTTCTTGGATCAAAATTATTGGAGGAGAAAGGTCATGGAAATATTTATGTACTTTGTATTTAGATATTTGTTATGTATTAAAAACAGTCCTGATATCATATGACAGTCATAATATGGCAGATAAATTCTACACTCAAAGTTACTTACCAAGAAACATGATTGAAACACTTGTACTAATTATAAAAAGCATGGTGCATGTTTCTCACCCACAACTTAGTACCATCTACATTTACAGTATGACTATCGCAAAAGTGAAGGAGTACAAATAATAAATGGCATAATTTCTACTGGAATTTCAAAATATATTATGTATATCAGTTTAAATTCCTAAGAAATTGAAAATGATGTTATAATATTGATTTGGTAGCATGTGTATGAAATATGCCTGTGATGATTAACAATATTTTTTTCTCCAGGAGAGAGAAATGAAGAGACAACAAGCAGTGATGTTAAAAGAACAGGTGAGATTTTTATTCATAGTCATGAGTTGTGAACTGTTGTTGTTTATTCAACAAACGATGTGTAACCCCTGGATATTGTTTCTGGGTTATTGGTCCATGTGTAACCCTGGATGTTGTTTCTGGGTTATTGGTCCATGTGTAACCCTGGATATTGTTTCTGTGTTATTGGTCCATGTATAACCCTGGATATTGTTTCTGGGTTATTGGTCCATGTGTAACCCTGGATGTTGTTTTTGGGTTATTGGTCCATGTGTAACCCTGGATATTGTTTCTGGGTATTGGTCCATGTGTAACCCTGGATATTGTTTCTGTGTTATTGGTCCATGTATAACCCTGGATATTGTTTCTGGGTATTGGTCCATGTGTAACCCTGGATATTGTTTCTGGGTATTGGTCCATTTGTAACCCTGGATACTGTTTCTGGGTATTGGTCCATGTGTAACCCTGGATATTGTTTCTGGGTATTGGTCCATGTGTAACCCTGGATATTGTTTCTGGGTTATTGGTCCTTGTGTAACCCTGGATATTGTTTCCCGGGTATTTGTCCATGTGTAACCCTGGATATTGTTTCTGGGTATTGGTCCATGTGTAACCCTGGATATTGTTTCTGTGTTATTGGTCCATGTATAACCCTGGATATTGATTCTGGGTATTGGTCCATGTGTAACCCTGGATATTGTTTCTATGTATTGGTCCATGTGTAACCCTGGATATTGTTTCTATGTTATTGGTCCATGTATAACCCTGGATATTGATTCTGGGTATTGGTCCATGTGTAACCCTGGATATTGTTTCTGGGTTATTGGTCCATGTGTACATTTGGATATTATTTCAGGACCATTGGTCCATTTGTAACTCTGGATCATTGGTCCATTTGTAACTCTGCGTCATGGGTCCATTTGTAACTCTGGGTCATTGTTCCTTGTGTGTTCCATTGTCCATTTGTAACTCCATTGGTCCATTTGTCCATTGTTCCTTGTGTAACTCTGGTCCATTGGTCCATTTGTAAATCTGGGTCATTGGTACATTTGTAACTCTGGTCCATTGTTCCATTTGTAACTCTGGTCCATTGGTCCATTTGTAACTCTGGGTCATTGTTCCTTGTGTAACTCTGGTCCATTGGTCCATTTGTAACTCTGGTCCATTGGTCCATTTGTAACTCTGGATCATTGTTCCTTGTGTAACTCTGGTCCATTGGTCCATTTGTAACTCTGGGTCATTGTTTCTTGTGTAACTCTGGTCCATTGGTCCATTTGTAACTCTGGTCCATTGGTCCATTTGTAACTCTGGGTCATTGTTCCTTGTGTAACTCTGGTCCATTGGTCCATTTGTAACTCTGGTCCATTGGTCCATTTGTAACTCTGGGTCATTGGTCCATTTGTAACTTTGGTCCATTGGTCCATTTGTAACTCTGGGTCATGGGTCCATTTGTAACTCTGGGTCATTGTTCCTTGTGTAACTCTGGTCCATTGTTCCTTGTGTAACTCTGGTCCATTGTTCCTTGTGTAACTCTGGTCCATTGGTCCATTTGTAACTCTGGTCCATTGGTCCATTTGTAACTCTGGGTCATTGGTCCATTTGTAACTCTGGTCCATTGGTCCATTTGTAACTCTGGGTCATGGGTCCATTTGTAACTCTGGGTCATTGTTCCTTGTGTAACTCTGGTCCATTGTTCCTTGTGTAACTCTGGTCCATTGTTCCTTGTGTAACTCTGGTCCATTGGTCCATTTGTAACTCTGGGTCATTGTTTCTTGTGTAACTCTGGTCCATTGGTCCATTTGTAACTCTGGTCCATTGGTCCATTTGTAACTCTGGATCATTGGTCCATTTGTAACTCTGGTCCATTGGTCCATTTGTAACTCTGGGTCATTGTTCCTTGTGTAACTCTGGTCCATTGGTCCATTTGTAACTCTGGTCCATTGGTCCATTTGTAACTCTGGGTCATTGTTCCTTGTGTAACTCTGGTCCATTGGTTCATTTGTAACTCTGGGTCATTGGTCTGTATGTAACCCTGCTGCCATGCTTGTTTATATTTACTTACTCTAACTGTGAACACCTTGTTGAAGTTAGAACAAATGGTCAGTTGTTTGTAGAATTGGAGTGACGTTATTTCATCAAGATCCTGTGTATTGTGGCCTTGCCTGTACTTTCTTTGTTTGTTTTTTAGGAGCGAGAGAGGAAGAGGCAGCACATCCTACTTGTCAAAGCTATGGAAGCCCAGAAGAAACAGGCAGTAAGTGTTTAGCATTGAACCATTTATGTCTCACACCATTTTATGGCAGCCATATATTGTTATCTATGTCTGTCCCTTCTGTCCTGTTCCATTATTTCCAGTCCTGTTCTTAATCATATCTTGAGAATCGCTCAACAGATCTGGTTCATATCTATCCCATCCTATCACAGCATTAAGTTCTGGTCATATCAAGTGTAGTGTTAGTGATATCTTAGTCTCCTTCATTATGTTCATTATAACAATGTCAATAAAACAAACAGAAAGTCACTTGTAATGTGGTAAGTACTTAATACTTTATAACTGCCTCTTACAGCTCTGTTGTCCTGGTGGAAATCCAGAACAAAATTTATAGATAAAGAATGAAAATTTTCTCATTTCTGAAGTGAATGGAAGTGGGAGGGATAATAAATAGAATGTTTCTATTAATAGAGTAAATTGTTTTATATATATAAAAAAACCTTCTGCATCTGTTTTGTTTTTTATTTTTATTTGTTTTATTTATTATTTTATGTATATCAGAGTCTGTTGAAAATTTTTTAAATTATTGATAAACTGGTTATTTCATGATTTTATTTGATATTTTTCTTCCAAAAGGAGAGAGATCGTCTGAAGGAAGAGAAGGTTGTGGAGAAAAGAATGGTTAGGGAGCGTAAGATGGTAGGTAGAGGAGAAACAATCTCTCTGATAAAATTCATGTCAACATTTCTTAGCATTCCTTGGGAAAAGATCATTAATAGATACCTGACTGTGTTTACTTCTGTCAGGTAAATAACAACACAGACACATGTCTCTGTCAGATACAGGTAAATAACAACACAGACACATGTCTCTGTCAGATACAGGTAAATAACAACACAGACACATGTCTCTGTCAGATACAGGTAAATAACAACACAGACACATGTCTCTGTCAGATACAGGTAAATAACAACACAGACACATGTCTCTGTCAGATACAGGTAAATAACAACACAGACACATGTAAAGTATGTAATAATGTGATATTTGATTTTACAAACTCATCAACAAACTATCATTTCGAAACATTAGATCACACCTAAGTGAAATGATTTCTTAAAAATGGTAAATTCACCCGAGGTAACTGTATTAAGTGCAACATTGTGACAGTACATGTCCTGAAATTTAATTCCTGCAAACTAGTCCAGAGTAGGTTAACTGTGAAATATTAGACCCATAGAATTATTTAGTCTTATTATTCAAAACTTTTCTGTGTAGGAACAAAAGCGTTGGGAACTTCAGATGGCACGAGAGCTGAAAAAACCCACAGAGGACATGGAGTTACGAGATAGTCGAGTAAGTTGTGTAAAGCTTCTCTAAGAATAGGTTTGATGTAAATTCTACTGATAAATCATTTGTATCCCTCCTGACTCAGTTTCGTGTGGGATTTATTTTCGCAATAATATGCTAATAGTGTTAATAAAAAATTCAAATCCTTGCAAGCATTTGTAAAGAAATAATTCTTGAAGACATCCATGCTGATCCATATACCGATATTTGAGTGTATATATATATAATAGTCTCGCTTTTGTGAATTTAACATCATTGCTAGATCACTGTACGCAAAATCATGTATTCGTAAATGCATCTGAAGCGACGAGCTAGCAAAATAAAGTATATGTGAATTCTAAATGATTTATGGTAAATAGATCTACATAGAGGATGAGTATCTTGTTCAGAATAGACCACAGCACTTGAAAAAAAACCCAGAATATTTGTGTTTAAAATTCATATAACTATGAATAATGATATCTTTTTGGTGCCAATACTGTATTTAGATGTCATTTGTAAATCAGATTTTTGTTTAAAGTGTCACCTCTTTATTTATATTTTTATGATAACATATTTAGTTTTAGTTTGTCTATTTTAATCAGAGATTATGACGTTTTGAAGTGAATAAGAAGTATAACTTAATGATTTTTTTTCAGCCTTTACCCGAGTTTCCACGTATACCAGGGATTCAAACAGACAGTGCTGCCTTTGCTGACATCCTTATGGTGTTGGAATTTCTCCATAACTTTGCTGACGCCTTGGGATACGGTAAGAGTCCATATTGTCAATCAGGTTTACCGTGTCAACGCTCGTAAAATTTTATTGAGAAGTGTCCACCACATCTCTGTTGCAAATCAGGTTTACCGTGTCAACGCTCGTAAAATTGTATTGAGAAGTGTCCACCACATTTCTGTTGTAAATCAGATTTACCGTAGCAACGCTCGTAATGTTTTATTGAGAAGTGTCCACCACATCTCTGTTGTAAATCAGGTTTACCCTGTCAACACTCTACTTGTAAAACTTTGGCTACATATCTATTGTAATGATTTGAGAACTGACAACAAAAACCTGACATTGCCCAACTCTGGAAGGAAGTTTGCAGAACACTAATTTTAAAACCAGTTCCATTGAAATTGAACAAATTTAAAGGATATATTCTGATTGTTCTCTAGGTCACATCAAAACTATATATTAGTTTCTTTTTTTTTTAAACTTTTTAGAAAAAGGTAAATGTTTGTCAAAGGTTCTAGGTATATTAAAGAAATATTTCTCAAATTGTTTTTCCTTGCTCATACTCTACAACTCCAAAGGTTTTTCAGATGAAAATAACTTTATATTTGATCTCTCAGTGATCATATTTACTTCTCATTGTGTCATCTCTTTGATAAGATGTGAAAAACCTGATAAGTAATTAATGATAAAGTTAATTCTGTTATTGCTGACTCTCATTTAATACCTGTTTATGACAGACAAGGACACATTGCCGTCACTGAGGGCCCTACAAGATGGTATTTTGGGTAAAACCGAAGAGGACAGCGAGGATTATGTGGCTCTTGTCTCCCACTTGCTACGATATGCCATCAGTGACCCTGGGGTTCCCAATCCTAAAGATGCTGTTACAAAGCTAGGGCAGAAAATCGTGGACATGGAAATCACAGATTCCATTGTCTCCGAGATTTTACGAATATTTGTTGTGGCAAGGAACGGTGGTAGCAATGAGGTGATTTCACTTTAGAATTTTATTGACAACAATAACATGAAGTTTATGAAAAATCTCTGCAGCGAAAAATCTACATGTATTACAATACCCACCATTGAGTCAATATCTCATGATTTAGTAAAAATTAAGAAAAAAAAACTTCATTAAATGTCAATTAAATTTTATTAAACATCAGCCGACATCTTTTGAAAACTGTTACAATCTTATTAATGATATTTGCTATGTTACAGATGAGTGAATGGTTGTCACGGTTACCTCTTGAGTCTCTTGACCATATTAGGAAAGCTGCCATTTTAGCATTTCTATGCAATGAACTGCTTTGTGGAAAGTCCATTTCTTCGTAAGTTATCCCAGTTTAACACCATTAGTTGATGAAAACAAAAGATGCCTGTTGTAAGATCAAAATTGTTTCTGATCTATCAACTTCATTTCCACATATACTTTATTTCGTTAAAATTTTCTGCTGTTTCAGTAGTAATGCTGGTACGTATGATACCTTATGATGTCTTGAGAATATGGATTTGACAGTAAAATTTCACCTAAAATCAAAATATTATTTACTAAATATAAAATATTCCTCACCTTTTAGATAAAAAAAACCCCTCAAAAAACAGAAAAAGTGATTTCTGTTCATATGAAAAAGGAAACAAAATTAAAAAAAAGAAAAACCAGAAAATATTGCTTATATGAAGAAAAGACAGCTACTAGGTCCAATATCAGTTCACAACTTATTACAGTAAAGCTTCACTTAAAATTTTTAGAGTTTGATATGTTACCCAGGATACTGTAGGAATGAAAATGATAGATAGAAAAACTGATCAGATAATGTAGCTTGGAGGCATTGACTGATTTTTTATACGATTGTTACCTCCCTGCATGTCTACAGAGAGATCGAGAAGCACTTGGACCGTATGGGGGACATTCGGCGTGACAAATGGGTTGTTGAGGGCAAGTTGCGCAGACTCCGAGTCCTACAAGCTAAAAAGTTTCATCGGCCTGTCCCAAAACCTGTCGTTGACCAAGATACCTCAACACAAGGGGGAGAGGGTGATGAATCCCAGAATACCTCAGGCAAACGTTGTAGTGATGATGATGAAGAAAAGGAAGAGGAGAGTGGTAATGAGAGTGATGATGATGCTCAGTCTGGTTGCCAGGAGACAGATGGAGATGTAAGGAATATCTCGGATAGGTTTTCAGAATTCCATAAATGAAATATTGGTACAGACAATGTTGACATTCACACCCTATACAGTGCAGTCAAAAATATTATATTACCAGTGAACAAGATCGTGGTTCATTAGCTGAGGTGCTAATTAAATTGAATATCGTTCTTTTCCTAATTTCTTTTACTTTGGCTGTTTTTGTTATATATAAGTTTATCATTGTTATAGGAGGAAGAACCACTGTCACTTGAAGAGTGTGATAAACAGATTGAAAAGTTACAAAAGGTAAGTAACTTGTGACCTAATTCAATAGAAAATAGGTAACCTATGACCTAGTTCAATAAAAGATGGGAAACCTGTGACCTAATTCAATAGAAAATAGGTAACCTATGACCTAGTTCAATAAAAGATGGGAAACCTGTGACCTAATTCAATAGAAAATAGGTAACCTATGACCTAGTTCAATAAAAAATGGAAAACTTGTGACCTAATTCAATAGAAAATAGGTAACCTATGACCTAGTTCAATAAAAGATGGGAAACCTGTGACCTAATTCAATAGAAAATAGGTAACTTATGACCTAGTTCAATAAAAAATGGAAAACTTGTGACCTAATTCAATAGAAAATAGGTAACCTATGACCTAGTTCAATAAAAGATGGGAAACCTGTGACCTAATTCAATAGAAAATAGATAACCTATGACCTAGTTTAATAAAAGAAAGGAAACCTGTGACCTAATTTAATTGGAAACCTATGACCTAGTTCAACAAAAAGTATATAACCTTTGATCTTGTTCAATGAAATGAAGGTAATCCATAACCAAGGTTAACAAAGAGTATGTAACTTATGACCTAGGTCACTGAATGGTTGGTAACCTTTGACCGGGGTCACTGAATGGTTGGTAACCTTTGACCTAGGTTACTGAATGGTTGGTAACCTTTGATGTAATTTAAAATTATGACCCCCTGCTCATGATTTGATGACAAAATACATTTAAACACATCAGTATATACAGGAGATATTCGTGTGATCAAATCTCCTGCTCACAATGTTTTAAATTATGTTTTTGTTGATTTCAGCAACATGCCCAATACCGAGCGAAAGTCTTCAAGTCTTCCCACAAACTTCGTGCAATAATGGTGGGTTCGGACCGATACCGACGTAAGTACTGGGTGCTGCCGTGTGCTGGAGGTGTGTATGTAGAAGGCCTGGAGACTGGCAAGTCAGTGGAAGATGAAGATCTGATAGAGGAAAAGAAAGATATCAAGGAAGAAAAAGTAGAGATTAAACAGGAAAGTGACAAAATAAAAGAGGAAGATAGAATGGAATGTGAAAACTCGAAATTAAATGATAATCATGTTAAAGAAGAAAAATGCATTGAAGAAAAAACGACAATCCAAACTGATGAACAAGACATTAAGAAAGAAGTTAGTGTGGTGAAATTGGAACGAAAAGAAGATCGTAATGTTTGGGACACTGTAAAGGAGGAAGGTTTGGACAGGAGCTGTTCTTTTTCTGTACCAACCAAAATGGAGATCAATGAGGAAAAGAATGGTTGTAAGTCGGAGACAGGTGATGCAGCTATTGTGACCTCGGCATTATTCCCTACCTCATGGAAAATGGACAAACACAAGCAGACAACTTGTAATGGGGAAATAACTCCTTCTACCTCAGAGTGCAATAATAAATCGGACTGTTCTGTAAAAACTTCTGGGAACATATTTCTGCAGTCCTCACCCTCCAGTAAACTCAGTGACTTGTGTAGTAACGTATCTTCTACTATATCGCCCACCAAAACTGACAGTAAAAGTGACGATTCTAAATCGGTTGTGAACAGCAGTTTACTTACCTCGCCTTCACCACTCATCACACCATATTCATCAGCACCTTCATTGTTTTTCCCCCCATTTAGTCCATCCCTCAATGGCGCCTTGGGTTCCAATCCCTCCACCTCTAGCCTGTCCCCAGGGGGATCAAGTCCCCGCCCTGCACACCAACACCACAAGAGCAGCACCCCGTCCCACACGGAGGGCAAAGCTAGCTTTCTCAGCATCGACACGCTGCTGAAAAAGGACCACTCTCATTTAACCAGTCAGAACAATCATTTCCTCCAGAGCCCTCTTTTCCCAGTTTCTCCTGATCAAATGATCAAATCATTGAGCTCCTCAGCAGATGGTAGTGAACAAAAGCCGTGGTTCAGCATCTTACCCAGAATGCCTTGTGATGACCTCAGTATGACTCAGGGAAGTTCGCCCCAGGTTGGCCTGAGCTCGAGTCCATTCTCGGGAGGGTCACCATTTTTCTCCCCCATGTCCTTGCGTGCCTTCCCCCTCCACAGCCCCTCCTTTTCCTCATTCCAGATGGGCCAACTTTACAGTCCCAATAACTACAGTGCCACCACGGCTTCCAGTAACACCAGCTGTGAGTCACCCTCAAAACTCACTGACTCTTCCTTCAAGGTGCCTCTCACACCCAAGGTCGAGGGTGATTCATGGACCTTAGGGAGCCAGCAGCAGGAATCTACAGAGGCTCTTCTCAAGGAACTTCAAGGAGAACGGCAGCCCATCCCAGAGGGTGAGATTCTTGTTTCTACTTACCGTATTTATCTGGTAACAAGTCCAGGGTGTCAGTCGATGTTTTCCCAGAGGGTGAGATCCTTGTTTCTACTTACCGTATTTATCTGTAACAAGTCCAGGGTGTCAGTCGATGTTTTCCCAGAGGGTGAGATCCTTGTTTCTACTTACCATGTTTATTGGTAACAAGTCCAGGGTGTAACAGAGGGTGAGATCCTTGTTTCTACTTACCGTATTTATCTGTAACAAGTCCAGGGTGTCAGTCGATGTTTTCCCAGAGGGTGAGATCCTTGTTTCTACTTACCGTATTTATCTGGTAACAAGTCCAGGGTGTCAGTCGATGTTTTCCCAGAGGGTGAGATCCTTGTTTCTACTTACCATGTTTATCTGGTAACAAGTCCAGGGTGTCAGTCGATGTTTTTCCAGAGGGTGAGATTCTTGTTTCTACTTACCATGTTTATCTGGTAACAAGTCCAGGGTGTCAGTCGATGTTTTCCCAGAGGGTGAGATCCTTGTTTCTACTTACCATGTTTATCTGGTAACAAGTCCAGGGTGTCAGTCGATGTTTTCCCAGAGGGTGAGATCCTTGTTTCTACTTACCATGTTTATCTGGTAACAAGTCCAGGGTGTCAGTCGATGTTTTCCCAGAGGGTGAGATCCTTGTTTCTACTTACCGTATTTATCTGGTAACAAGTCCAGGGTGTCAGTCGATGTTTTCCCAGAGGGTGAGATCCTTGTTTCTACTTACCATGTTTATCTGGTAACAAGTCCAGGGTGTCAGTCGATGTTTTCTGGTAACAAGAGGGTGAGATCAGAGGGTGAGATTGTGTTTCTACTTACCATGTTTATCTGGTAACAAGTCCAGGGTGTCAGTCGATGTTTTCCCAGAGGGTGAGATCCTTGTTTCTACTTACCATGTTTATCTTAACAAGTAGGGTGTCGATGTTTTCCCAGAGGGTGAGATCCTTGTTTCTACTTAACAAGTCCAGAGGGTGAGATCCTTGTTTCTACTTACCGTGTTTATCTGGGGTGTCAGTCGATGTTTTCCCAGAGGGTGAGATCCTTGTTTCTACTTACCATGTTTATCCAAGTCCAGGGTGTCAGTCGATGTTTTCCCAGAGGGTGAGATTATCTGGTAACAAGTCCAGGGTGTCAGTCGATGTTTTCCCAGAGGGTGAGATCCTTGTTTCTACTTACCATGTTTATCTGGTAACAAGTCCAGGGTGTCAGTCGATGTTTTCCCAGAGGGTGAGATCCTTGTTTCTACTTACCATGTTTATCTGGTAACAAGTCCAGGGTGTCAGTCGATGTTTTCCCAGAGGGTGAGATCCTTGTTTCTACTTACCATGTTTATCTGGTAACAAGTCCAGGGTGTCAGTCGATGTTTTCCCAGAGGGTGAGATCCTTGTTTCTACTTACCATGTTTATCTGGTAACAAGTCCAGGGTGTCAGTCGATGTTTTCCCAGAGGGTGAGATCCTTGTTTCTACTTACCGTATTTATCGTATTTATCTGGTAACAAGTCCAGGGTGTCAGTCGATGTTTTCCCAGAGGGTGAGATCCTTGTTTCTACTTACCATGTTTATCTGGTAACAAGTCCAGGGTGTCAGTCGATGTTTTCCCAGAGGGTGAGATCCTTGTTTCTACTTACCATGTTTATCTGGTAACAAGTCCAGGGTGTGAGATCCTTGTTTTCTTACCAGTTTATCTGGTAACAAGTCCAGGGTGATCGATGTTTTCCCAGAGGGTGAGATTCTACTTACCATGTTTATCTGGTAACAAGTCCAGGGTGTCAGTCGATGTTTTCCCAGAGGGTGAGATCCTTGTTTCTACTTACCATGTTTATCTGGTAACAAGTCCAGGGTGTCAGTCGATGTTTTCCCAGAGGGTGAGATCCTTGTTTAAGCATAACCTCTGTAATGTTTATCTGGTAACAAGTCCAGGGTGTCAGTCGATGTTTTCCCAGAGGGTGAGATCCTTGTTTCTACTTACCGTATTTATCTGGTAACAAGTCCAGGGTGTCAGTCGATGTTTTCCCAGAGGGTGAGATCCTTGTTTCTACTTACCATGTTTATCTGGTAACAAGTCCAGGGTGTCAGTCGATGTTTTCCCAGAGGGTGAGATCCTTGTTTCTACTTACCATGTTTATCTGGTAACAAGTCCAGGGTGTCAGTCGATGTTTTCCCAGAGGGTGAGATCCTTGTTTCTACTTACCATGTTTATCTGGTAACAAGTCCAGGGGTGTCGATGTTTTCCCAGAGGGTGAGATCCTTGTTTCTACTTACCATGTTTATCTGGTAACAAGTCCAGAGGGTGTTGTTTTCCCAGAGGGTGAGATCCTTGTTTCTACTTACCATGTTTATCTGGTAATGTTTTTCCAGAGGGTGAGATTCTTGTTTCTACTTACCATGTTTATCTGGTAACAAGTCCAGGGTGTCAGTCGATGTTTTCCCAGAGGGTGAGATCCTTGTTTCTACTTACCATGTTTATCTGGTAACAAGTCCAGGGTGTCATGTTTTCCCAGAGGGTGAGATGTTTTCCCTGGTAGAGGGTGAGATCCTTGTTTCTACTTACCATGTTTATCTGGTAACAAGTCCAGGGTGTCAGTCGATGTTTTCCTAGAGTTTGGTGTGGGCATATTAAAGTATAATTTATTTCATTTGGGTTTATAATTTTATTGAAGAGAAGTAAGAATTGGTGGATGGATTACCAGGCAGGGGTTACTTAGGGTACATTAATCTAGAGATGCAGATACAGCCATTGAAAGCAATAATTTCATATTTTCAAGGATGAAATGAAATCAGGATTAAAATATCTAAAAATGGAATTTCTTCATATGTTTAATAACTTTCATGAAATGTACATCCCATTTGGTAAAATAGGGAACAGTGTAACAATTGAAAAAATTCTTCACCATCTATGTATAGGAGGTTGAAGTTGATTTGTCTAAATTTTCAGAAAAGAAGAAAAGTTGGTGGCGTGTGACAGACCCAGATCAACTCAGGACCCTACAAAGGCACTGCCATCCTCGTGGAATACGCGAGAAGAATCTGCAGAAATCCTTTCAGAAATATATGGATTATGCCTGTGAATCATGTTCCAAAGGAAACAAGGAAAGTAAGTGTAACTCCACTCCAGAATTAACCATACCGGGCTAAACTGTAAAATCAGGCTCAATTTTTATGGATTTTCTTTAAAAAAATTGTGGTTGAATACAACTCAATAAGTCTGCTGATACTGATTTTAACAGTGCATAAATTTTGTTGATTTAGAGTGCCCACAAAATGGATGAAAAAAATACTCCCACGAAAATGAAAGGTTTCACAGTATAATCAATATATTGCTATGAAGTCTGTAAACAAAACCTATTAGGTGTTGTTGTAATTTGTCAGGGTGTTGGTATGTAAGCTTATAAGAGATGGCGCTGTTTGAAGGAATCAACATATTAACGAAGGCAGTGTGTATAGATATTGTTACTATTTATAAATATTGTTACTATTTATAGATATTGTTACTATTTAAATGTGAACATATTGTTTTAGTTGTATCCTTGGAATCAGACTCCGAGGAAGAGGAGGAAGACGAGGAAGAAGAAGAGGAGGAAGAAGAAGAGAAAGAAGGAGATCAGGAAAAGAAAGAAGAAACTGACAAGGACACAGAAGATGAAGAAAAATTGAAGAAAAAGAAAGCAAAGGAAGGGTCTCCGCCCCCACAGAAGGAATGGTTACCTGAAATTGCCCACCAGGTGGAGCTGTCAGTGCTAGAAGAAGTGGAGAATCTGGTGGAACGTGTCGCTTCAGCTAGTCTACAGGTCAAGGTTTGTCTTATAACTTAGGTAGTGGAGCGAGCATGCTGCACACTTTTTGTTTGATAGTCATTTGGTTTTCCTAGCTGAGTGTGGTGTCCTGCATGATCCTAACACTGAGGTATGTCAATAGGGGTTTCCTGTATATATAAAGCCAGTAGCAATTATAGGAACCTAAACACAAAGTCAAAATCACCTTAAAAACGATGGTATCGTAGACACACAGCCAATATCACCATGGTAACAAGGGTATCCTGCACATCCAAAATCACCAATCGATCAAAATCAGTATGACAGCCAATATCACAAATATTTCAAGAAGTCTTTGGTTTATCCGTAACATGTTAACTTTGATGTAGTGACAATAAGTATAGATGTGCTGATAACATCCGTGGGACATATTTACCAGGCTATAATGCTGACATACTTGGTATATCATCCTCAGATCAGAGCAACAATTCAAACTGTAGGACTTCTATAGTACCTCTGTCTAGTAACTACACATGTTGTTAAAAGTTTATGTCATAGTACACAATACAATGACGTGATCTTTTGGTGACGTCGTAATATAAATACATATGGTGGAATTACACTAGATACTGTATTGCTAATATTTGTAATTTAATGTAGATTAAACAGTAACAAATATAAATAAATGTAAATATGATATAGATGTACCCCTAAGGAACTGCCCACACGGATGTTGAATCTCATTTTCCTTGATGTAGTGAATTTAGCTTTTGGTGTTGTGAAATAAACATCTTGATGTTGTGAGATTTACTCTTAATGTTGCTAACTAATGTTTGATTTGGTGAGATAAGTCAGGATTAGTGCTTATTTTGTTTATTGTGTGTTGAATTGCTGTTTCAAAAACTAATTGTAATTCTTATCAAAAAGTTTTTCGTTGCTTTCACGTTTATTTTGTTTCCTCTTCATTGTTTAAACACTCACAGCTTGAATGTGGTGGCTTTTCAACCAAGCTCCCATTACACATATCATTGAAATTGAGCTCAAGTCAGTAAATAATTATCATTAAAACATCTTGTATTATAAAAAAACCTCTCTCTAACTTTCCACAAACTTTGAGAAGAATGTTATGACACTTGTACTGCTAAGACAGGATGTTTTGACACTTGTACTGCTAAAACAGGATGTTATGACATTTGTACTGCAAAGACAGAAAGTTATGACACTTGTACCGCAAAGACAGAAAGTTATGACACTTGTACTGCTAAGACAGAAAGTTATGACACTTGTACTGCTAAGACACAATGTTATGACAATTGTACTGCAAAGACAGAAAGTTATGACACTTGTACTGCTAAGACATATTAGTACTGTTCCCAAATTTTGAATTTATCTGACACAGAATTGTAAAGGAGATGTAGATGAGGCACTACCTGTAGTAACACCATGTCCACACTCATATACCACATTACCAGATAGGGGGACATATAACACGAAATGTTTTTAGCATTTTGAAGAGCAAAGGTCAAAATATAGGTTTAAGTGGTCTTTTTTTTCTGATGTTTACCCTTCTTTCCAGAGATGCCCTCACAAACAATTGTTGAGAAGATCACACCTAACAAACGATTGTCTTTCATGCTTATGCAGTAAACCCAAGTTCGATGTTGTGAAATAATTTTTGCATGTTTGGTAATTTGTACTAGTTTAAGAATTCTATTTGATTTCTGCACCTGTTTTATTTGTAATGTTTCTAGCCCAGTTTTAGTATTGTTTGAGTTATTTGAGCATGCTTGTAGGTAGATCAACATTGTTTGGATGAGAATCAACAGATGACTTCAAGATCAAATTGATAATTTTTTTTCACAATATTCATATTATTTTGTTAATGCTCTGAGTATTGAAAATCAATATGTTGATATTTAGTTTCAAGAAATTGTAAGTCATAAGTAATTATAATAGAATTGAAAGAAATTATTTTTTATTATCTATTATTAAATTGTCAATATTATTTATCAATATTTGCTTCTGTTTGTTGAAAATTTAGAAATGCTTTCTTAAAAATATGACATTTATCAACACAAATTCCAGTAAGATTATTTTGAGTGAAAAGTATCTTAATTGTTCCCATACTTTTACAAAAACAAATTCTAACAGGGATGGAAAGTACCGAGCCGAGTGGACGACGATGTTGACCTCACCATTGTGGACAGGACCAAGTTGGATCTCAAAGAAAATGAACGCTATCCACTTGACGCTGCTAGAGAAAAACTGTTGAGTTTAGAACCAAACATTGAACGTCGCTACATCAAACCTCCACTCACAAAGGCGTAAGTTGTCACATGATATAGAACGTCCCTGCATCAAATCTCCACTCACAAAGGCGTAAGTTGTTACATATATAGAACTTCCCCACATCAAACCTCCACTCACAAAGGGGTAAGTTGTCACATGATTTAGAATGTCCCCACATCAAACCTCCACTCACAAAGGCGTAAGTTGTCACATGATAATGAACGTCCCTACATCAAACCTCCACTCACAAAGGCGTAAGTTGTCACATAACATAGAACACATTAAATCTCTACTCGCAGGATTTTACCAAGCTGAAAAGTGTCTACATCACACCTGTTTCCTGTTGTTAGGGTATATAAGAGATTTTTCACTCCTGCCATCATAGTAAATGTTAGGGATGTTTAATTTTGTAAAAAGGTTTTGGACTTGAGTAAAGCCAGCAAATTATGTATTGTTTTTGTCTTACAGAGTAACAATTAACCTAGCAAGTCTGGCTGATCACTCAAGATCAGAACGACGGAACAGCCACACACAGGAGGAAGAGGAAGACAATGATTCTATTGACCAGGATACACCTGAGCGACCAGAGGATGTACCACCAGGTCTGGCCATGTGGCGGTCTGCAGTAGCTAAGGCAAGCTCACCGGCACAGCTGACCTTGTGTGTACATCAACTTAGCACCTCGATCTCTTGGGAAAAGTCCATCATGAAAGTGGTAGGTGGTTAAATGTTAAATGTGTACAGGTGTGAGGTTTTTTTTCAAGGTTAGCTGTAAATGATGGTTCAAAGGTCAAGTTAAAAATACTGGATCGGAGGTCAGATGTCAAGTAAAAAGACTGGGTCAGAGATCAGATGTCAAAAGTTAAGTGTTGCCTAAAACTGGGTCAAATTTTCAATGTTTAAGTTTGGTTGTAAGAAGTGTTAGGGTAGGTCAAGATGAAGACATGTGGGGTAAGATCAAAGGTCAGTGTGAAGTGTAGAATTGGGTCAAAAGTCAAATAAGTTTAAGATTAGTGTTCAGTGCAAGGTTGAGATAATGGTTGTGAGTAAAGGTTGGGTTGAAATACAACATAATTTTCTCTTTCAGCTTGATGAAGGTTGTCAGGATGATTTATCAGTACCAAATTAAAAATGGTGTCAAGGATTAAGCAAAAGAATTTTTATTGTTTCAGCTGTGTCAGATCTGTCGTAAGGATGACAATGAGGCAGAGTTGTTGCTGTGTGATGGATGTGACCAAGGTTATCACACCTACTGCTTCAAGGTATGTTATCATCATTATAGAAATAGGCCTTTCTGTGTTATCACACCTACTGCTTCAAGGTATGTTATCATCGTTATAGAAATAGGCCATTCTGTGTTATCACACCTACTGCTTCAAGGTATGTTATCATCATTATAGAAATAGGTCTTTCTGTGTTATCACACCTACTGCTTCAAGGTATGTTATCATCGTTATAGAAATAGGTCTTTCTGTGTTATCACACCTACTGCTTCAAGGTATGTTATCATCGTTATAGAAATAGGCCATTCTGTGTTATCACACCTACTGCTTCAAGGTATGTTATCATCATTATAGAAATAGGTCTTTCTGTGTTATCACACTTACTGCTTCAAGGTATGTTATCATCGTTATAGAAATAGGCCTTTCTGTGTTATCACACCTACTGCTTCAAGGTATGTTATCATCGTTATAGAAATAGGTCTTTCTGTGTTATCACACCTACTGCTTCAAGGTATGTTATCATCGTTATAGAAATAGGCCTTTCTGTGTTATCACACCTACTGCTTCAAGGTATGTTATCATCGTTATAGAAATAGGCCTTTCTGTGTTATCACACCTACTGCTTCAAGGTATGTTATCATCGTTATAGAAATAGGTCTTTCTGTGTTATCACACCTACTGCTTCAAGGTATGTTATCATCGTTATAGAAATAGGTCTTTCTGTGTTATCACACCTACTGCTTCCATATAACCTCTGGTACAAAATCCTGTTATCACTAGTTCTACTTTAATACCATCATCAGTACTGGACTTGTCACTTAAGACATCAGAGATATGAGCTACAGGCCCATGTTCTTTTATCACTAGTTCTACTTCAATGCCATCATTGCTACAGATATAAATATTTGGTTTGTTAGATGTATAGATTAGATATTTAGCCTTTCTCTTGTCTTAACTTTCATTGTTCTTTATCTATTTACAGCCTAAGATGGAGATGATACCAGATGGTGACTGGTATTGTTATGAATGCATATCTAAGGTAAGTTATTAATAAGATACAAATTGTGTCCTTTTTCTATCCCTTCAAGTTTCCACATTATCTAGTCTTTCATACAGATTTCATTTACTGGACCTTACCACACACGGACCAGGACCTGTTCTATACTGACATTTACCAATGATTGGTGGAACTTGGATCACAATGAAAATTTAATCAACCTCACCATTTCACACTGTCCAAAGCAACACAACCAACTCTGACCTTCATCCTGTCTCCATAGCAACACAAGCAGCACTGACCTTACCCTTGTCTCCATAGCAACACATTAGCACTCACCTTACCCCTGTCTCCTTAGCAACAAATCCAATTTTGACCTCATCCTGTCTTTATAGCAATACAACCAACAATGTCCTTCCAGTGTCCACAGCAACATAACCTTCCCCTCAGCAACATGGCTGATTTTGTCTCTCCCTGTTATTCAAACAACAAAGTCTGCTGTCCCTTCTATCTCTGAATATAAAGATTCCTCTTTGTGATGACCTCTAACTTGACCTTGAGCTTGTTATGACCTTTTGCCCTCTCTTCAGGCATCTGGCGTGCCCTGTTGTATTGTGTGTGGGAAGAAGACTGGCAAGATTGCCGAGTGCCATCACTGTCCTCGAGCCATACACCTCGACTGTCTTGACCCACCCCTACCTCGCATGCCCAGGAAGTGGGTGTGTCCAGCTTGTTCCTCCAATCTGGTGAGAGCTTGTGTTAAGTTTGTCGAACTTTGGAACCTACATTATATATCCAGTAATAAGCCCAGTGACTTACAGATTGAGTAAAAGTTTATTACATTGGTGTAACATCTATTGAGATATCTACTGAACATTGATAGATAGAAATGAACTAATTACCAAACATGGGCTTAATGCTTAATAAATAATAGAGTATTAAAAATTTTGACAAGTTTTTAAAGTAAAGTGTTTTTCGATCATTATGAGTTCATGAACAATTCACTGTATTGAAAAGTACGATGTAAACTACACAATGAACCAGATAATGGATGTTAGTTTGAGATATATATGTCAGATAGTGTTACTTTATGTCTACTTCTATATATCAACACCCTTTTTGGTACAGAATGGACGAAAACGAACGCGAAAAAGCCCAAAAAGTCCAAAGAAATTAGACGGGGGTAACACCACTCCAGTACATAAACGGGACTCAGAACCATCAATGAAAGCAGTGGAGACGTCGTCATCAGAAAAGAAACGAAGCAACAAAGAAAATGAGAGAAAGAAAGCTGCTGAACAGTCTGATGATATGACTTTGTGCAGGTAACTTTAGACGAGTTTCTGGAGGTCAAATGTCATCTCACACTTGGTACAAATAACTTCAGTAGTGTTTTGTGCTGGTAGCTTTAGACAAGGCTGTGGAGGTGTTTGGAAATTATCATAGAAATAACAAATGTTACACAGGAAGGTGAAACAATAGCTGTTTAGGTGATGAGATGATAAACCATGTGTTTGATGAAAGCTTCCTCACTCTGTAGATACAAAGCTTCTTCATTCTGTAGATACAAAGCTTCCTCACTCTGTGGATACAAAGCTTCTTCATTCTGTAGATACAAAGCTTCCTCACTCTGTAGATACAAAGCTTCTTCATTCTGTAGATACAAAGCTTCTGCCACTCTGTAGATACAAAGCTTCCTCACACTGTAGATACAAAGCTTCATTCTGTAGATACAAAGCTTCCTCACTCTGTGGATACAAAGCTTCCTCACTCTGTAGATACAAAGCTTCCTCACACTGTAGATACAAAGCTTCATTCTGTAGATACAAAGCTTCTTCATTCTGTTGATACAAAGCTTCTGCCACTCTGTAGATACAAAGCTTCCTCACACTGTAGATACAAAGCTTCATTCTGTAGATACAAAGCTTCCTCACTCTGTAGATACAAAGCTTCCTCACTCTGTAGATACAAGGCTTCCTCACTCTGTAGATACAAAACTTCCTCACTCTGTAGATACAAAGCTTCCTCACACTGTAGATACAAAGCTTCCTCACACTGTAGATACAAAGCTTCATTCTGTAGATACAAAGCTTCTTCATTCTGTTGATACAAAGCTTCTGCCACTCTGTAGATACAAAGCTTCCTCACTCTGTAGATACAAAGCTTCCTCACACTGTAGATACAAAGCTTCCTCACTCTGTAGATACAAAGCTTCCTCACTCTGTAGATACAAAGCTTCTGATACAAAGCTTCCTCACTCTGTAGATAGATCATTCTGTAGATACAAGCTTCCTGCTCTGTACTTCTGTAGATACAAAGCTTCCTCATTCTGTAGATACAAAGCTTCCTCACTCTGTAGATACAAAGCTTCCTCACTCTGTAGATACAAGGCTTCCTCACTCTGTAGATACAAAACTTCCTCACTCTGTAGATACAAAGCTTCATTCTGTTGATACAAAGCTTCCTCACACTGTAGATACAAAGCTTCCTCACTCTGTAGATACAAAGCTTCCTCACTCTGTAGATACAAAGCTTCATTCTGTAGATACAAAGCTTCTTCATTCTGTAGATACAAAGCTTCCTCACACTGTAGATACAAAGCTTCCTCACTCTGTAGATACAAAGCTTCCTCACACTGTAGATACAAAGCTTCCTACAAAGCTTCCTCACTCTGTAGATACAAAGCTTCCTCACTCTGTAGATACAAAGCTTCTTCACCTCTGTAGATACAAAGCTTCCTCACTCTGTAGATACAAAGCTTCCTCACTCTGTAGATACAAAGCTTCCTCTGTAGATACAAAGCTTCCTCACTCTGTAGATACAAAGCTTCCTCACTCTGTAGATACAAAGCTTCCTCACTCTGTAGATACAAAGCTTCCTCACTCTGTAGATACAAAGCTTCCTCACACTGTAGATACAAAGCTTCCTCACTCTGTAGATACAAAGCTTCCTCACTCTGTAGATACAAAGCTTCTTCACCTCTGTAGATACAAAGCTTCTTCACCTCTGTAGATACAAAGCTTCCTCACTCTGTAGATACAAAACTTCCTCACTCTGTAGATACAACTTCCTTCCTCACTCTGTAGATACAAAGCTTCCTCACTCTGTAGATACAAAGCTTCCTCACACTGTAGATACAAAGCTTCATTCTGTAGATACAAAGCTTCATTCTGTTGATACAAAGCTTCCTCACTCTGTAGATACAAAGCTTCCTCACTCTGTAGATACAAAGCTTCCTCACTCTGTAGATACAAAGCTTCCTCACTCTGTAGATACAAAGCTTCATTCTGTAGATACAAAGCTTCTTCACCTCTGTAGATACAAAGCTTCTTCACCTCTGTAGATACAAAGCTTCCTCACTCTGTAGATACAAAGCTTCCTCACTCTGTAGATACAAAGCTTCCTCACTCTGTAGATACAAAGCTTCCTCACTCTGTAGATACAAAGCTTCATTCTGTAGATACAAAGCTTCTTCACCTCTGTAGATACAAAGCTTCCTCACTCTGTAGATACAAAGCTTCCTCACTCTGTAGATACAAAGCTTCTTCACCTCTGTAGATACAAAGCTTCCTCACTCTGTAGATACAAAGCTTCTTCACCTCTGTAGATACAAAGTTGAACCACTATTTATAACATTATAGTTGCTTAATCTTCCTTCTCAAATAAACTTTATATTACGTATCTGAAGAAAGATTTTTCATTTTTATTTTAAAGTGACATGATACTGCCACATTTAACATTGTTATGATAATGACTGTTGTGATGTGATCTTTGTGACCTATCAGTTGGGAAACAGGTGCATTCTTCATAGATTTCTTTGTAATATATATAGTCCAAAGTATCGTAACACAAAGTATTCATGATCGAAGTTGGAACACATTCTAAAACTGTATTACTCCTCCCACAGGTTGGTTCTGACAGAAATGGAAAAGCATGAAGATGGTTGGCCATTCCTTAAACCTGTAAACTTCAAACAGTTCCCAACTTACCGGAAGTACATCAAACAACCCATGGACTTTAGTACAGTAAAAAACAAGCTCAGGGACTCCGTGTAAGTGTATCTCTCAATAACTCAAGGTTTATTTAAAGGTTTAGGCCATTGGTCCGTAAGTACATTACATTTATCATAGAGTATAATATATAGAGAACGATTTTCTTGTAACACAGAGTACAACATATGTATCATAATAATTTATATAAAACGTTTGGGTAATGTGGACTTAAACTAAGACAATGTATAAACTCTACTGAGGGTATTTGTGATACAGTCAAACTAAAACAATGTATAAACTCTACTCAGGGTATTTGTGATACAGTCAAACTAAAACAATGTATAAACTCTACTGAGGGTATTTGTGATACAGTCAAACTAAAACAATGTATAAACTCTACTCAGGGTATTTGTGATACAGTCAAACTAAAACAATGTATAAACTCTACTCAGGGTATTTGTGATACAGTCAAACTAAAACAATGTATAAACTCTACTCAGGGTATTTGTGATACAGTCAAACTAAAACAATGTATAAACTCTACTCAGGGTATTTGTGATACAGTCAAACTAAAACAATGTATAAACTCTACTCAGGGTATTTGTGATACAGTCAAACTAAAACAATGTATAAACTCTACTCAGGGTATTTGTGATACAGTCAAACTAAAACAATGTATAAACTCTACTCAGGGTATTTGTGATACTCAGGATAAAAGGTGTAGGTGTTCCTTACATGTTTGATTTTATCACTTTTACAGATACAAGTCAAGAGCAGAATTTGCAGCTGATTGTAGACTTATTTTTGAAAACTGTAAAACTTTTAATGAGGATGAGTCTGAAGTCGGTCGGGGAGGGCACACACTGCGGAAATTCTTTGAATCCCGATGGAAGGAACTTATTTTGCACTCATCCACAATTTCATCGAATTCTTCATCCTCATCTTCAGCAGTGTCTTCATCTCAGTCATTGACTGTTACTTCATCTAGTGCATCGTCCATATCCTCAGTGACCTCATCATCCACAGTGGCGCCACCTTTATCTGGTAGTTCTTCAGGGACTGTGTCGGGATCATCTGTATCAGAAACAAAAGCCGAAAAGGATCAATGAGTTTTTGTGTTCATTTGTGAAATATATAGCAAGTGCATTTATTATTATGGATGTCTCTTAAGCTTCATAAAATGTTTCTTCATACTTTAAAATATGAGAACTTGACAACTTTCAAACTGTAGGCAATGCAAGTTGGCTCTTAATTAATTTGTACATTAAAACAAGGTTAACATGGAACTTACTTTTGTGGGTTTCCAACCATTCTGGTGTAGTCTAAACTGGAGATGTAAGGCAGAGATATAACTGAAATATTAGCACTACCAATTATAGGTACCTGTGTAACACCTATGAATGTTGATACATGATTTCATGTTGTTCATTGAAGCCCTGTATTTGTGTAAGACATTAATTTCTATGTTAAAAAGCCTAAAAGATTTTTTGCAAATATTCCATCAAGATTAGAATCCTCTCAATCATTTTTATTTAGCAATACTTATAAATGTGAAATGGTTACAAACCTCTGATATACCCGTAAAAATGCTTTCTTGTTGTAATAAATCATTGGTTTTACCAAACCATTATTGAAAAACCAGATATAGGTCAAAGGTTCCTGACCCATGATTAAAAACTAGATAAAGGTCAAAGGTTAGTGACCCATGATTAAAAACTAGATAAAGGTCAAAGTTTTACTGAACAGTGACTGAACACCAGATAAAGGTCAAGGTTTTACTTAACCATGACTGAACACCAGATAAAGGTCAAGGTTTTACCGAACCATGACTGAACACCAGATAAAGGTCAAGGTTTTACTAAACAATGACTGAACACCAGATAAAGGTCAAGGTTTTACTTAACCATGACTGAACACCAAATAAAGGTCAAGGTTTTACCGAACCATGACTGAACACCAGATAAAGGTCAAGGTTTTACTAAACAATGACTGAACACCAGATAAAGGTCAAGGTTTTACTAAACAATGACTGAACACCAGATAAAGGTCAAGGTTTTACTAAACAATGACTGAACACCAGATAAAGGTCAAGGTTTTACTAAACAATGACTGAACACCAGATAAAGGTCAAGGTTTTACTAAACCATGACTGAACACCAGATAAAGGTCAAGGTTTTACTAAACAATGACTGAACACCAGATAAAGGTCAAGGTTTTACTAAACCATGACTGAACATCACATGTTTAGTGATTGTGCTAAATGTAACTGTACATTAGTGTGGTGATTCACCCACTCAGTATTAATATTATTGTATATGAAATTGACTAACTAAAAATGCTGAACTTGGTTGAGAGGACTCAAACTATTCAGGGTATGTAGAAATATGTTTGTGTCATGATAGTCATTCATTTGTATCTCGGTATTGTTTAAGGATTAAATGGTCACAAACATAACAGGAAATGATGATTGCTGTCTTTATGAGAAGTTTGTAGATTTCAGAAAACAAGCTGTATAGGGTGTAAATAACAGGATTGATTTAAACAGGCCTTAGGTTATTGATATTGATTTCCTTATAAAGTTAAATTCATTAATCATGGGACATAGAATTCACTGTCCAGGAGTGATTCAGTACACACACAAAAACAGGTGAAGAGTAATTTATTAATACTAAAATTACTATTAAAAGTTTAACACGAAGGTCTGTTCATTTAGATTTTAATGTATGGATAAACCCAACAATCATTGATTTTAGTCACTAAAGGTTGATTGAGGTAATGAAATATCTACTTCTAATACTAAAGATATAGTTCCCAAATATTTTTGCCAACCCTCAATTAACCTGTAATACAGAAACTAAACTAAACCTGTAATACAGTCTAACTTAATTAGACAGGTAATACAATGTAACTTAACTAGTCCTGTACTACAGTGTAACTTAACTAGTCCTGTACTACAGTGTAACTTAACTAGTCCTGTAATACAGTGTAACTTAACTAGTACAGTACTACAATGTAACCTAACTAGTCCTGTAATACAGTGTAACTTAACTAGTGCTGTAATACAGTGTAACTTAACTAGTCCTGTACTACAGTGTAACTTAACTTGTGCTGTAATACAGTGTAACTTAACTAGTCCTGTACTACAGTGTAACTTAACTAGTGCTGTAATACAGTGTAACTTAACTAGTGCTGTAATACAGTGTAACTTAACTAGTGCTGTAATACAGTGTAAAATAACTAGTCCTGTAATACAGTGTAACTTAACTAGTGCTGTAATACAGTGTAAAATAACTAGTCCTGTAATACAGTGTAACTTAACTAGTGTTGTAATACAGTGTAACTTAACTAGTGCAGTACTACAGTGTAACTTACAGTGTAACTTAACTAGTGCTGTAATACAGTGTAACTGAGCTAGTGCTGTAATACAGTGTAACTTAACTAGTACAGTACTACAGTGTAACTTACAGTGTAACTTAACTAGTGCTGTAATACAGTGTAAGTTAACTAGTACAGTACTACAGTGTAACTTAACAAGTGTTGTAATACAGTGTAACTTAACTAGTGCTGTAATACTGTGTAACTTAACTAGTGCTGTACTACAGTGTAACTTAACTAGTGCAGTACTACAGTGTAACTTAACTAGTGCTGTAATACTGTGTAACTTAACTAGTGCTGTACTACAGTGTAACTTAACTAGTGCAGTACTACAGTGTAACTTAACTAGTGCTGTAATACAGTGTAACTTAACTAGTCCTGTACAACAGTGTAACTTAACTAGTCGAGGAATGTTCCCAGATTATCACCGGGTAGAGAAACCAAGGAAGCACCCAATAACCTCCAATCCCTGAATTCAATCAAAATCTCCAGCATCCATTTTTCCCTCACCATACATCTGCCATTTCTAAATCTATCAAAATCATCAAGGACTTTGCAATGCATCATCATATTGTGCCATTCCTATAGTCAACCATCCAATTTGATTTCACCAGGTTACATTTGATTCCTTCAGAACAAAATATGTAAGACTTGTGTGTCTGTGAGTGCATGCATATGTGTGTTAGTGAGTGCATGCACACGTGAGTGAGTGTATGCACATATGTGTTAAATGTTTTTATGGAGACACCTTTGTATCTACCTGTACAACCTCTCAGGACATCAACTATCAAATAGTGGTCAGCATCAGACCATTGACCCTAAAGGTCAAGGTCACTATATCCCCTGAACGTCCACTACATTGTAAACAGTATGTATACTTTTTTTTTCTTGTAAGAAACTTTTCAGGTTTGTCGTCGTTTTTTGTGATACTTTGTATAGTTGATAACTCCTGTCCAAAGCACGTAGTGTGCGATTAATTTATTATTATAATAAAACAAATGTGTATGGATCATTAGGAATCTCACTGTAGCTCTTGCTGTATCATACTGCTTCTATTTATGTGGTCACTCGTGTGAGTCAATATATATATGTTATATATACCTTAAAAATGTGCAATGTTTTGCAAGCAACAGTGAAAAAAATAATTTCTTAATGAATAGACAAACATTTTCCTGTCTGTTGTAGAACAAAAACTGTAGCACAAAATTATTGGTCAGTGTAGTTCCACTTGTTCTGATATTGTCTTTGTTTGATTAGAAAACAGAGATTGAATTTGTACAGTTTACATTGTACACAAGTACCTTAGTTTGTAGGCTTTTATACACCTGTAGAAATATGAAATATCAAAGTTTGAATTAAGGATGTGCTGGTCAATCATATAAAATGTAATGCAGGAGTATAGAATTATATGTTTATCATATGCATCTACTAGAGGTACAGAATTTTAAAAACATATGAAAAATATCTTATTATATGATGGACAGGATTTGGGCTTGATTAAAATGCTTCAATCAAGTTCTCAAATGATGTCCATGGAGAGTAATTGAAGGGAGATAACTCATTAGAAAAGAAAAAAAATATTTTCACAGAAGGTTTTTTCATTAGATTAGGACTGAATTTTTTATTGACAAATAATATAAATAATTGTTTTTAGAATATTGATTGACCAGTACAGGAAAAAATAACTCATTACTCTCTTCCGTTTGAGATAAAAGTATCTTTTCTTTACACAGGTAGCATTAGTAACAGTAAAGATATAAGTTGTTTTGAGTGATGACAGGATTTTAAGTAGCATGTTCTGGGTATGGATGGATGTGACTCTAATTTAGTTACAGTATGTGGATTTCGTTGTATATCTCCTGGTACAAACATTTTAATTTGTGTTGATCTTGGTTACAAACTTTTCTCCTTTTGTGTTGTGAAGTATGGTCTCAAGTGTGTATGATAATTAATGTCTTTGGTTGTTATGATTATTTTGGGATGCGTTTCGGAGAAATTGGATGTAGATATTGTCAAAAAGGACAAGATTAAGTGGGACTTCCACACCGAACATAGGTTGTAATACTGATTCATTAAATTGAAACAATTGATTTATATCTGTAACTGTCCTAATCTTTGTATTTTTCTTTAAGTCGCTAAATTCTGTGCTATATTTTGTAGAATATTTGTCATGTTTTCCTAAGTGATACAACACAAGTTATTAGTAACATTACAAGCAGATCAATCCATATTGTACACCAATAAGATGAAGAAAGGATTATCTCTGTATGCCTTGTGTTAGGATCTGTTAATGCAATTTCATGACCTGTATAGTGTAAATGTGACATATCTCTAGGTCGTTTGTTGTGAACATTAAACCTATTTCTGTTGGACTTGTAATAAAACCGTCTGATATTGCAGTGACACAAGATTCAACTCAAAGCAAATGGCTGAAAAGTTGTCTGATAGCATATCATTCACCAAATTCATCAGAAAATATATGTATGTATAAACATGCTGGAGATGCTGATACAGAAGTATTTTTTAGGAAATTTAACATTATATTTTGGCACGAGATGTATATGTATTATTCAACTTTTACACAATTGTTAATTCTTGATAGCTCTGCTGAATATTATGATGTGGCATAAATACGAAACTGTGGCCACGTGATTTGTTTTAGCTCTGTAGGTCCTTATGCAGATTCCTTTGTGTTCCTGTTGATAGGTAAATGTGGCTTAAGAATGTATGTTAGCTCTCCGTGTGGTAAAACTGATTTTAGATGTGGTATTCACTGTTTAATATTTAACTGTTGATCTGTATTCTTAAGCATTACAATTTGTGAAATTTGATAAAACAGAATAAAAAGAACAAAATATGTTGATGTAATGTGTGGTTTTGTGTATGTCTTGTTAACATGCAATCCAAGACAATTGATGCCTCACCAGTTCTGACCCTGACCTGATATTGTTTGACCGTGACTTTTCTTTATTTTTAGCTCAAAGTTTACATTCATACCATATCATGCTATCAAATTAAACATGGGGGTGGTTGGTCTTACTTGACCACTTGCATGAAGGATATCTTCTGTACTCATCAACAGATTAAGTTAGGTCACAGAGTTGGAGATTTATCCCCAGATGTACTAGATATTACTGACCGGTGGTCATCGTGAATTTTGACAATGAAATATTTATATTTCTGTTAAAAGTACTGAATGGAATTATTTTCAAATTTCACATGTAGGTTCATAGTACAGTGATGCTCCGTTAATTTTGAGACTGATCTGAAAAACAAGTGGCCATATTAATCTTAGTTAGCTGAAGTTTGCTATCACCATAAGGGACTTGGTCACTGTATGACCTTGACCTTGACCATAATCTATACTGCTTAATCTTTATCTTTGTCCGTTATTCTCAGATTAAAAACATGCCCTCATTATTTGGTTTGCAGACTCTTTAACAGTTCTCATTACCAGTACAAAAACAAAGATACCTAATAGAAAATATAAACATATCAAACCAAAAGTTGATCAAATATTGTATTTATTTGATAAACATAATTACATACAAGTTTGCTGTTACTAGTTTGTACAAATCATGATTGGATAGCCAAAGTATTTAGTCACCAACAAATATCCACAGTATTTTAGTCATGAACCAAGATCCAGAGTATTTATTCACCAACAAATATCCACAGTATTTTAGTCATGAACCAAGATCCAAAGTATTTATTCACCAACAAATATCCACAGTATTTTAGTCATGAACCAAGATCCAAAGTGTTAAGTCACAAACAAGAATCCAAGACAAGGTATTCTAACCAGGAACACATAGAGCAGATTTAAATCTAATATCTTATTCTGATCCAGCAAGTAGAATGATTTTCAACTGACTTCAGTGATTTCATGATATAATCTTGACAACTATGTAAACTGCTTATCTACTGGCATAAAAAATCAATCACAAGCAAAATCATTCTCAATGATATATTTTTTTTCATTCTTCAAAAAATTATGAATAATTTACATGTATCAACATTTCTACTTCAAATGATTGTGATGATTGCTATTAATGAAAACATCCGATGTGTAAAATGCCCACACCCCAAATAACAATGTTCTCAGCAAATAAAACACTTCCTGCTTGGGATGAAGACTGGGCCACTATTTATCAAATATCCATTTCAAACAGTATAGGGTATACATGCATGCAAGATATCAGAATGTAATTATAACAAACCTGTGGTGTTTGATCTAATAAGTGCACTAAATGCTTACAAGAATATTAAAGGGATATGCTTAATGTACCATGTACAGGGGAAAGTTTTGGAAATTTGAAATCTGGTCAGAGAAATAAAAGCCTTTTTACTCTCATTATCATTTCTTAATATAGCCATTAATAAAATGAAGATAGCACACCTATCCTTGGAATAAAGGTGGGGTACACTTAGAGGAGCAGGTGTACTTATAGGTGCAGGTGTACTTATAGGTGCAGGTGTACTTATAGGAGCAGGTGGTGTACTTATAGGAGCAGGTGTTCTTATAGGAGCAGGTGGTGTACTTATAGGAGCGGAGCAGGTGTACTTATTAGGTCAAATACAATATCTAATATTACTGTACCCTGTGCAAGAGGAAGGATTCATGCACAAGTAAATCAATTATTGTAAATCATAACTACAGATTAATTTCTAGGAATCTCTGCCTTTCTATGCCTGCTTTGGAGTGTAGAGGGACTAGTATATTACACTAAGGAGAACTTGTGAAATAAAATATAATGAATAATAAAATAGAAGTAAAACAGATCAAACAAGAGAAACAATAATAATCTCGTATATATCTGATTAATGCTAAAATCACACTATAACATCATAGATGTTTTATCCCTGGCACATGCGATGTACATGCGTCTCTGATAACATCCTAGCTAGGCAGTAAAATTGTAAAATTCCGGTACTAGCGTATAGCTGCTCTAATATGCAATGTTAGTCTGATAAGTAATTTGGTTATTGTGACATTTCCTTTAAAGTTTTAAGGCTGAATATCTGGAATAAAATTTATAAATCAAAACGTATCTAACAGCCATCTACCTATACCAAAAAGGTCTCGTTGACTTGTAAGTCAAAAGTAGAAATATATCTCAGACTGTAAATCATGTCATTTTTTCTGTATGTTTAGGGTACGTACATGTATACTTTACTCATCTGAAAAAATAGGTCACTGTGACCTTCACCTCTGCATCAATTATAAGATAAATATCAAGTGGAAAATTTTCAACAAAAAGTCTTAACTGGACTGAAAGTTTTAATGAGTTGAAGACATTTCACTGAAACTTAACTCCAAGGTCAAATGAATCCAAAGAGGGTATGATTATATATAATGGTTGATAGGAGGAGATCCTTTTTTTTGTTAAAAAAAAAATTATGTTATGTAAAATGTTACCTCATTCAAAAATCTTTTAAAATCTGGGTCAAAGATGAACTATTCCAAAGAAGGTATAATTATATATAATGGTTTTACAAGAGAAGACCTTTTCTTACAAATTGATAAAATGTAAAATGTTTCCTCATCCAAAAATTTGTTTTAAATCTGAACTACAGTCAGTGCCTGAACAAAACTTGGGATGTGATTCTGATTACTACAAACCCATTATCAATCATCTTCTCCATCATAACATCTGCACACAAGTCCTTACACATAATTTTTGCATTCATATTTTCCTCTTTTTTCTTATTTGTCTTTGTTTTGTGGTAAAACACACTTCAGGACATAAAATATGGTTTCACAATAAGTAAAATCTCTCATTAGTAGAATTCTTATGCATATGAAACAGAGTTCATGACTGCAAAAAGTTTCATTCAAACCTTAAACATATGGCAGCTTATTTGACCAATGTTGAGTCAGGAGGTTACAATATTCTGTTGTTACACATTAGTCTATGTGATCATGTACATTTCCACGACGATGACTTTCCCAAGATGCTAAAACAGCAGCTACATAAAGGGAGGTAATTCCAAACAAGGATATCGTAGATGTAGCAGAAAAAAATGGTCTGTATTCAAATCGTAGATACCACATGATACACAGGATCACACCAAATAATGGTAACATTATCGTGCCCATGTCGAACCCTCCCTCGGTGTCGATACGTGGAGGAGAGGTATCACGGTTCATTTGTGTAATCAAGCAATGGAGAACACTATTGTCAACCACGTTGTAGGAGTCCAAAGTCATCGTGTCACTGCGTAAGTCTCGTCCGTTGAAAATGAAACGGACGACTTTGTTATCCTCCAGTTCTGTTGCAAAATTCACTCTGAAATACAAATATATATATATACAATGAAATGTTGACGACAGAAAATAACACAATAATAAGAAGGCCTGTGTTATTTTACGGCAAATTTAATTTAAATATTGTTTAACTGCAATAAAATAAATACACACCATTTACTAAAAAAAAACTATCAATGACACAGCCCAGTAAAGCAGGCCATTTCCCCTAGAAAAAATGGTAGTTAATTACTTTTAATAATATTACAATTAACTGTTGAAATAATCTTCCAAATGTTTTACTGGCTTTTCCTGATGGAATTTTATTGTAAAAGGTGCCTGCACTTCCTATTTTAAGTGACTAAAGTCTCAAATTTACCTTCGAAATTGCCCAACAGTATCTGTTGGTGAAGCTACAACATTCCTCTGTGTGTCATTCAGGTATTTTAGTCGTATCCTTATTCTCCCATCTCCCTCACTAACTTCCTCTCCCAGCCTCGCATCGGGTTGATATGGCTCTTCTGATTGGTTAAGTAAACTTTCCTGTGGTTGGTTATCAGTCTGAGCTACAGGAGGAGATGGGTCTTGGGATAAGGTAGGTTCGTTATCACAGCTAGTAACACTAGTTTTATCACAAACAGTAGACACATGATCACTGGAGGAGTTGGGCACAAATGGGTCTCCACCTGACGCAGGAGTATGACTGGAATTATCTCCCCTTATTTCAGATACATCATGTCCATTGTTGTTTCTCTTGTGGTCAAAGAAAGCAACTCTTCTCCTTCGTAACTCAGTTTCAGTTAAATTATCCTCTTGATTATCGGGAATTATTTGACTAGGACTTGTATCAACATTTCTTTCCAGACCTTCAACATTTTGTGGAGTCTGTGTGTCAATAACATTTTCAATTTCATCTTGAACTTCTCTACTACGTCCACCTTGGATATCATGCAAAACTGCCTCTGGGGCTGCACTACCACCATTATCTAAAACATTAACGAAGCGCACAGTGGTTTCTACTTCAGCATCTTCTGTTATATTAGAGTTTTGCCCCGATATATCACTTGAAGATGGCACATCTCTTGATGAATTTTCTCCTGACTGCAGTTCATCTGTGTGATCAGAATCCTCAGAGGAGGATGGTGTGTTTGTCGAATCTGGTGGAGCATTATTTACCAGGGAAGTGAAAGCTTCATTACCTGCCCCAACATTTGCACGTTGACGTCTGCGTTGTGTCAATTCTACAATGATAACACTGAAGAAAGGAATTTCTTGGATGTTAGTTGAAATCCATGCCAATATAATGATGAAGACAATCACTCCTAGACCAAACAGAAGTGTCACTTCATCCCCAACACCTTCAATCAGGGTCATTTTATACAGCCAAATCTGATGTTTTGTTTCAGATGTTTAAACACACTAGATGGCTTCAACAAATCTTGTCATCATCTGAAAGAAGAAACCATATTTTAAATGAATGTGAAAGAGAAAATTGAATAAAAGTACAATTTGAAGAACATTCACAATGTGGTGTTGTGTCTTGCAGCTCTATGTTTCCTACTTCAGTCCTTTACCCTACAATTTTTATTCTACTTAAATGCTGCAAGAGTCATGTTAAAAGGTTGAATGTATTTAAAAGGAACAGTTTTATTTTCTTTACTTAGTTATGAGAGATTTTAGCTATAACACTTTATCATAATGATTATGAAAAGTTTGTGTTGAATTTCATTAATTTTTTTTCTCATTTGATAATTGGAGATGAAAAACAAAATTAAATGGCATCAACTAAAATATACAAAAAAATACTACACCTCAAGTCAAAGTCCTACTATCTATACACCGTTTTGTGTCAATATACCGTTTATAATGTAAAAATTTGTAGAAAAAAATTAAATCAGAGTCCTTATATTAGAAAATCAGTGGGACATCCTACCTTAACACCTTAAGTCTACTACATGTATTGATTAAAACAACACTGGTGATAATCTGTAATATTTAGAAATTCAAAATCCAATATATAAGGGAATACCATCTGGTCTATAGACATTACAGAGATTATACACTAATAATACACAAAGCCAGACATAAATGTGATCGATTATGTTGCCAAGTGTGCATATTGTTTAAGAAGTCTCCGTCACTCAACTGTCGAAGCATGCTACTTTGGCTTTGGTAAAGCCGTGGATTACCAGCTGTTTCGATTTCTGTCTGGATACTCGCTAGTTCAAAGGGTTCTGACTATCTCTCCGCGATTTAATTCTGCTCTTGGTCGCGACCAAAATAAATTAGATGAGAAAGTCAGAACTCGGACTAGACTAGGTACTCGCGGAATCGGCAAGAATATGCGTTTCCTTGTTTGTTTGTTTTTGATTGGTTTTTTTCTCTTCATACATTGGTGTCCAACGAAATCTCACAGGCTGTGGTATTAAGAGTCTTAGGTTGGTGAGATTCAAGCAGCTTCAGTTTCCAATCGTTAAAATTTCTTTTCGATATTTTCTTATCTCGGTACAGCCAAGTCTTAGTCGTTCTAAATTGTGCAGGAATGTTTGGAATTCTCGTTAAGTCAAAAACTAAAATTACATCATCTAGGTAAAGGTAAGCTTAGTAGAAATGTGTTACACGTCGCTGAATACGATAACGCCATACCGCTCACATATCATGACCATATCGTCATAATATCTTCCGCTATCTGGAACACCTGAGCTGTCACAAACCACGTACGGCCCTCCCTGACCTTCGCTAACATCTGCGATTATTATAAAATAAGAGGAGTTCCGAAAACACGTATCATGTGTATAATTAAAGTTTTTCTGGATAAAATATCCGACATCGATGTTGATATTTTAAAATTAATTTAGAAATTATGAAATTACATTTTATTACTCTTCATGTTTGTGTGATTAATTCCTCTAATAAAAAATTTATTAAGATTTCCGTGTTTTATGACCAGGTTGAGACAATACTTTGGAAATAAATCCGGATAAAGCATTCTCTGTATTTGGTTCTTGTTTTGGAAATTACTTCATTATCACATGATTTGGAAGTTGTCAAAATGGGGACTCACAGCGCCGTGAAGGGAAAGTTAATAGCTGTTATTGGTGATGAGGTAATGTATCACAACTAACTCATACCATGCATACGTACATAAAGTCCACTTTGCTACATTAATATAATGCTATATTAATGAAGGCGAGGGACATATGCTTGCCAGTCATCAGAATTTGTTCAAGATCACACATTCTTGTGTTGTCAATATCGATAACATATGGGTTGAACCGGCTGAGCTTTACTAGTCCGGTAAACCAGAGGTCCTAGGTACTACAGAAGTAGAGCACGATACTCTCAGTCCATGGTCAATATTTGGTCAATAGGTCATTCACTTTTTCTACCACTTTTATGAACACGGTCTGTTCTGTCTCTAAAATGAGCTAAGGGAAATGTAAATATCATGATAATAAGATTATTGACATTAAATGATTAATTTAGGGACAGAAATGTTCGGTCTACAGGTATATGGGCCTTGGATTTGAGAGGGTCATGTTCTACTGCTGAAGTACTGAAATTTCAATGTGCTCTCGTTAATACCAGATTTTCCCCCTGCTGATTCTGAGCCCCTAGTCAAAGTCAGAAGAGAACTGATATCATTTTATTTCATCTATTTGGAAAATTTCCTCCATATATGCTGTAATACAGCACAGGCACCTGTATCTGGAACTTAAACAACCCAACAAAAGTCTTTCAATATACATCATCCAGAAACAGGTTTGAATCTGAATTTCTCCTCTCTGATATACAAACTGACAGAATAATAAACATCATGGAAGGTGTGCTTACTCTGTTCAAATTAAGGCCATGTTTATGCAAAGTTATTGGAATAAACATTGCTAAATTTTTATGTTAGTTAATATCACAATGAGTAAAACAGTATCTGCATTCTTGAAAACAATGCTAACAAATATGCCAAATGGACTTTTGTCTTCGTTACTTGACAGCTTCTGTAAAATATGACACTATATATTTTAATATCGGTCAGTATCACAACAACAGTGATAAAATATATCTCATGGAATCATGATTGAGAATTTGAATACCATGATAACTGCATAAGATGATTGAAGTGGATCAAAAACCTCATTCTGATTGCTGTTTTTAAATGGAAATTGCTTTATGTTCTCAGGTGAATTTTCCTAACTTCTGTAATGAGAGGAAAAATTCAATATGTCATGTCTGTTGAAAGTCTTACAAACTTTATCTAGACAAAAAATGTCAGGAAAAGAATGAGTGTCTTAAATTGGACATATACTCATTACAATTATCTTTGTAGAGCTTCACAATGAAAACAAAACATGTTTAAGTTTTTAATGAAGTTGTATTTTTGGCATTAACAGGATACATGTACAGGGTTCCTCCTTGGTGGTGTTGGTGAGCTGAACAAGAAAAGAGAGCCAAATTTCCTTGTTGTGGATAAAAGTAAGAGGGAATTCTGGACCAACAAGGGAGATAACTTTCTTGAAGTTTTGTTTCTATGTACCAAAAAGATAAATATCTGTGATATTTAATTAAGTCATCTGACTTGCAGGGTCAGAATATGTTCCATCAACTGTGCATAAACTTTCCATTCAAATGACTTCTAAATAACAAAAAGGCCCAGGGTGCTGATATTGGGTCTGTAATATGATGGGTTGAATGGCTACCAAGTTTATTAAAATGAATGACCTTGACATACATTCAAGGTCACAGGGTTCAAATGTGTTGAAATATTTAAACAACTTCTTCTTAATAACCAAAAGGTCCAGAGTGCTGAAACTTGGTATGTGGCATGCTGGGATGAAGAGATGAATTTTGTTTATGTGATTGACCTTTTCTCTTCTTGCTGTACAAAGTTATTAACAAACTATGTCCAATTAATGGAGCAACACTTTGGAATGATCTACCAGACAATGTAAGGCAGTGCCAAAACCTGAAAAGTTTAAAATTTGAATGCAAAAAATATATCAAACTTTTAATTGTAAAAAATTCCCCTGTCTTGAAGTTTTAAAAAGTTCTGAACATCGTAACTGTATCTCATTATTGTATCTTATATTGCGCTTAATCCCTACTGTGTGTGTCACATGTTTTATACACATTCATAACACATCTTTTATCATAACTTATTTAAACATTTTCTTAAATGTATTCTACAGTTTATATTGATCTGTGATGTTTCAATTTTACTGATTGTAAATATTGTACATTTCTGATGTCGACCACTTGTAAGAAGAGTATTGTAAACTCCAAGTGTCATCAACCTTAAATAAAGTCTGTTATTATTATCATTTACATTGTTATAGTTTGATGACTGTTAAGGCCCTTAGGTCTTTTCTTATTAAATTCTAATGACATCCTGCAAACTTCTTGTTCTTAAATTAATTGAAATGTTCATCTTTGATTTCAAAGTTATTTAGTTATTTCATTACTCTGAAAGTAAGCATTGAAATCATGATGGATGTCTTTACAAATATTGTACTTTGAATTCCAGAGGATATCAAAAATACTCTTTTTTTTTAAAGATTTTTTTATAAATTTTAGTTGTTTATTATTACAACCATCATGTATATGGGATATTACTTATTTTTCGTCCAGACACGAGCAGACATGATATTGAAGAATCCTTCCGAGGTTTTCTGAAGAGGGATGATATAGCTATTATACTGATAAACCAGTCGGTTAGTATACCAAATTTTTATCTTTTGTCTTGATGGAAGGTAATTTAAGTTTATAAGGTTTCAGCACCTGCTTGAAACAGGTCAGACTACACAAGCAATACTACATTAACTCAGCTGGTCCTTCAGACCAGATTTAACTGAAAAATACATGATGTTGTTATCATGGTTTACTATGATAGATAATAATGTGAATGAGGGTAAAATTTCAGATAGCTGAGGAAATCCGTTATGTAATCGATACACACAATGAACCCATGCCAGCTGTCCTAGAAATTCCCAGTAAAGATGCACCCTACGATGCCAGTAAAGATTCTATTCTCAGACGAGCAAAGGTTAGTGCTATAAATTATTAGTAAAGGAGAAACTGTCTTAAAAATCCACAGTAAAGATTTAATGTACCATGCCAGTAAAGACTTTATTCTCAGAAGAGCAAAGGTTAGTGCCATTAATTATACCACCCCTCCCCCGAAACCTCCAAACCCCAACTTCCCTTCCCCAAATCCTAACTTCCCTTCTTCTGTTGGGCACTATGTGGGCAATGGGGGTATGAGTTGGCCCTCAAAGACAGTTCTAGTGGTTAGATCAAGTGAAACTGGTCAAATATCAGAAATATCTAATGTAGACTGGTGAAACAGCATGAATCACTTGTGATGAGCTCTGGTAGATTACAAGTACCATTTGTTAGTTTAATCTCACATTATTTAAGTTGGGACCAAGAATGCTAAACAGTAGCTAAAACATACTATGATATGTGATATATATATATGATTATGAATATTATATATTTTGAAGGGCCAGGTATAATAAAATTGATCAATGACTCCTGGAATGTGAAGCTACTATAGTTTCCTATTGAAAATAAAGTGATTTTTTTTTTATTTTCTTTGCAGGGTATGTTTTCTGCTGAAGATCTGCGATGAAGTTCTACAACATCTAGACTCTGATGATCATCTAGGATACTGAACAAATTATCTTCACAGATTCCATGTAACATTTGATGATGTATAAATTGGAATAATCATGTACTTAACTATTCTGATTCTTGTAAAAGGTTAATATTGCTTTGAATGTCAACAGAACAAAACAAAAACCTGAAGATATGTTTCTTCTTCTTTTCCAAAACTATGATTATTTATAAAAAACAGGTTTGAAAGGTTGGTTCAATATTTGTATGTATGATTCCATTTATCAGTAATCTCATGTATGATGTTGTACATTTTTATGATTTTTAGGGTATGATATACGAGGTGTAATAAATGTTTACTTAGTCAACTATATACCATACAATGAAATCCTATGTTGTTAATGTAGAGAAGGGATAATTTGATCAATTACGATTATAAGTAATTCAGCTACCCACCCAAGCACGACATTATGTGTGGATATACCACTTACATTCCTGTGTACTTGTTCAAATTTCTTTGATGTAAAAAATCATCCAGAGCTTTCAGAAGCAGAGATACACAGTAAAAATTTAAAGATTGAAATGAAATGGTAGTCATTTATCAATGTAATCAAGAATTTAAAAAAAAAAACCATTTTACTGTGTTCAATTGATGAGACACTTGTATGGTTCTTAAAATGTAGGCTAGTGAAAAATTAAAAGCTTCGGTCATAATTTGAGTGAGAGTTTCCAAAACACCAGAGAATACTCTTTGTAACATGTATTACAATATTTTCTTGTTTCTCTAAACTTGGTAAACTATGTTTGTATGATTCGATCTCCCATTTAATGATGTTGTCCTTTCATGATTGATTATTGGTAAACTAAAGAAATGTAGGTCAGTGATACACTGCTAGTGCAAGGTATCAGAAATGGACTCATTTGTTGTCTCCATTTATCGTCAGCAATCTAGTCACATACCTTCACTGTAGTGTTAACAATTATCCATTCTTTGTGCCACCCTTTGTTGTGAACAATGAAACAAAATCATTATTTAGGGTTATCAAACAGTATATCAGTGGAATATGATTTATCATAATTAGCCAAATACAAAATGATGGCATTTTGTCCATATAGAAAAATAATTCATTTTTCACATTCAGAAAATTTGTGCTGAAGACAATTGGTGCATTTATAAAGGAATTGTCTTTTATTACTCATTGTTGCTAGAATTTGATGTATTGTGTTGATGAAATTGATGTAGCGGGTGTCCGGGAGAATGATTTATTTGTACACATTGTGATCAGTAGAATTGTATTAGAAATAAATATTAGTCAAGGCATTTACCAGGGTTCTTGTCTCTTACTGTTTGCTATGTGTATTTGTAATCCTGTTTGTTATGTGTATTTGTAATCCTGTTTGCTATGTGTATTTGTAATCCTGTTTGTTATGTGTATTTGTAATCCTGTTTGTTATGTGTATTTGTAATCCTGTTTGCTATGTGTATTTGTAATCCTGTTTGTTATGTGTATTTGTAATCCTGTTTGTTATGTGTATTTGTAATCCTGTTTGCTATGTGTATTTGTAATCCTGTTTGTTATGTGTATTTGTAATCCTGTTTGTTATGTGTATTTGTAATCCTGTTTGCTATGTGTATTTGTAATCCTGTTTGTTATGTGTATTTGTAATCCTGTTTGCTATGTGTATTTGTAATCCTGTTTGTTATGTGTATTTGTAATCCTGTTTGCTATGTGTATTTGTAATCCTGTTTGTTATGTGTATTTGTAATCCTGTTTGTTATGTGTATTTGTAATCCTGTAAAAGTTGTTGTGATAATTGTAATGAGGTATACAGTTTTCTTTTTGTGCTATGCACCAAAAATTGTGCCCACATTGTATATACATCATCTTCACAACATGCTACACGCTGCACTCATGATGTAGTATCTAGCATATAACTCTGGGATAGGATTGCACATTTTATTGTGATTTTGTAAAATGATTGATATTATGGTTTGAAAGTTAATCAGAAAAATGATTTAGTTAGGATTTGATAGCAATCATAGGCATCGTAATTGTTGTTAGTTATTAAAAAGGTATTTTTGAATTTGAAGATTAAATACCACAGGAACCCTAACCTACATTATCTAAGCCCTCTATTGTACAGTGTTGTATCTCAGAGGGAGGCGAGTGGTGCACCAAGGGCAACAAAAAATGCCCGTACATAGATATATCAGCGCCAGGTCCAACCAGGGTAGGTCTCTAGTTAACAAACACAACCCTTACCCAAGTGTACATATTATTTCCAAATTATGGAAAAACAAGAGTTACGGTTAAATGTTTATATAAACAAAATGCTTATAAATACCAGTGTAAATTCACTCTTTACATGATAGACGTACATCAACATATCTTTTTAAGGATAAAAAAAAAAGTGAAAAAAAACATCAAAATGGAATTAGAAAATCAATATTCTGATTAAAAATTCACCTTTTATATTGAGCTTTTGATAAAACCACAAATATTTGAACTATCATAAGGAGATAGACGAATTCCACCATCTGTAATAATTGTGTAGAAAGTTTCACAGGAATTTGAAATCTGCAAATTAATTTTTCATTTACAGACATCTTATGTCTGAACAGTTTCAGGGCTATATTATCAGAATACATACAACACAGACTATACGTCAAGTTATAGGGCCATGTTGTCAGAATACATACAACACAGACTATACGTCAAGTTATTGAGCCATGTTGTCGGAATACATACAACACAGACTATACGTCAAGTTATAGGACCATGTTTTCGGAATACATGCAACACAGACTATACATCAAGTTATAGGGCCATGTTGTCAGAATACACACAACACAGACTATACGTCAAGTTATAGGGCCATGTTGTCAGAATACACACAACACAGACTATACGTCAAGTTATAGGGCCATGTTGTCAGAATACATACAACACAGACTATACGTTGTCAGAATACATACAACACAGATTATACGTCAAGTTATAGGGCCATGTTGTCAGAATACACACAACACAGACTATACGTCAAGTTATAGGGCCATGTTGTCAGAATACATACAACACAGACTATACGTCAAGTTATAGGGCCATGTTGTCAGAATACATACAACACAGACTATACGTCAAGTTATAGGGCCATGAATACACACAACACAGATTATACGTCAAGTTATAGGGCCATGTTGTCAGAATACATACAACACAGACTATACGTTGTCAGAATACATACAACACAGATTATACGTCAAGTTATAGGGCCATGAATACACACAACACAGACTATACGTCAAGTTATAGGGCCATGTTGTCAGAATACATACAACACAGACTATACGTCAAGTTATAGGGCCATGTTGTCAGAATACACACAACACAGACTATATGTCAAGTTATAGGGCCATGAATACACACAACACAGACTATACGTCAAGTTATTGGGCCATGTTGTCGGAATACATACAACACAGACTATACGTCAAGTTATAGGACCATGTTTTCGGAATACATGCAACACAGACTATACATCAAGTTATAGGGCCATGTTGTCGGAATACACACAACACAGACTATACGTCAAGTTATAGGGCCATGTTGTCGGAATACATACAACACAAACTATACGTCAAGTTATAGGGCCATGTTGTCGGAATACACACAACACAGACTATACGTTGTCAGAATACATACAACACAAACTATACGTCAAGTTATAGGGCCATGTTGTCGGAATACATACAACACAGACTATACATTGTCAGAATACATACAACACAGACTATACATCAAGTTATAGGGCCATGTTGTCGGAATACACACAACACAGACTATACGTCAAGTTATAGTGCCATGTTGTCAGAATACATACAACACAAACTATACGTCAAGTTATAGGGCCATGTTGTCGGAATACACACAACACAGACTATACGTCAAGTTATAGGGATATGTTGTCGGAATACATACAACACAAACTATACGTCAAGTTATAGGGCCATGTTGTCAGAATACATACAACACAGACTATACGTCAAGTTATAGGGCCATGTTGTCAGAATACATACAACACAGACTATACGTCAAGTTATAGGGCCATGTTGTCAGAATACATACAACACAGACTATATATCAAGTTATAGGGCCATGTTGTCAGAATACATACAACACAGACAGACTTTCATGTGAAATCAACATTTATTGCGAGATGTGATACAAATGAATGTAACAAAGGAAGCATTCCATAGGTAATGATAGGGTCAAGCCTACAACTCGTGACTAGCTGGACAAGTCTACACAAGATGTCTACCATCAAAAACAGGTACCATAACCGATAAGATCTTTAACAAGTCTACAGGTAAATTCTTTAAAACCATAAATAAATCTACAGGTAAATTCTTTAAAACCATAGATAAATCTACAGGTAAATTCTTTAAAACCATAGATAAATCTACAAGTTAATTCCATAAACAATTCTACTGGTAATTTCTAAGTTTAGTGAATGAAACAATTAATTACTAAAAATTTATCGTTTGCAATTAAATTTCCTGAAATGAAAAAAAATTCTACAGGTACTCTCTTTCCAGACTTTGAATTAGAATTGATGAATATCAGAAATTACTACAGAAAATCAAAAATAATTATCATTGGTCGGTTATCTTCCTTTAATAAAAATATTTAATGAGTGTAGTTTATCTCCCTAAATGATCTCCATGTACACATTTCAATCATGAATAATAGCGACTGATCCCAAGGTTCCAGAAATATGATTAGAATATCAGATAGGACATACATATATTTATATTCAGATCTATTTAATATAGACGTAGAGCAATAAATCTCTGAACTTTGTAACAACAACTAAACAAATACAATCAAATATCACCAGTTGTCACTGAAACTCCGCGTACATGTCTCTGGCTGGAGATAAAAACAACTCGTACACAAAAGTAACTGAGCCAGTGAGGTTTCACCTAAAACTGAGCCAGTGAGGTCAATGTTTCACCTATAACTGAGCCAGTGAGGTCAATGTTTCACCTATAACTGAGCCAGTGAGGTCAATGTTTCACCTATAACTGAGCCAGTGAGGTCAATGTTTCACCTATAACTGAGCCAGTGAGGTCAATGTTTCACCTATAACTGAGCCAGTGAGGTTTCACCTATAACTGAGCCAGTGAGGTTTCACCTATAACTGAGCCAGTGATGTCAATGTTTCACCTATAACTGAGCCAGTGAGGTCACTGTTACATCTAAAGGAAGAATAAATCTATCAGGTGCTCCTATATAAAAAAAGGTACAGATAATAACTTTACACAAGAATAACTTCAAATATATTTCTCACTAAAACAGAAAATTTGCACTGGTGACAATCGCCTGCTTTTTCCCTCTACTTATTGATATCAAAGAATTGTGACATTGCCATATACCACCAGCGGACAAAATCTCTAACAGGATCCAGGAATCAAGGCCAGATAAGAACAGGTATATACTGTAGTTCTTCGTACAGCTTTATATAGTGTTAAACCTGCCAAATAATGTCATTATCAGGGAAGGCACATGCATTTTTCTAGAAATTCAGATAGTTGTCGTGCTTTTTTAACTTCAAATGTTAAAATCTCAATACATTTTAATAACATACAGTAATAAGTTTCAGTACGTGAGCCTGAAAGATCTTGCGGTAAAAAATTAGCACAGCGGAGTTTTATACCAAACTTTGATAAAAATTTAACATGAATAATAATGTTAATAATAACAGGTAAAACAATCACAAACAGCACACAACAAGTACAGGGTGAAGGTCAACAGCGTGACATCAGTTACCATGGAAACAACAAAGCTATACAATCAACTAATGGAATTTGTCCTTTAGTGAAACATTGCACTGAATGTTAGGTAAAATAAATAGCAGCTACAACTGCTTGATTGATAAAACCAGTTAAAATGAAACAGGAGTGAAGACATAGTTTTGTTGATATGTGAAGACATAGTTCTGTTAAGACAGAGTTCTTTTGGTATGTGAAGACATAGTTCTCTTAAGACATAGTTCTGTTGGTATGTGAAGACATAGTTTTGTTGATATGTGAAGACATAGTTCTGTTGGTATGTGAAGACATAGTTCTGTTGGTACGTGAAGACATAGTTCTGTTGGTACGTGAAGACATAGTTCTGTTGGTATGTGAAGACATAGTTCTGTTGGTACGTGAAGACATAGTTCTCTTGGTATGTGAAGACATAGTTCTGTTGGTATGTGAAGACATAGTTCTGTTGGTATGTGAAGACATAGTTCTGTTGGTACGTGAAGACATAGTTCTGTTAAGACAGAGTTCTTTTGGTATGTGAAGACATAGTTCTCTTAAGACATAGTTCTGTTGATATGTGAAGACATAGTTCTGTTGGTATGTGAAGATATAGTTCTGTTGGTATGTGAAGATATAGTTCTCTTGGTATGTGAAGACATAGTTCTGTTGGTATGTGAAGACATAGTTCTGTTGGTATGTGAAGACATAGTTCTGTTAAGACATAGTTCTGTTGGTATGTGAAGACATAGTTCTGTTAAGACATAGTTCTGTTGGTATGTGAAGATATAGTTCTGTTAAGACATAGTTCTGTTGATATGTGAAGACATAGTTCTGTTAAGACAGAGTTCTTTTGGTATGTGAAGACATAGTTCTGTTGGTATGTGAAGACTGAAGACATAGTTCTGTTGATATGTGAAGACATAGTTCTGTTGAAGACATAGTTCTGTTGGTATGACATAGTTCTGTTGAAGACATAGTTCTGTTGGTATGTGAAGATATAGTTCTGTTGGTATGTGAAGACATAGTTCTGTTGGTATGTGAAGACATAGTTCTGTTGGTATGTGAAGACATAGTTCTGTTGGTATGTGAAGATATAGTTCTGTTGGTATGTGAAGACATAGTTCTGTTGGTATGTGAAGACATAGTTCTGTTGGTATGTGAAGACATAGTTCTGTTAAGACATAGTTCTGTTGGTATGTGAAGACATAGTTCTGTTAAGACATAGTTCTGTTGGTATGTGAAGATATAGTTCTGTTAAGACATAGTTCTGTTGATATGTGAAGACATAGTTCTGTTGGTATGTGAAGACATAGTTCTGTTGGTATGTGAAGATATAGTTCTGTTGGTATGTGAAGACATAGTTCTGTTGGTACGTGAAGACATAGTTCTGTTGGTATGTGAAGATATAGTTCTGTTGGTATGTGAAGACATAGTTCTGTTAAGACATAGTTCTGTTGGTATGTGAAGACATAGTTCTGTTAAGACATAGCTCTGTTGGTATGTGAAGATATAGTTCTGTTAAGACATAGTTCTGTTGATATGTGAAGACATAGTTCTGTTGGTATGTGAAGACATAGTTCTGTTGGTATGTGAAGATATAGTTCTGTTGGTATGTGAAGACATAGTTCTGTTGGTATGTGAAGACATAGTTCTGTTGGTATGTGAAAACATAGTTCTGTTGGTATGTGAAAACATAGTTCTGTGACATAGTTCTGTTGGTATGTGAAAACATAGTTCTGTTGGTATGTGAAGACATAGTTCTGTTGGTAACATTTATAATGTTAACCATACAATTAATTTGAAGGTATGAATTTCAAGCAATATCATTAATAGTCAATAAAACTCCATATCTATTGAAGTCCTTTAAAACAGTAACAATGCTCTGGATTAATACTTTACAAGTTTTAATTCTCCAGTAAAGACAATATCTACTTCAGTTAAATACAAGTCTCAATTTTCTTTGTGTAATAAGAATGTATCAAAAGCACTTACACTGAACTTTGTAACTCAAGTGTAATAGGAAAGAGTAATGAAAAAACACTCTGCCACCACTTGGGTTCGAACTAGCGACCCTTTGGTCTACAGCGGGACACTCTAGCACTCAACTTCTACACATGTATTTGTGCAAATGAAAAATAAAAGGAACTGAGGCATTTTTCATGTTATAGTGTACTTGTACTTCAGCAGAAGTGAGAAATATCATTTTCTTAATAAAGACGCTAATTGGTAATTGTTCTTGTGTTGTACTGCAATCTGTCATTCAAGAAAATTCCTAACAACAACAAAAAAAACAGATAAAAAAAAATAAACATCCAGACAGGTGTAAGATGAACAACAAGCCTATATAACCAGTTCAGACTAAGAGTTCAACATCTAGACAGGTGTAATATCAACAACAAGCCTATATAACCAGTTCAGACTAAGAGTTCAACATCACAGCACTATACTCTCTATATCCATGCTTGGTAATAAGCCCACTCATGTCTATTACAGTTCACAGAAAAGCTAAATAATGCAATTACATACTTCTGTAGTAAGCCCAACCCTACATTGAGTTGAGGTGTGGACCTATTACCAGGTGTTGACCTAATACCAGGTGTTGACCTATTACCAGGTGTGGACCTATTACCAGGTGTGGACCTTATACCAGGTGTGGACCTATTACCTGGTGTGGACCAGGTGTGGACCTAATACCAGGTGTGGACCTATTACCAGGTGTGGACCTAATACCAGGTGTGGACCTATTACCAGGTGTGGACCTATTACCAGGTGTGGACCTATTACCTGGTGTGGACCTATTACCAGATGTGGACCTATTACCAGGTGTTGACCTATTACCAGGTGTGGACCTATTACCTGGTGTGGACCTAATACCAGGTGTGAACCTAATACCAGGTGTGGACCTATTACCTGGTGTGGACCTATTACCAGGTGTGGACCTATAACTAGGTGTGGACCTATTACCAGTTGTTGACCTATTACCAGGTGTGGACCTAATACTAGGTGTGGACCTATTACCTGGTATGGACCTATTACCAGGTGTGGACCTATAACCAGGTGTGGACCTATAACCAGGTGTTGACCTATTACCTTATTATGTCTCCTTGTCAGAAATATAACTGAATACGAGTTCAAACTATGTTGAAAAAAATTAATAACTTGATTTTATTGAAGAACCATACTAAAATTTGTATTTGTCAAAAAATGCTGAAAACCGAAGCATTTGCAGCAGATAGATGTTTGAGCAATGTCCTTCAAAGAGACCTCAAACCTCAGACCTAAATTCATTTGGTATCTGACCAGGAACCTTGGTTTCAAGTTACTTCTGAAAATTCTACCCTAAATTGTGTTCTTCCTAGACATATTTTCACATTTTCCTTTTTCTAAACATCTGGTCTGAACTACTTCACAGATGGAGCTAATAACCTCCTACATACACCCTTTTGTTACAATTCACTATTTCATTAGAACTTCCAGAAATTCTAAACATGTACAACTTCTCCCACCATTATCTCAGTAACAATTCAAAGTTTTCAACACAAAAGTAATGAATACTAGATTAACAAACAATAACAACATTGATCACAGAGAGTTATTCTCTTGTGCAGGAGCTAAATTGTCAGCCTAGACAGATTGGTTTCTCATATGTTATTCAATTGTGCAGGAGCTACATTGTCAGCCTAGACAGATTGGTTTCTCAGATAATAAATAATGGAAAAGGTTAAAGTTCACATCAATTATAACATGCATTCAGCCTGATCACAGAAAACCGGTGTCAACATTGATTATTTTTTGTAATTAAAACAAAACACTTTTTTCACAGCTACTAACTTGCAGAATTTCAGAAATACAACAAGCTTTGGCAATTTACTTTCACAAATTCTGACATTTGAAATATTTGAAATGAAATGCCTTCACTTAACTCGTACAGGAACCACTATTTCCTAATGCCTTTTTACCTCAAAACAAGCTGGTGACTACATGTTCCCCAGGAAATTTTCAGGGAGCATAATTATGAACAAGAACTCCTCAGAATCCAACACTACGGAAATAAATTGTCCTAGACACCCAAATTATCAACAGATTAATGAAACGTGCTGTAATTGTACATACTGCACAACTAATATTCAGAATTCACTTACAATAATAGTTCTGCTTTATTTTCCATTAAGAAAATCAAGTTTAACTATGAAAATCAATGTTTTTATCCAGGTTTTAATTGCTGATGATGATTTTGCATTGATAGTAAATTTTGTGAAAGTCAACTGATCATGATAGTCGACTGATCATGATAGTCAACTGATCATGAAAGTCGACTGATCATGATAGTCAACTGATCATGAAAGTCAACTGATCATGATAGTCAACTGATCATGATAGTCAACTGATCATGATAGTCAACTGATCATGATAGTCATGATAGTCAACTGATCATGAAAGTCAACTGATCATGATAGTCAACTGATCATGAAAGTCAACTGATCATGATAGTCAACTGATCATGATAGTCAACTGATCATGATAGTCAACTGATCATGAAAGTCAACTGATCATGATAGTCAACTGATCATGATAGTCAACTGATCATGAAAGTCGACTGATCATGATAGTCAACTGATCATGAAAGTCAACTGATCATGAAAGTCAACTGATCATGATAGTCAACTGATCATGATAGTCAACTGATCATGAAAGTCAACTGATCATGATAGTAAACTGATCATGAAAGTCAACTGATCATGATAGTCAACTGATCATGATAGTCAACTGATCATGATAGTCAACTGATCATGAAAGTCAACTGATCATGATAGTCAACTGATCATGATAGTCAACTGATCATGAAAGTCAACTGATCATGAAAGAAACTGGTTTACAGTACATACTTTGTTGTACTGAATTATTCAAAATATAAATAATGACTTTATTCTGATGACTGTAAATGGATTTTAGTTCTTTATTTAACTTGTTTCATTTTCCCTTTTTTTTAGTAAAATTCCTTAATTTCAATAATCATTGTGTATAGGGTAAGTATGCCAGATCTTATTCATTTCACTTCATTCAAGTTACTTCAACCTTTCCAAAGGTCCAACCTGCTGGTGATGAACCCCGATAGACATAGATAAAAGCTGTAGTTGGCTGCCGGTAAGAGTATACAAGACAACAAGTTATAAATTAGGTTGCTATGGTGATAACCCTGTGTCATTTCTTCCGAATAGGTTTTGTGCTTTCTGTTCGAATGACTTTGGGAATAATTGTTATTGTCTTTTGCCCTGATATGGAGCTGTTTGTTGGTGTGGAAACAGCTGTTTTTATCACTGTTGGTGCTGAGGCCGTCACCCAGGTCGCTGTTGAAGTCCCTGTTGTAGCACCTGTAGCGTCAGTTTCCAGGATGACTCCTGTCTCGTTAGCACTGGCCACTGTACCTTCCAGCATAGAAACTGAAATATAATTGATTTGTTATGGTAACAGTGGTTATTACTTATTTCAATGGCTCCACTAGGATTCTAACCTGAGACCTGTGGTTTACTAGTCTGATGCCAAGTCATGTAAGCCAAAGAGAAGTTTTCTCTAGCCGTATATTTAACCTGGGTAATTAAAGATTGTATTATCATGAATAAACGATGCTCCCACCCTAAGTAAGTTCTAACTTACACAGGAATAAACGATGCTCCCACCCTAAGTAAGTTCTAACTTACACAGGAATAAACGATGCTCCCACCCTAAGTAAGTTCTAACTTACACAGGAATAAACGATGCTCCCACCCTAAGTAAGTTCTAACTTACACAGGAATAAACGATGCTCCCACCCTAAGTAAGCTCTAACTTACACAGGAATTAACGATGCTCCCACCCTAAGTAAGCTCTAACTTACACAGGAATTAACGATGCTCCCACCCTAAGTAAGCTCTAACTTACACAGGAATAAACGATGCTCCCACCCTAAGTAAGCTCTAACTTACACAGGAATAAACGATGCTCCCACCCTAAGTAAGTTCTAACTTACACAGGAATAAACGATGCTCCCACCCTAAGTAAGCTCTAACTTACACAGGAATAAACGATGCTCCCACCCTAAGTAAGTTCTAACTTACACAGGAATAAACGATGCTCCCACCCTAAGTAAGTTCTAACTTACACAGGAATAAACGATGCTCCCACCCTAAGTAAGTTCTAACTTACACAGGAATAAACGATGCTCCCACCCTAAGTAAGTTCTAACTTACACAGGAATAAACGATGCTCCCACCCTAAGTAAGCTCTAACTTACACAGTATTCCTCTTACACACTTTGACATATAAAGCTACTTCTAAGAGAATTCTAATACCTAATGATTGATAGAACAAGTAACCTACACACTGGTCCTTATGCACAGGTTTAACTTAAAATGTGGTCTCTAAAAACAGGTTTGCTAGAACATGTTACTTATGCAATGGTCATTATACACAGGTTTAACTTACAATGTGGTCTTTAAACACAGGTTTGCTAGAACAAGAAAGCTGCACGGTGATCCTTATACACTGACTTAACTTAAAATGTGGTCGTTAAACACAGGTTTGCTAGAACATGTTACTTATGCAATGGTCATTATACACAGGTTTAATGTACATGGTCTTTCAACACAGGTTTGCTAGAACAGGTAGCTTACACAGTTGTCCTTATACAAAGGTTTGCTATTACAGGTTATTTATCCAATGGTCCTTCTACATAAGTTAGATGGAACAACTTACATACTGGTCCTTATACACAAGTCTGATAGGACAACTTATACAGAGGTCCTTATACACAAGTCTGATAGTACAACTTATACAGAGGTCCTCATACACAAGTCTGATAGGACAACTTATACAGAGGTCCTTATACACAAGTCTGATAGGACAACTTATACAGTGGTCCTTATACATAAGTCTGATAGGGCAACTTATACAGAGGTCCTTATACACAGGTCTGATAGGGCAACTTATACAGTGGTCCTTATACACAAGTCTGATAGGGCAACTTATACAGAGGTCCTTATACACAAGTCTGATAGGACAACTTATACAGAGGTCCTTCTACACAAGTCCAATAGGACAAGTTATACAGAGGTCCTAATACACAAGTCTGATAGGACAACTTATACAGAGGTCCTTATACACAAGTCCAATAGGACAACTTATACAGAGGTCCTAATACACCAGTCTGATAGGACAAAATATACAGTGGTTTTTACACACAAGTCTGATAGGACAACTTATACAGAGGTTCTAATACACCAGTCTGATAGGACAAAATATACAGTGGTTTTTATACACAAGTCTGATAGGACAACTTATACAGAGGTCCTTATACACAAGTCTGATTGTACAACTTATACAGAGGTCCTAATACACAAGTCTGATAGGACAACTTATACAGAGGTCCTTATACACAAGTTTGATAGAATATTTTACCCAGTGGTCCTTATACTCAAGTTTACTTGATACGATAACTTCCAATGTTTTGTAGAACAGTTTTCTTACAAAATTAGGGGGCCCTTACACTCAGGTTTGACTGGATAGGGTACTTACATGCTTGGTATGGAAACTGCCCTTGTGATTTCTGCTGAAGGGTGACAGAACAGTCTTTGTGAGCCAGAAGTAATGTCTTCAATTGAGCAACTTCACTCTTCAAGCCGTTCACTTCAGACTGAAAATACATAAACCACTAAAATGTTAATGAGAATTACAAAAGTTGAAGTTCAATGTAAAACTAAATATACAATCTTATATGATGGATCAATGCCATTATGAAATAAAACAATCTGACATTTTACTTTGTGACACAAAGAACTTTGACTTTTCAACAGTAGTCCTTCTGAACTAATAATTCACTGTATCACACCTAGACCTGTTGAGGATACTAGAATTTCATAAACATATGTTTGTAACAATGTAAAATAACTTCCATTTCTAGTAAACAAAGCTGAATGCTGCAGTAATGATTTACTGTATTGTATCAAATATCAGTAATCATGGACTCCTTAGTCGCAGATATCAGTAACCATGCACTCTTTGAAGTCGCAGATATCAGTAACCATGGACTCTTTAAGTCGCAGATATCAGTAACCATGGACTCTTTAAGACTCAGATATCAGTAACCATGCACTCTTTAAGACTCAGATATCAGTAACCATGGACTCTTTAAGTCGCAGATATCAGTAACCATGGACTCTTTAAGACTCAGATATCAGTAACCATGGACTCTTTAAGACTCAGATATCAGTAACCATGGACTCTTTAAGTCGCAGATATCAGTAACCATGGACTCTTTAAGACTCGGATATCAGTAACCATGGACTCTTTAAGACTCAGATATCAGTAACCATGGACTCTTTAAGACTCAGATATCAGTAACCATGGACTCTTTAAGACTCAGATATCAGTAACCATGGACTCTTTAAGACTCAGATATCAGTAACCATGGACTCTTTAAGACTCAGATATCAGTAACCATCAGTAACCATGCACTCTTTAAGACTCAGATATCAGTAACCATGGACTCTTTAAGACTCAGATATCAGTAACCACGGACTCTTTAAGACTCAGATATCAGTACCATGGACTCTTTCAGACTCAGATATCAGTAACCACGCCCTCTTTAAGACTCAGATATCAGTAACCATGGACTCTTTAAGACTCAGATATCGGTAACCATGGTCTCTTTACGACTCAGATATCAGTAACCATGAACTCTTTACGACTCAGATATCAGTAACCATGAACTCTTTAAGACTCAGATATCAGTAACCATGGACTCTTTAAGTCTCAGATATCGGTAACCATGGACTCTTTTAAGTCTCAAATATCAGTAACCATGGACTCTTTAAGACTCAGATATCAGTAACCATGGACTCTTTAAGTCTCAGATATCAGTAACCTTGGACTCTTTAAGTCTCAGATATCAGTAACCATAGACTCTTTAAGTCTTAGATATTAGTAACCATAGACTCTTTCAGACTCAGATATCACTAACCAAAATCCAAGATGGTCGCCTGTAAGCTATTACGTTTTACTGATCAGTCCCACTGCTAGTGACCATGGGGAACCTACATGAAATGTGAGAAAAAACCATCCAGTACTTCTCTAGAAGAAGTATGTCATGGGGTGAAATCTTACAAAGACAACATAACTTCTATATAAAGGGTAGAAAAAGTCCATGACACTACACAGAGATTTGGGAATATTTCACTGGAAAATACATGAAAGAGTGAGGGACAAGATGGATGCAGAAATGCCAGGGTGGTAACAGTGTACCTCCCTCCTCCCCTAACTTTGTTCCTGGGGGTATAAATATGTCTCCTGTTCTAAGAAAATATACGCCCTAGTTACCATGAGTCGATTGTTGACCATCTGAAGTTCGTCCCCTTTCCTCTCCAGATTTGTGATCCAGTGTTTTCTCTTCTGTCGACATCGCGCGGCTGCAGCACTGTCAAAACAAAAGTAGACTTTATAGCTTACTAAACCTTTCACCAGTTTGGGCTGTTTTACCTAATAGGGTAAGACTTTTACTTCAACCATGAACAGATTGCAGGCTTGAATGATGACAGGCAGTAAGGGCAGGTATACAAGCAGTAGTAATGAATACCTTTCCTGACATCCTCCTTACATTTATAATTAAATAAAAATACCATACTTGATAATCATTTAGAAAAAAGAAAAACCATCATTAATCCCTGTCACTAAAATATAAAATGAGGCAAAGCCACAATTGGCCGGGTTGCGGTTTGAGTACAATGTTATATGGTATTTATAAGACAGTTAAGGGTGTTTCATTTGTTGAGTATGTAGAATATTTGTTATAAGAGAGAAAGTTTGGTTGTATTTTATAAATTGGTACAAAAGAAGGGCATTTGAAGAAAGAAGTTGCAGCCATTTTTGATTCGGAGATGTTCAAAAAATAAACAATGGACATCTAGGGTACCAAGGTGATTTATATATGGAATTTCGGAAAGATTCTTGTAGTAGTTTCTGAGATACTGTGATAACAAGAAAAGTTTCTGAAAATGACTAAGTTCAAACGCCTGGAAAATCCAGACAAATGTCCGGAATGAATCCATAATACAAGGTGCACATCTTCAACATATATACCAACATCGTACAAAGTTTCAAGCTTCTACGCCAAAAACTCTAGGAGGAGTTGATTCTACAAGACTGGTACCCCTTTTCCCTGCCAAACTGCAGAAAATAACTAAGTTCAAAAGCCCGAAAAATCAACAAAAATGTCCTCAATGAATCCATAATAAAAAGTACACATCTTCAACATATATATAAACATCCTACAAAGTTTTAATACATACTCACCGATTTCTTTCGAGAAATTTTACTCTCCTATCATCAGAATTGTTTTCATCTTTTTTAATTCTTTTTCTGAAAAGAAGGAAAGATATCTAGAAAAACTAATGTCTTCTTAAAATCATGTGTAAGTCATTTAAATCCAATGCCACTTATCTTTCTCAACCTATTCAAATCCTCACATGCCCTATATTTCTCAAACGGTCGGTTTAATCCAACCCCTGATAAACGGAGTAACTTTCAGAGAGTTAACTTCCACCTTTTTGGAGAAATACTTCTGAGCCAACAAAGTAAATATTTTTGCTTGTTAACAGAAATAAGTAACCAACTGACAAGTACATCATATTGTTTCATCAAATGTGTGACAAATCCTAGTAGTTATTACACTTTTACCTATACATTTTGATAGCTGATTCACACAGCAACAGAGGAAAGAACTTCCTTAAACAAAACAACATTACAACATCAAAAGTATACACATCATATAATCCACCTATAGCTGATAGCTGATTCACACAGCAACAGAGGAAAAATCCTTCCTTAAACAAAACAACATTACAACATCAAAAGTATACACATCATATAATCCACCTATAGCTGATAGCTGATTCACACAGCAACAGAGGAAAGAACTTCCTTAAACAAAACAACATTACAACATCAAAAGTATACACATCATATAATCCACCTATAGCTGATAGCTGATTCACACAGCAACAGAGGAAAAATCCTTCCTTAAACAAAACAACATTACAACATCAAAAGTATACACATCATATAATCCACCTATAGCTGATAGCTGATTCACACAGCAACAGAGGAAAGAACTTCCTTAAACAAAACAACATTACAATATCAAAAGTATACACATCATATAATCCACCTATAGCTGATAGCTGATTCACACGGCAACAGAGGAAAGAACTTCCTTAAACAAAACAACATTACAACATCAACACATCATATAATCCACCTATAGCTGATAGCTGATTCACACAGCAACAGAGGAAAGAACTTCCTTAAACAAAACAACATTACAACATCAAAAGTATACACATCATATAATCCACCTATAGCTGATAGCTGATTCACACGGCAACAGAGGAAAGAACTTCCTTAAACAAAACAACATTACAACATCAACACATCATATAATCCACCTATAGCTGATAGCTGATTCACACAGCAACAGAGGAAAGAACTTCCTTAAACAAAACAACATTACAACATCAAAAGTATACACATCATATAATCCACCTATCATCCTGTAAGTTCACCGAAATATGTTTTCATATGTCAATGATTTAATATTCACTGGCACAATGGTGTGCCACTCAGAAATTGATTATGACTTTGAAATACTGAAAAATTATAAACTGGAACCTGTCAAAATGTAATTTTTATGAGGTATGTGATAACAAGGACATTAATCTTATTTTCACTTGAAATAAAATTTTATGAAAATTGTCTCAATCTTGAATTTTTTTGCATTAAAGCTCAAAAAATTAAAACTTCTGTGACTCAAACCTCATATAAAATGAAAACCTCCTTTAAGATCCTATATAGATCCTTTTAAATGATATAAAAATAAAAATAAAAAATCTACTTACAGAAGTGGCATGTCGGTGTCGGGTGACGACACATCGGATGCTATGCTCACACTTGTCTCCGACATTGGCGACATACTTGGTCCCGGAGCATAGTTTGTTGTACTGGAAATAACTGTGATTTGATTGGCTGTGTTGAGGTCAGGTGACATCTGTATCACTCTGGTTGCTGGGGATGATGCTTTCTGTGACCCTGGTGATGGCACGGTTTGTTGTTGAAGGGCTGCTTTTAATCTCTGTCAAATCACAAAAAACAACTAAACACACATTGAATAAATCAATGATACAATATTGAGAAATAAGTATTTGTAATTTTATGAGATATCTTGAACATATATCTTTTTTATTTCGAAAGTGGTGTAACATGACCTTTAACCCTTTAACCATGACCTTTGACCACCAAAATCTCATAAGTTGTAAAACTTGATGCTATGGTGAGAATATGAACTAAATCTGTGAAGGGTTTTATGACATATCTAGTCCTTTATTGTTAATGACATATGTACACAGTAACCAATGGATACACATTCAAAATGCATGATTGTTATCCAGTACCTTACAACTAACTTCAGTGAGAGGACAATCAACCAGACTGTCTGTTTATAAAGGATTTAGGCCAATTATACCTGTTTAGTTAGAGAGGACTGGGCCAAGCCTGCTCCTGACGGCTGCTGTTTGACCGGGGAGTGTGTCAGCACAGACTGAGGTGCAGGACTGACCGATGGGGATGGACCACTGGATGGTGTGACCACTGCCGGGGTCGGAATCTTCTGTGGCATGCCTGTTGATCCTTGCACAATCTGCACACCTTGGTTTGTGATGTTCTGAACACCAGCATTTGTTATATTTTGGACGTTGGCATTTGTTATGTTCTGAAGCCCGGGGTTTGTGATTGTTTGTAAGTTGGGTGTGACTGTTTGTAACCCTTGGTTTGCTACAGGCTGTTGAACACCAGCATTAGATGTATTTTGTATGCCACCATTTGTGATGGTCTGTATCCCAGGGTTGGTAATGGTGGCAGGAATCTGAACTGGAACAGTCTGTCCTGAGGGAAGTTGAAGAAACACTTGCATACAGGTCGCAAACTGTGGGGGTTGTATTACAGGAGTGGCCACGCCTATCGTTGTCTTGGGACTGAAAGTAAATCAACACATCATGTATTCATGGACTCTGCACTATTTTACTGAAATATCAAAGGAAACATTAGAATCGCTAAAAACAGCAAGAATGCTTGAAACAGATGTCCAGTCAAAAAGTGCAATATTTTTTCAACTACAATGTCACGTACAGTGTAGTAATGAAAATGTCACACCTAATTTTCTTACTGTTTAAGATAAAAAAAGAAATGTTCTATACATACATCCCAATATGAAAAAAAATGTTTCAAAATAGCAAGACTGCTGTAAGGATAATTAATACATTAATTTCTAAAATCATAGATCCATGTTCAACATCATCACGTTGTCATCGAAGAATTTTATTCCATCAAAACATGTTAACTACACAAATATTGCAGTGTTAAGAGTTATTAAGGACCAATATATGTCAGAGCAAAAACAGAATATAAAAATCAAAATAAGTAAACCAGTCTACAGTGTGAGCTTGTACTCTCACCTGTTGTACTGACAAGGTTACACACTGTCGTCAATTTTTTCAGATTTCCCTACTCTTTAATACAGCCATGGAAACACAAAACTGGAATACCACCATTTTCCATTATGATTTGAGAATAGTGTGAATATCTCTTTGTGAGCCCCTAATAACAATGCTACAATGTTCCACAATTTACCGGTGTCCTAGTTAGGTATGGTCAATTCCTGGCTGACCGAGTCCAAGGATCACTGACCACGGTACATTGTGTATACAAGAACATTAGAATGTTTCTTTTATTGGTTTACACCTAAGTATCATTCACTTTTAAAGGTTCTTTCTCAACACCACTATGTCATTCAATGAAATGTTCATTTGGAGTCCCTTTGATTTTATTAATGGCTGTTAGATGATCTCAAGACTTTTCTGAGTTGTGTGTCAAAATGCTTATGTGCATGCAAAAAGAAAAGTTGGAAATTCCCGGAAAGGTGTTACAGAAAAGATTCCATTCACACGACGAGCAAGTGGAATTACATACTTACTAATCCAGCAGTAAAATCTACACATCTGCACAGCAAGACGAGGTATTTATTTAGAATACATTTTACTGGAGTTTGAATGGCTCATGTCAATGAAGAAATACCAATTTTGTTTTTGCTAACTAATGAATATAGTAAAGTATTTTAAAGTCATGACAAGGTGCTAACCATACGTACGGTGAGACAGTTGTTGACTGTGCAGCCGTCACTAACAGATTAGATGAAACAGATGGGCCAGCAGTAGGACCAGTCGCCAAGGAAACAGATGGTGCGGTAATCTTTGGTTGGTCATCAACTGACATCACAATGACATCACTGTCCTCGTCAGTTGTTGACGTTGGTTCTATCGTCTTCAGTTTTGTTAGATTGAGGGCCATGTTATTGTCATTATCAATAAGATCATCTGGGTCGACTTTCTCGCGTTTGATCCCATGTATGATCTTCGGTGTGGGATGTGGTATCGGAGTGTTCAATTCATTTGAACTTGGACCAGGAAACGGACTACCACTCTGTAAATAAAACAGATTATGAAAAACACATGAGAACACATCTGACTGAACTGTGTAAGTTGCACGACATGAAAGACATGAAACAGCAGAGGCGTAGCTTCCATAGAAAGAAAAAGCCTGGGCTTTCACATAAAAAATCCGTGCATAGAGTATGTCGGACAAAATTACACAACTAGGGTTGAAAATAAATATCAGGGGTTGAAGTTAATTGTTAAATAAATAAAAAATCCTGTCTCAGAAAACGATTCAAAACATCTTCGAAATCATGAAATTCAGACCCCTCGTCTGGGGTTACACATTTCTGATGGGCTTGCTACGCTCCTGAACAGTATACATACTTAGAACATATGGCACCTTCTCAATGTATTTCTAATTAACTCCGGCTAGATTATCTGAAATCTTAAATCTAACAAGCTATATATTACCTGAAATTTCTAACTGACTCCAGCTATATTATATGGAATTTAAGATTTATATCAGCTATATTACCAAGAATTTTAATTTAATTTAAAGTTTGTTTAGCTATTTCACATGGAAAATCCAAATTACTCAAACTACATAACCCAGAATTTCTAAATCATTCCACCTATATTACCTATAATTTCTAAATCACTACACCTGTATTACCTATAATTTCTAAATCACTCCACCTGTATTACCTAGAATTTCTAATTCACTCCACCTGTATTACCTAGAATTTCTAATTCACTCCACCTGTATTACCAAGAATGTCTAATTCACTCCACCTGTATTACCTAGAATTTCTAATTCACTCCACCTGTATTACCAAGAATGTCTAATTCACTCCACCTGTATTACCTAGAATTTCTAATTCACTCCACCTGTATTACCAAGAATGTCTAATTCACTCCACCTGTATTACCTAGAATTTCTAATTCACTCCACCTGTATTACCTAGAATTTCTAATTCACTCCACCTGTATTACCTAGAATTTCTAATTCACTCCACCTGTATTACCAAGAATGTCTAATTCACTCCACCTGTATTACCTAGAATTTCTGATTCACTCCACCTGTATTACCAAGAATGTCTAATTCACTCCACCTGTATTACCTAGAATTTCTAATTCACTCCACCTGTATTACCAAGAATGTCTAATTCACTCCACCTGTATTACCTAGAATTTCTAATTCACTCCACCTGTATTATCTAGAATTTCTCCTTTACTCCACCTGTATTACCTAGAATTTCTAATTCACTCCACCTGTATTACCTAGAATTTCTAATTAACTCCACCTGCATTACCTAGAATTTCTAATTCACTCCACCTGTATTACCTAGAATTTCTAATTCACTCCACCTGTATTACCTAGAATTCCTAATTCACTCCACCTGTATTACCTGTATTACCTACAATTTCTAATTCACTCCACCTGCATTACCTAGAATTTCTAATTCACTCCACCTGTATTACCTAGAATTCCAAATTCACTCCACCTGTATTACCTGTATTACCTGTATTACCTAGAATTTCTCCTTTACTCCACCTGTATTACCTAGAATTTCTAATTAACTCCACCTGCATTACCTAGAATTTCTAATTCACTCCACCTGTATTACCTAGAATTCCTAATTCACTCCACTTGTATTACCTAGAATTCCTAATTCACTCCAACTGTATTACCTGTATTACCTGTATTACCTACAATTTCTAATTCACTCCACCTGCATTACCTAGAATTTCTAATTCACTCCACTTGTATTACCTAGAATTCCTAATTCACTCCACCTGTATTACCTGTATTACCTGTATTACCTAGAATTTCTCCTTTACTCCACCTGTATTACCTAGAATTTCTAATTCACTCCACTTGTATTACCTAGAATTCCTAATTCACTCCACCTGTATTACCTGTATTACCTGTATTACCTAGAATTTCTAATTTATTCTAAATGTATTACCTGCAATACAGCACCATCAGTGTCCAATGCCTTTTTAAATGCTTCCTCAAATGGATTTTTTAATTCCTGAAAGAGCCCAATTTCTTCACAATTGCGTAGAAACTTAGTTGGGGTAGGTGTCTGATCTGAAATATCAATCATTAGTGTAAGAAATATAAATGCTTATTGTTCGTACAGTGGAGACTTGAAATACAAATCCTTTGTGTTAATGTCTGTATTACATCAGTGCCCCTGTTCCAATGCATCAAAATATCCTTGTTTGACAAATTTGTTGAAGTTGGTAATATATGTAACCTTTGACCCTTGATCGATGACCACCTTAATATGATAATGTGTAGAACTCAATCTTATGATATTATTGCAAACATACAAACCCATTCCGTTGAGAGGTTCACTAGATATCACAATAATTTGGAACAGGATGTGACATGATGCCACACGCAGATATAGGAAATACTACACACCTCCCATAAAGTGGTGGGGATATAAAAAGAGAAAATCTCCTTGACCAATGGTTTATATTTATTTATCTATTTATTTAACAGGATTTGCATCTCTATTACAGCTTTTCAGCCATTCTGCAGACAACATCACCCCTGAGAGTCCCTTCTAAACTCAGAAAGCAACTTACTTTCCCAGCCACTCCATCTTACCAAAGAAGGGTCAGACTGCCCCAATGCTACTGGGTGACCGTGATTGGAAAAGTCTCCCTGTTGACAAAGTCTATCCTATGAAGAATTCAGCCTCCCCAAATGCCAATGGTTGACCATACAAGTGATTGCCTTAAAGTATCAGGCCACCAAGTCTTACCTAAGAAGAGTCCAGCCGCCCCCATGCCACTGGGTGACCGCCCTGGTGACCGCCCTGGAGTCAAGGTGTTGAGAGTACTACCACTTTGTAAATTCAAAGCCAGTGACATCTCATGTTTCCTCATATGCACAGCAAGGTGATCTTCATTTGTGAATTGCTGAAATTGGAATGAATTTCCAGATAAATCCTCAAATATATCATGACAATAAAATACTATAATATTATATAAAAGATTAAACTCTTTGTAACATCCTAAACTTATCACAGATTCAAGTTAATTCTTCACAAGTTGTTTAATGGTGTGTATACATATTTTCTGATTTTATATAATATCATGTATAAAAATGTCACATTTAATTGTTCAAGAAATGTATAATCAACATGCATCTTTACAAGGTATGCTACGAGACACTCAGACAAGACTACCTGAAAAGGGAAAATATTTAGAACTGAAAAAACAAAATATAAACTCTTTGATCTTGATATATGATATTAAAATGAAGAGACAAGAAATTAACTTTTAACAAATTACCTGTCCACAACCATTCTGTGAGCACACAAACGGTTTATCATCTTCCATGTCCTTGTGTCCAGTGGCCTCACAGAGAAGCACCGTCACGGGAACCACTGTAAAAATATATATTAATAGCACCGTCACAGAAACCGCCGTATAGATATATAATAATAGCTCTGTCACAGAAACCGCTGAATAACTATATAATAATAGCTTTGTCACAGAAACCGCTGTATAAATATATAATAATAGCTCTGCCACAGAAACCGCTGTATAAATATATAATAATAGCTTTGTCACAGAAACCGCTGTATAAATATATAATAATAGCTCTGCCACAGAAACCGCTGTATAACTATATAATAATAGCTCTGTCACAGAAACCGCTGTATAAAGATATAATAATAGGACCATCACAGAGACCGCTGTATAACTATATAATAATAGCTCGGTCACAGAAACCGCTGTATAAATATATAATAATAGCTCTGTCACAGAAACCGCTGTATAAAGATATAATAATAGCACCATCACAGAAACCGCTGTATAAAGATATAATAATAGCTCTGTCACAGAAACCGCCATATCAATATATAATAATATCTCTGTCACAGAAACCGCTGTATAAATATATAATAATAGCTTTGTCACAGAAACCGCTGTATAAAAATATAATAATAGCACTGTCACAGAAACCGCTGTATAAAGATATAATAATAGCACCATCAGAGACCGCTGTATAACTATATAATAATAGCTCGGTCACATAAACCGCTCTATAAAGATATAATAATAGCTCTGTCACAGAAACCGCTGTATAAAGATATAATAATAGCACCATCACAGAAACCGCTGTATAAATATATAATAATAGCTCTGTCACAGAAACCGCTGTATAAATTTATAATAATAGCACCATCACAGAAACCGCTGTATAAATATATAATAGCTCTGTCACAGAAACCGCTGTATAAATATATGATAATAGCTTTATCACAGAAACCGCTGTATAAAGATATAATAATAGCTCTGTCACAGAAACCGCTGTATAACTATATAATAATAGCTCTGTCACAGAAACCGCTGTATAAATATATAATAATAGCTCTGTCACAGAAACTGCTGTATAAATATATAATAATAGCTCTGTCACAGAAACCGCTGTATAAATATATAATAATAGGACCATCACAGAAACCACTGTATAACTATATAATAATAGCTCTGTCACAGAAACTGCCGTATAGATATATAATAATAGCTCTGTCACAGAAACCGCTGTATAAATATATAATAATAGCTCTGTCACAGAAACCGTTGTATAAATATATAATAATAGCTCTGTCACAGAAACTGCTGTATAAATATATAATAATAGCTCTGTCACAGAAACCGCTGTATACATATATAATAATAGCTCTGTCACAGAAACCGCTGTATACATATATAATAATAGCTCTGTCACAGAAACCGCTGTATACATATATAATAATAGCTCTGTCACAGAAACTGCTGTATAAATATATAATAATAGCTCTGTCACAGAAACCGCTGTATACATATATAATAATAGCTATGTCACAGAAACCGCCATATAAATATATAATAATAGCACTGACAGTTAAAGTAAGATATTATACAAACACACAAACTGACAATTAATGTAAGATATTATACAAACACACAAACTGACAGTTAATGTTTAAGATATTATACAAACACACAAACTGACAGTTAATGTTTAAGATATTATACAAACACACAAACTAACAATTAATGTAAGATATTACACAAACACACAAACTGACAGTTAATGTAAGATATTATACAAACACACAAAATGACAGTTAATGTTTAAGATAGTATACAAATACAAACACACAAACTGACAATTAATGTAAGATATTATACAAACACACAAAATGACATTTAATGTAAGATATTACACAAACACACAAACTGACAGTTAATGTTTAAGATATTATACAAACACACAAACTGACAATTAATGTAAGATATTACACAAACACACAAACTGACAGTTAATGTTTAAGATATTATACAAACACACAAACTGACAGTTAATGTTTAAGATATTATACAAACACACAAAATGACAGTTAATGTTTAAGATATTATACAAACACATAAACTGACAGTTAATGTTTAAGATAGTATACAAATACACAAACTGACAGTTAATGTTTAAGATAGTATACAAACACATAAACTGACAGTTAATGTTTAAGATAGTATACAAATACACAAACTGACAGTTAATGTTTAAGATAGTATACAAATACACAAACTGACAGTTAATGTTTAAGATAGTATATACATTTTCTTACGTATCTTCCATTCAAGGCTTCCATTTGTAACTACAGTCTCTATTTTGATCACACTTATTTAATCAATAAAAGGAGATAGTTCCAGGTGTTACCTATAGCATATCTAACTAATCAACATGTATACATAATATATCAGCCAGTCAACTCTCATTCTCGGTCGGAAGGTCACCGCTAAATTATGTGAAGCCTAGAAAACAAAAGCTACATTTATATTGTAAAACAAAACTAGACCAGCTGTGTAACAAAGGGATATCTGAAGTATTTATGGAGAGTCAATACAAACTGATACAGAGTACCAAACATCTGCCTACTGATTATAATGGAAGTTTAGAAGGCAGCTTGACTTAAAGCAGCATCTTCACTAGATACAAGTGCAGATAAAAAATCAGCTTTTCCAAATGTTTCTCCTCAGATCCATTGTCCCTACTGCTGAAACTGTATCATAAACTTCAAACTAAAAATAAGCATCATACGTATACAATAATATGATGGAAAGTATATCCTATCATTACCGTTAAGGGCAGTCAGAAAAAGACCATAAACAGATACGAGTAGTGATGTGATGGGTGTTAAAAAGTTTCTTCAATAATTTTGCTAAATTTGAATAAGACATCTTAACAAGGAGCCACCACAGTCCATAATCAGGTGGAAGAACAGTGGACTACCCCACCAGAGGTGAAGAACAGTAGCCTACCCCACCAGAGCTGAAGAACAGTGGCCTACCCCACCAGAGGTGAAGAACAGTGGCCTACCCCACCAGAGGTGAAGAACAGTGGCCTACCCCACCAGAGGTGAAGAACAGTGGCCTACCCCACCAGAGGAGAAGAACAGTGGCCTACCCACCAGAGGTGAAGATCAGTGGCCTACCCCACCAGAGGTGAAGAACAGTGGACTACCCCACCAGAGGTGAAGATCAGTGGCCTACCCCACCAGAGGTGAAGAACAGTGGCCTACCCCATCAGAGGTGAAGAACAGTAGCCTACCCACCAGCGTGGTCAGATTTGAGGTGTGGGGCTCTACATCAGTGTTGAGGTTTGAGGTGTGGGGCTCTCTATCAGTGGTGAGGTTTGAGGTGTGGGGCATCTTATCAGTGGTGAGGTTTGATGAGTGGAGCTCCATATCAGTGGTGAGGTTTGAGGTGTGGGGCTCCCAATCAGTGGTGAGGTTTGAGGTGTGGGGCTCTAATCAGTGGTGAGGTTTGAGGTGTGGAGCTCCATATCAGTGGTGAGGTTTGAGGTGTGGGGCTCCTTATCAGTGGTGAGGTTTGAGGTGTGGGGCTCTATATCAGTGTTGAGGTTTAAGGTGTGGGGCTCCTTATCATTGGTTAGATTTGAGGTGTGGGGGTCCCTATCCGTGGTGAGGTTTGAGGTGTTGGGCTCCTTATCAGTGGTGAGGTTTGAGGTGTGGGGCTCTATATCAGTTGTGAGGTTTGAGGTGTGGGGCTCTATATCAGTGGTTAGGTTTGAGGTGTTGGGCTCCCTATCATTGGCGAGATCTGAGGTGTGTGGCCCCTATCAGTGATGAGATCGGAGGTGTTTGCTCCCTATCAGTGGTGAGGTTTGATGTGTTGGGCTCCCGATCAGTGGTGAGGTTTGAGGTGTGGGGCTCCCTATCAGTGGTTAGGTTTGAGGTGTGGGACTCCCTATCAGTGGTGAGATCTGAGGTGTAGGGCTCCACATAGTCAGTGTATGCTCAATGCATCAGTATTTGAACATATTGATCTGCCAGGATGAATACAAGTCTGAGACTTAAAATTTTGATATTGAGCCAAATCTCCTCTACTGTCTCCCATCATATTCCCAAAAAGGAAGCAAACATTCGTACTAGTGTTTTCTTTCTTCTGTTCATTAGACTACGGATTAACCTACAATGTTTTACAGGTTTTTATACTCTGTAAGGTTTACCTCTTTTAATTGTATTTTCAAAGCCAACAATTGGATGCCATTGCTAAACATATGACTACATATAGCTTGCTTCCTAAAGCAAAATATCTCTAAGGAAACAAACATAATTTGTGTTCTGTTGAATAGCAGATACATGTACAATAATATGCACAATAAACAGATTGTTGGGAATCCCAGCTGAAAAGGCAAATTATCCTCCTTTTTGAACCGCTCACTTTCCATTCAGCGAGATTACCTCCTAAACAATAACTTTCGAACTACATATCAAGGAAATACACTTCTTCCCTCTTAATGGAGTAAAATCTGCATCTGCACCAGACAGGAAATGCACACTGTACATATTGTACATTACTCAGGTTCAAACAAGTGTGCAGGTTTGTACCTGGCAAAAATCAATTGGAAGCAGCAGAGATACAGCTGTCAATATTCTCAGCCACTCTCCCACTGCCTGTTCAGGTTTAGAAAACACTGCACACTACAGAAAAGGCCTTGGCTACTAACATACAACTCCATTGTAATGAGCTACAATATAGCTATAATATTGTTTTTTTCTTTCTACCTGAACTGCCTGCAGTGTCCTACAATGCCTGTATCAATGGTGAAAAATTATTAAACCTTTTTTTGCAAATTGAAAGACATTTTTTTTTAAAAGGAGAAATATCCTTCTTTGCTGTAAAACATCACATCAACACATACCATGTGTGGCTAAAAATAGATATTCATGTTTTTATGCCAAATGACAAAAATATGTGCATGCCTTCTTTATTAATTATTTATTGGGTTTTTGTCCGATATTAGCCTTTCAGCATTTTGGCAATATCAGTGCACTCAACATTGCATTGCAAGTATTATATTCCAACTGGTAACGGTCCACAACTAGGATCATTTTGAGACATACTCTCCGTGTCGCAACTTGCTGAACAACATACAGAAGGCCCACCACATCCTTCCCAGAGTGATACGGGTAAAGACACAAACACATAAACAAAGATCTGTCTGTTTCTCAGCTTTCTGAGAAACACAAACCACCATGGGTTAGGAGCGTCAAGCAACTCGTCTGATATTTGTAAGGTCATCATTCTATACACTGTGCTATCATTGTCCCTCAGCTACTACTAAAGTCCACTCAATATTGTCTTCAAGTGCCACAACAATTACAACCTTTATTTACATAATTTGGTGTGTTAAATACTGTAGTAATAAAAAATGTTTTGCTGCCTAAAGAGTCCATAATAAATTTATTTATAAATCAAAGTGGAAACTTCCTTCCAAAACATCAACATCATACTTCATAGCAGATCACAAGAAACAGATACACTTATATGAATGTAATGAGTCCCCAACATATATGATGGATGGGTGAACAATTATATGCTATTTGTCAAGGTCATTTTGGGCGTATATATCTACGATATGACACTTCTTTCTACTGCTTTACTAAGAAAGAAGAATGCATGCTTCTCAATCTCCTGATTAAAGTGACGGTGTCTAATATTTATAAATGTATGAAAACATGTACCATCAATCTCAGAAATAAAAATACCAGGAAATCGTCATCAAAAGTCCCAGGAATGGTCATTAAAAGTGCCAAGGATTTGTCATCCAAAGTCCTAGGGAATCATCGCAAAAAGTCCCTGGGATTTGTCATCCAAAGTCCTAGGGAATCATCGCAAAAAGTCCCAGGGAATTATTATCAAAAGTCCCAGGGAGAGGACATCAAAAGTCCCAGGGAATCCTCATCAAAAGTCCTAGGGAATCATCGCAAAAAGTCCCTGGGATTTGTCATCCAAAGTCCCAGGAATAGTCATCAAATGTCCAAGGGAGAGGTCATCAAAAGTCCCAGGAAATTGTCATCAAAAGTTCCAGGGAATCATCATCAAACTATTGATAATATACATGTTTTGTCTGTACATTGGTTCAAGACCATTATGTACTTCAGAATCGCCATTTTGTCGAGGCGTATCACATGTACTATTGACCTGCGTGACCATGCACCAGGATAATTTTGGTTGCTGTAACATGTCACACTTCCACAAAGAATAAAAAATAGTGATTAAAACCATTCAGCATAAAATATTCTGTGTTAATATTTCAATGGCAATTTTGTATATTTTTTCTTAATACACATTTCACATGTCAATCATCCTCCCAGATATGATGAAATAACCAATCAATACCCCTGGATGCCATTGTTTTGTTGTTGTCTGCCAAATGAATAAAAACTTACCAAGAATAATAGACCTCGCCTTCTTGAAATTTTTGGCTTTGAAAGTCCAAAACATACACTTCATGTATTGGAAAAGTGGTGGGTTTTTTTTCAATTATCATTCTTAAAGACTCAATCATTATTTTACTTAACTCGCAAATTGCATTGCGACCAATGAAGATTTGAACCTTATCTCAATACATTTGTGTTATAAAAAAGATGATTGTCAAGAAACATGGTTCATTTGAGAAAAAAAAACAACCAAAAAATAAAATTTTGATCTAACCCTTCAGAAAATGTGCACACAACACAGATATAAACATAGCATGAATTTGTTCTTAAAGGGTCCAAAATTAATGTACCAAGGATATTTACTCTCTAGTCTATCACATCCCTGGTAAATTTGTATACAAGGTATGAAATCAACTGAATTTTTTTGTAGGTTGGGGTGGTTTGTGGTGGTTTTGGGTACTTTTGAATGCTTCATCACACCCTGCGTTTCTGCCAAAACCATGATCAATCATGCAGTCACTTCCTCATCAATCATACTTTCGAAGTTGCTACTGAGCTAAATAAAAATTTCATCCACTGGGACGCTACAAGGTGTTAAATTTCACAACAGTCAAAGTATTTTCAGTTCTATCACTTGAGATTTATACTACAACCCATGGTCTATAAATAGCTAGACAATTCTATAGAAATATTTAGTATTATGAAATAACACACTCCATACTTCTCTAATTCGGGTGAAAGGTTTGAGATTTGTGTTTTGATTGGTAGTTTCACTTATTCAATTCTGCCAGCAAATTATAATCCTAATTAAACTGTACATGCACTAGGGTGAATTTGTAAGTAAACAAATGATTGACGAAACAGTGATTATCACAAAATCTCCGCAAGTAATCAACGTAACAAAACGTGTTCCACATTCTATTTTGTCTTATGATGTACCCAGGGGATACAAATCAGAGATAAAAACAATGTATTGTCCCATTACATACTTTCAAATAACTTATCTCTCAGTGTAGTATCTGTGTATGTCTCCTGTCAACTGGACGGAAACGAGCGGGCACTTGCTAACAACATAACGTAATGGACGATCGTAGAATGTATGCACCTGCTGAAAAGCCTTGTTAAAATCTATGTCATGAATGTCACTGGTATTTCCAAGATACTTACCTATAGCGTCCTAACCTCGGTAATGATCCTGGGTTTTTACTATTTTCGTTTCTGACAGCAGATATGGCTGAACTGGACGACAGATGGCGCTGTAACATAATTAACATTCCCGTGACTTCCGGGTGTCTTTGATATTCATTTACTTGATAAGATTTAATTCCTATAAACGATATATTTCTGATGGCTGGTGATTAATGCTTATTTCAAACGTAATGGTGCTACTTTAATATCTTACGGCATAAAACTGTAGTAATAGATGCATTGGAAATCGATACCAAGGGAAATAACTCTTATTAAAAAAAGTAGATAATGCAAGCTTCGAACAACACGGGAGAAGATGAGATTGAATTTTTAGCCTGACTGCTAATTAGAATCGTGGGTTTTTCAAATCACCGAACTCCAGTGACTGCCCATCAATCACCACATATCCGTCTGTCAGTCACACTATGTGTTTATGCCATCATATATTCTAGATAGCCTGCCTCCAGTTGTTTCCAAATTGCAATATGACATTTGGTAGATTTCCCCCCTTATGAACTACATTTTGTGACAGTCGTTAATCCTATCAACTATTTCGACATGTTTTTTCCTGACTTAAGCAAAGTTTTACATGAATAATCATCCTAAGTCTGAAATTTGAAACACAGGTGTACGCGAATTTTGTCTAGGTGTATTGATCGCTGTCCGTGATTTTTAACATTGCCACAAATATTTATATTTATATACGACCGAAAATGCTGAGAGAAAAAAGGGGGAACAAACAAAGAAAAGACATGAAAAACGGACCGCGACCCCGTCTTGCAATTGTAAGCAATATCTCCTTATACTTCTCTATCAAAGCGACAGGGTTGTAGTATTGAAAGAAGTTAAAATCCATAACATTATCGATTTTTTTTTCAAACTTTTCATTTGTTTTTTGATGCTATGAAGCCTTCAGGTCGTAAAATGAAATTAACTTTTTGGATTTTCACATTTTTTATTCATGATCCATGTATCGTTCGAATATCTACAACATTGTTATTAAAGAAGACAATTTTTAAGAAAAAGAGACACCCTAGAAATAGCAAGGAATGTCTGTTATTCACAAAAAAAGATGAGGATGATTTGTTGCCAAAATTATATTTCAATTTTCCATTGAATTACATTTTCATTTTCACTGATTTACCGTAAAAGGACCGTTTGATGGACACGGTACCGCGTGTAATTTATTCACAAGACTTGTTTTTAAGAAAGGAAAAATATCAATCTTACATAGCACCGATAATGTTTTCAAAGGGAAGCACTTATTTACGTAACTGATACCAACAAAAACGGGAAACCGAAGACGAGATGTTCCAGAGGTGACGATCACTTCCGTTCTCTGTACCCCGGGAACATGTCAGGGCAAAATTGAAGGCAAAAGCAAAGCAGTTTGATTGTTCCAGGGAAAAACATTGACCAATTACAGACTGATACGCTCCTTTTGAAGATTATAACGGAGCAATACCCGAACATCAAAGCCATAACATTGGTTCCGGGGGTAAAAGAGAGCGAAAGTGATTGTAACCCTGTAGTATCGAGGATGGTTCCAGGGAAGCAGAGAGCGAAAGTGATTGTAGCCCTGGAGTATAGAGGATGGTTCCAGGCGTGCAGACAGAGAAAGTGATTGTAACCTTGGAGTATCGAGGATGGTTCCAAGGAAGCAGAGAGCGAAAGTGATTGTAACCACTGGAGTAGCGAGGATGGTTCTAGGGGTACAGAGAGAGAAAGTGATCGTAACCCTGGAGTATCGAGGATGGTTCCAGGGGTACAGAGAGAGAAAGTGATACAGAGAGAGAAAGTGATTGTAACCTTGGAGTATCGATGATGTAGTGATTGTAACCCGGAGTATCGAGGATCGTTCCAGGGAAGCAGATAGCGAAAGTGATTGTAACCCTGGAGTATCGAGGATGCCTCCATGGGGTACAGAGAGAGGAAGTTATTGTAACCCTGGAGTATCGATGATGTAGTGATTGTAACCCTGGAGTATCGAGGATGGCTCCAGGGGTACAGAGAGAGAAAGTGATTGTTACCCTGGAGTATCGATGATGTAGTGATTGTAACCCTGTAATATCGAGGATGGCTGCAGGGGTACAGAGAAAGTGATTATAACCCTGGAGTATCGAGGATGGTTCCAGGGGTACAGAGAAAGTGATTGTAACCCTGGAGTATCGATGATGACACTTCAACATCAGCTACTTATCTCGTTCTTGACGGCCTAAAATGTATCCACGAAACTCGGATGTGGTAGAAATAGCCAAACCTTAAATCTTCCCGAGCTGCCATTCTTATTAATACCTCTTTCAAATCTCTACGTGTATTTTTTTTATTCAGTCCATATTTTGGCCCCGTTTCACCGATTTTAATTAAAATTTAATTTCAAATATCAGTACTTTGATGTTGTTTTACTGTTGTTTCTCTCTTGTTGGTCAAGACATTAATTACTCATTCATTGGATTTGAGCCCGATTTCACAACATTCCGGAGAGAAAAGTACACAATATCCAAAAACCGTGAAAAACATAATTTGTTGGTATGTTTTGCTACGCAGATTATAACAGCATCCTGTGTAAGGTTTGGTCTCTTCGGAACATCTATCAATGCTACGCAGATTATAACAGTATCTGTGTAAGGTTTGATCCATTCGGAACATCTATCAATGCTACGCAGATTATGATAACGGTGTCGTGTGTAAGGTTTGATCCCTTCGGAACATCTATCAAATATCGTCAATCGTTAACACAATAGTAAGATATGTACTTCTAGCGGTTATTTCCGTTTTTTCTATTACTTCCTAGCTCCCATTATATACGCTAATGATTAACTCATGAAGAAATGTCCGCCGATCGTGAGAAGAACACATGACATCCTCCTGTAACTTTCGACGGTGATCAGGCTAGCCGATATTTTCCTGTAACTATGGACCGAGATCAGAACAGCCGACATTTTCCTCTAACTATCAACCATGATCAGAACAGCCGACATTTTCCTCTAACTATCAACCATGATCAGAACAGGCGACATTCTCCTTTATCTATCGACCGAGATCAGAACAGCCGACATTCTCCTCCATCTATCGACCGAGATCAGAACAGCCGGCATTCTCCTCTGACTATCAACCATGATCAGAACAGCCGACATTCTCCTCTAACTATCGACCATGATCAGAACAGCCGACATTCTCCTCTATCTATCGACCGAGATCAGAACAGCCGACATTCTCCTCTAACTATCGACCATGATCAGAACAGCCGATATTCTCTATCTATCGACCGAGATCAGAACAGCCGACATTCTCCTCTAACTATCGACCATGATCAGAACAGCCGACATTCTCTCCTAACTATCGACCGTGATCAGAACATCCGACATTATCCTCTAACTATCGACCATGATCAGAACAGCCGACATTCTCCTCTAACTATCGACCGTGATCAGAACAGCCAACATTCTCACCTAACTATCGACCATGATCAGAACAGCCGACATTCTCCTCTATCTATCGACCGTGATCAGAACAGCCGACATTCTCCTCTATCTATCGACCGTGATCAGAACAGCCGACATTCTCCTCTAACTATCAACCATGATCAGAACAGCCGACATTCCCTCTAACTATCAACCGTGATCAGAACAGCCGACATTCTCCTCTAACTATGTACCGTGATCAGAACAGCCGACATTCTCCTCTAACTACGGACCGTGTTCAGAACAGCTGACATTCTTTAACCATGGACCGTGTTCAGAACAGCCGATATTCTCCTCTAACTATCGACCATGATCAGAACAGCCGACATTCTCTCCTAACTATCGACCGAGATCAGAACAGCCGACATTCTCCTCTGACTACCGACCGTGATCAGAACAGCCGACATTCTCCTCTAACTATGGACCGTGTTCAGAATAGTCTATATTCTCCTCTAACTACGGACCGTGTTCAGAACAGCTGACATTCTTTAATTATGGACCGTGATCAGAACAGCCGACATTCTCCATTAACTATGGACCGTGTTCAGAACAGCCGACATTCTCCTCTAACTATCGACCATGATCAGAACAGCCGACATTCTCCTTTAACTATCGACCATGATCAGAACAGCGGACATTCTCCTATAACTATCGACCGAGATCAGAACAGCCGATATTCTCTATCTATCGACCGAGATCAGAACAGCGGATATTCTCTATCTATCGACCGAGATCAGAACAGCGGATATTCTCTATCTATCGACCGAGATCAGAACAGCCGACATTCTCTCCTAACTATCGACCATGATCAGAACAGCCGACATTCTCCTTTAACTATGGACCGTGTTCAGAACAGCCGACATTCTCCTCTAACTATCGACCGAGATCAGAACAGCCGACATTCTCCTCTATCTATCGACCGAGATCAGAACAGTCGACATTCTCCTCTATCTATCGACCGATATCAGAACAGCCGACATTCTCCTCTATCTATCGACCGTGATCAGAACAGCCGACATTCTCTCCTAACTATCGACCGTGATCAGAATAGCCGACATTCTCTTGTAACTATCGACCGAGATCAGAATAGCCGACATTCTCCTCTATCTATCGACCGTGATCAGAACAGCTGACATTCTCTCCTAACTATCGACCGTGATCAGAACAGCCGACATTCTCCTCTATCTATCGACCGTGATCAGAACAGCTGACATTCTCTCCTAACTATCGACCGTGATCAGAACAGCCGACATTCTCTTGTAACTATCGACCGAGATCAGAACAGTTGACATCCTCTGCTAACTATCGACCGAGATCAGAACAGTTGACATCCTCTGCTAACTATCGACCGTGATCAGAACAGCTGACATTAGTACGGGAAATGGAACCAAGACAGATTCCCCTCACCCCCGAGCAACAAGAAGTATGGGTAATGGAGCTTTTCCTGCAATGCCAGATTTACTCACGACTGTTGAATAAGGTTAAAGGTAATTTCGTTTGTATACTTCGTTGGGCTTTATCCTAGGAACTTATCACCCAAACACTATGCTTCTGCACCTTTTGGGTTGTCAAAAGTTATATCAAGATTTCAATTGACAACTAACCTTGAATACGTGCGGTCATTTTTTCCCCAAATGTTGTCGGGCTTCATCCAAGGAACCTATCACACAAATTCCATGCTTCTGCCCCTTTTGATTGGTCAAAAGTAGCTGTTTCAGAGTTTTAACAAATCCAAACATTTTGGCCTAGAATAAGGGTCATGGTCATTTCTTATTTCAAATTTTGTTGGGCTTCAACCTAGAAATATATCCACAAAATACCCAATACATGTGCACTTTACTTAAACAGAAGAAATTGTTTTAACAATTTTGACCCCTTGTGACATTAAGGTCAATGTCATTTTTTTCATAAATTTTTTTGGCTTCATCCCAGCAACCAACCAGCCAAAATACCATGCCACTTGGTTTGCTGATTAACAAGTCGTTTAAATAGAACAAGAAACCCAGAGGGCCTGTATCGCTCACCTGGATCTTTATGATCAACATTACTATATCTGTGCATATATTCCACGTTTAACACATTTGACCACTGTGACCTTGACTATGGGTCAAGGTCATTTCTTTTACTTCATAAAAGGAACATACTGGCCAAATATAATGATTCTAGGCTTTTCGATATTTCAGAAGAAATTGTTTAAACGTTTAACACATTTGACTCCTGTGACCTAGAAGATTGGACAAGGTCATTTCTTTTAGCAAACTTTGTAGGACACCATAAGAGGAACATAGTAGCCTAATATAATGATTCTAGGATTTCCAGTATTTTGAAAGAAGTCGCTTAAAATATTTTAACACATTTGACCTCAGTGACCTTGAATATAGGTCAAGGTCATTTCTTTTTGCAATCTTTGTTGGGCTTCATCAAAGGAACCTTCCAACCAAAAATTATTCTATGCCTTACGGTATTTTGGAAGAAGTCGTTTAAAGGTTTTAACACATTTGATCTCTGTGACCTTGAATATGGGTAAAGATTATTTCTTTTTGCAAACTTAGTTTGGCTTCATCAAAGGAACCTTCCAGCCAACTATAATGATTCTAGGCCTTCCAGTATTTTGGAAGAAGTCGTTTAAAGGTTTTAACACATTTGACCTCTGTGACCTTGAATATGGGTCAAAGTAATTTATTTTTGCAAACTTTGTTGGGCTTCCTCAAAGGAACCTTCCAGCAATATGATTCTAGGCCTTCTGGTATTTTTTAAGAAGTCGTTTTAATACATTTGACCTCTGTGACCTTGAATATGGATCAAGGTCATTTCTTTTTTCAGACTTTGTTGGGCTTCATCAACGGACCTTCCAGTCAAATATGATTCTAGGCCTTCCAGTATTTCAGAAGTTAAAATGAAAAGTTGACAGATGCCGCGCCATGGCATAAGCTCACTTGGCCCTTTGTCAAATATCACAAGCATTATTTGCCTGTGGGGAAGTTGTGCACCAATATTATAGCACATGTCCATCAATCATGCATTTAAAATCAACCCTTGTGTGGGCAGTTTATACTTTTATGGGACAAGTTTTTTATCTAAAAAGTTCTGGTAATGAAGTCTGTTGGAAGATTCAGTCATCAGTCTTATCTGCCCAAACAACAGCAATAGGAACCAATTAACTATTTCTTAAGTCAGCTCTAAAGAAATGTACATGTCAACGGTAACACTCGTCTTGTTCCTAAAGGTTTGGTCAGCGAACTAAAGACAATTTTTCTTTAGAAGGTTGAAAAAGATTTTACCATTTTATGTCAAGACAAACTATTTTAGGAATGGGTGAAAACAAAGTGGATTAAAGTCAGAAATATTGTTTTCCTTCAAGTGCAGTATATTTGGATTTAAGTCATCACCTTAAAATTGATGATGGGATAGGCAATGTCGATTTCCACTCCAGTGTTTTGCTAAGTCAATATTTTGGGTAGCAATACCCTGACACTTTATTCAAAGTGACCATGATTGATCTCCCATAGAATGTGAGGTTACCCGCCGGATTGCATGGGTTTTCTTCTGGGTATCTACTACCATTTCCTCCCACTGTTTGGTACAATCATACTTCAATCAAGGCCAACAAGTCATAAATACAAGCCGACTGCTTCCTCAGCAATTGTTGAATATTATACATATTCATTTACATTTAACCCCAATAAATATTCCATCAAAAATAACCAAAACGATTTGAATCATGCTTTCCCCATATTAATCAGTCCTGATTATTTTTTTAATGCAAGTCATTATCCCAATCTTTAAAAGAAAACAAGGAAAGGCTTGTTTTACAATATTTTTATGAATCTGTCAACTTGTCAAAACAATTTTAGCACTATACTATGGATTAAATGTTATTCCCTCTTCCTCGCACAAAAAAAAAACACTTCTAAATGCAGACCTGCCTATACCTGATAATATTTATTTAAACTGTATATAATCACACAGTCTTCAATCGATATTATCTTCTGTACAACTTCAACCAAGGACACAACAGCTCATCCAGAAAGTCATTTACAGTTCTTTGTTATTTGCTAACTTTTCTTCATTTTTTAAAATTAATTTATTATAAAAGAACTTCATGGTACCACTAAGTGGTTTGGTCTTCATTTGATGTGAGCTTTAACATACAGGCCCTGAAGATGACTCACAATCACACTTGTTGATCTGGTATTACATTTACATCAGTCTACAAACAAACACTCTGTCATTTTTCTCCACAACTTAAAATGCAAACAGAAGTAGGAAACCCATCATCAAGCAGAAGAGACCCATAGCTTCGGACAGAGCGAATCCCAACAGGGCATATGTGAAAAGATCTCCCTTCAGTGAGGGGTTCCTTGCAAAGCCAATGATTAAACTTCCGAACACTGTTCCAATACCAGCTCCTGAAAAAGTAAAAAAGGAGAATTTAGATGGGTCAAATGTTCATTGGCAATATCTTATCACACTAGTGAACAAAAGTTGTGTCCCAGCTAAAATTACTGGTACCCTAAGGGACATCATACTGAAAATGAAGATTATTGTGGGATTGAGCAATATATATATATACCAGTGATATACATTGGATCAAAATAAATACCAAGACAGCAATTATTTTTGTAAGTAAAATGCTAGAACATTTACACGTCATTATAACAAATGTCTACCAAAACTGACAAAAATGATAAAACTGGTGGTGATCCAAAGACAAAATAAAGAGATATCTGATTTTGGTGTTCACCAAGGTATAGTTCTTTATAAATCAGCTATAGTGGTAAAATGTTAAAAGCCTGCAAAGTCAAAGATTGCTGCTGGTTTGTTTTTCTCTTAATCAGCTAAAAACCAAGAAGGCACCATCAGTAAAAACTTGACAAAGACCCATCAGTTCTTCTGAAGTAATAGCAACATCAAGAATAAGAGATGGAAAAAGCAAGACAAATATTTAAACAGGCCACCACAATCAGACTTGCCAACTTAATCTTCATACTTTCCAGGAAATGCAATTTAATATCATGTAAGATATTGGTTGAGAACTGTTGTGTGGGAGGAGATCTCTAGACAAGTTTACAGCAGACATGCAATAACATTGGTTTACACTGCTCACCATGTTTTGAGGCTATCTCGATACTAGTGGTAAATTACAGATATTAACTTAGAATCATTTCATAAAGCCCTCTCATATAATAGTGTATAAATTCCATATAAAGACACTAAAATTTGTAAATGAAAAAGTATTTTGCGTTAATAGTGCTCAGTGACAAGCCCTGTATACACTCATTTATGTTAAAATCTAGGTTCAAGATGAAATTAAGGAATCTCGACACTATGGAGTTTTGTCAAAATTTACTCCTCGACATGTTTGATCAAGTATACTGTACAAGGTCCTGATGACAGCTGCATAATGCCAGCAAAACATCCAAATATTAAATCACACCAAACTTTTTAAGTGTTTCTAAATGTTTTCTCTGTGAGGAACTTTCTTGAAAAACACTGCAGGTCCACTGAGACTACCACACAGTTTGACATAAAAAGTGATGTATTGCCACCAGCAACTGTGCTGGTGCTTCATGTAACAAACCACAAGCAATCAGTTCCTTCACACTACACGTTTCCCATCTAAAACACTCACTGAACACAAGAATTCCCATAAAATGCAATCAGTAACCTTTATATTCTCTGTAATGTCTTTCAATATTTCCCCTGCAATGGGTTCATTGTGATGCCACTTTTAAAATATCTACATCAACTTGATAAATTTCAAACATTTTTGCAAACAATGTGCAGAAGCATTTTATAACCATTGTAAAATGGGTCCCAATTTTGTTCTAGCTAATTCTATTTCTATGAATATTGTTTCCTAATAAATGCAATGGGGACATTGTGACATCCGGTGTATTGCAATGCTCCATCGGACCAGGAAAGCAGTTATACTCAATATTAGCGTGAACTCGCACCTGATCCTGCACATCCAGCGGTAGCTGCTCCAGCTCCAATATATTTGGCAGCTGTGTCAATATCTTTCCTTGAAGCACTTGTTTGGAGTGATCGAATCTGCAATTTAAACAATGATCCAGATTTTACAAAACAACAAAACAAGTAACTTTCTGATGAACTTCATTTTTCAATAAAAAGATCAACTTGTATTAGGTTAATATCTTATAACAATTATTTGACATCAATTTCTGTTTTGTATTGGTTTAATATTGGTATGGAAATCCTGGTGAAATAGTGTTCCCCTCTAAACTTCATCAATATCAAAGCAAAATATGTCATAGAATTTTGATGTTTGCAACCTTTTGCCATATTTTTTCCCACGTTAAAAATTGACCCAACATCCTTCAAGAAGCAGTGGCAACAGCTTACAATCAGCATCAATTATATATGAATATAAAATTCTGAAACAACATTCAACTTGAAAGTCTGTTCATTAACTATGTATAAATAAAATTTGGGGCCAAACTTAAAATTTGAAAAAAAGGAAGATTATTCTTCCATTCCACCAAGAACCTGTATTCCATCTGTTTTCCATGTTTTGCTATGATTTTGTATACACAAAATATTATCTTGTTTACAGCAACACTGATATATTTTACCTGATTTAATACACTAGGGGTGGAGGAGGTCCAGTTTACTCCATTGAGCCCATTCCATGCAGCTAAGTTACCAGCTGGTCGCTGTTGTGAAACCTGGAAACAAAGTATAAGAAATACCAATCTTGATTTTGTAAATTTGGTTAATTTCACTAATTGCACCAACATGCAGATTAACTCTTTACATGTTTTAATTTTGAAGTATAAGGGGAGAAAGTGTCAACATTTTCTAGTAAGAGGACTGGGAAAATATTTTTTGTCTATCAAAGAAAATTAAACTTTTCAAATATCAAAAAGCAGTATATATCTAATGAAATTTTGTTCCAAATGAAAGATACGAGAACTTTTAAAGGAATATGTTTTGTACAAAAAAGTAAATTGTCATGCAAACCTCTTGTTTCTGTGTTACTACACTGCTCATTGGTCTAGCCCATGCGCGGCTGCTGTTTACAACCTGAAAATACAAACGAGATGCAACTAAATGCAGTTTTTATGCTTGTGGGTATAAGTGAAACCTTTCTTGAAATGCATTTTCCTTCATCTTAACTTGTCAATTAGTTTCGACCCAACTTCTGGGTCTTCATCATGACAGTATTTTCAAGACTTGTGTTTGGAAACTTTGAAGTTCCTCTCCATTTTACTTTTCCTTTAACATGTCAACAATTAATGTCCACATTATGTTAATAATCCCTCATGTAAATGAGTGGTTGATTAAGCTATCAATCTAACCTTGTGCTTACATTAATCTTTGCCCAGTTTTCTGGCTCCTTCATCAGACATTGCTAGAACATTGTATAATAAAAAGGCCAAATTTTCTGACAATGTTTGTTGATAATTTTAACCAAATAATTGGCATCAACATAGTGTTCACCAAATGCTCATCAAAGTACTGAAACTACAACTGTGTTTAATAAAATTTATTCAAAATTCCTGTCCCAGTGGTGTTAAGAACTGGCTAATAAGCAAATATGGGTGCAGCAGGTTGGTAACATCTTTATGTTCCAAGTCAGCACTTGATGCAATGGGATTCCGGTCAGAGGATAGAAATTATCAACTTGGACACATCATGAAGAGCATATTGAAATTCACTATCTCAAAAGTTTGACAATTAGCCCATCATTAATGGAGACATATTATCACACTCCCAAGCGAGGGGCAAGTTTATATGAGACTTACCCTACCTAATACCTACCTGTTGAGCATAGCAACATAAGTCAACGTTACAAAGGAAGGCAAAGATAAAAAAAATACTCATGGCTGTAGTAGGAAAGCTAAGAAATGTTCATACAACATTTTCGGGCTTCATAAATGTAAGGAACGTTGTATAAAATGAATTTAGTTCAAAGGTCACTGATTGACATTGAATGCACCCGGCTTGGGCAAAATTTCACAACAGGTTGTGAAAGACGAATTTATGCAAAAAAAATGTTTCAGTCAGGACAAAGACATTGCTAAATGGTCATGGGTTGATAACTTTTGCTTAAAAATAGTTGTTAAATGCATCTTTCCTGTAAATCGTCATCAAGACGGCGAAACTTCGTAAAAATTCTGAGATGACCTTCAGACGAGTACGGACTTGACAACTAAAAAATATCAAATATTAATTAAAATGCATTGCTGAAACAATATATTTGCAATACTTATGTCTTATATTGATACATACCACGCATCTGACACTAGGTGCGGCGATTCTTGAGCAGGAAAACATCTTGTTCTCTTGCGGTTTAGCTCTTTTCAACACCGTTCTACAAAATACCGGTCAACTGTCATTAGAATAAGTTCTCAAATGCAATAAAAACGTCATAGAAAGAAAATTACTCCGCCAGGAAATTAGAAAAACAATTATTAGTTACAACTGCAAATTCACTTCATTCGATGTTGAATTTAAACAGTAATTGTGCGTTGGATTGCACTTACAAAATTCAATGTCATCAAACCCTTACCGTTTATGCCGGCTAGAGGACAGTTGTGCGCATGCGCCATGAAAAAGGAAGTGTAACCTTGCAAGCATTTATTCTTAAAATTTATTTTCGCCTTATTTTGAAAAAAAGTAACATATTTTGCGTGTTTATACATTTAAAAGACTAAATTAGTCCTCTTTAGTTCAAGATATTAATTATGGTTTTTTTCCGGAAAAGTCGAAGTCGGCAAAGTCCGTATGAGCTCACATTTCGCGGAATTTATGCTAATGAAGTACGATTAAGAATGCAAATGGCTGTCTTTCTGCTGAACAACTGCAGATTTCAGGGATGCGGACTGCAGTTTGACACCCTTGGGGACTTAATACAACACATAGAAGACACACATATCGGTATAGTCTATCTATTGACTACACGATCGTGTCAATTGAATCTCAAATTGGCGTTATATCTTTGTTTTGCCACAGGTTGTTTACAATCTGCTTGAAGAGAGACTGAAAGGGGAATCCCCGATAAAACACTCTCCTTATAGGGGTCATTCGGTGCACTTTCGGTCTGATATAAATAAACGACTAAAATCAAACTCATAAAGTTAACTGACTGTTAAAGAAAAAAATGCTACTTTTAGTGCGAAAGTTGCAAAGCGAAAGAAAAGAGGATTCAGATGGACGGTTGATGATAAGATGATGATGTTCAGAAAGTAAAATTCTTTAAGTTTGTAGGTAGTGGACCTTTTCAAAATAAAGAAAAAACAAAAAGTGACGGATTTAATGTAGCATAGATCTACTGTACATAAAGGATGTTGCTGTGATGGCAATGTTTATCATGTTGATCAGGGATGATGATGAAGGCTTATACTCATGCCAATTTGTTATGATAGTGCAATTATTGAATCCAAAAGGATAAAGTTCAACATTTTTATGTAACTATAACATATTTTACAGATTCAGATCCACAAGTTCTAGAGAAGCAAGAGACTCGACAACCATCATCCCTGGCTCTTAGTTACATCTTACGGTAAATATCAATACCAGTGATGGTTTTATGTCAGGTAACGCCCCAGCTCCCTGTAAACAATAAGGAAAACATCTGTATCCTTTGTAAATTTAAAACTTATCAATATAACTTATATTTGAGTTGAAGAAGGCTGTGAGTGTATGTTAATATGTTGCTCTTAACAAGACTTGCTGGGTTCTGACAACTTGGTATCTCTATGATTTTACAAATAAAAAATAACATCTTGGAGATATATGTAGTTAGGGAGAACCCTTTGGACTAAACAATAGGGTTATATTGATTGGATGGTTCTATGTGTTTTTATTGCTATCTGGTAACATTGACCTTGTTATTATAAAAGTAATATTGTGTATGATGGCACAGAATTTCAAACTTTTATCTAAACTTGAATTTCAAAGCGTCAGTAGAAATTTTAATTCTGCTTGATTACTGCTAAATGTCATTTGTAAAAAACAATGTGCTTTAAGTCTATGTATTGAAAAAAAAAGAAAACATGTATTGTATATATAACCAATACACATTGCCCATTGTATTCAGTCTCTAGTACACTAAATACTGTTACATACAGGCCAATGTATACTAAAGGATATTTGTACCTGTAGTAAATATGTGGCCTGGATTTATTTGAATAATTATTGTCAAGAAAAACTGCCAATAGTTTTGTGAGAAACAGATTTTTCTTCAAGTGGAATTCAGATAATTTGCTCCTTTTAGAAATGTTATTGTTTAAGATTTTAAGTGACTTGAGTAAAAGAGTTAAAGAAAAACTGTATTTTATGTATATGTATTGTATTCAAGATATATTTAGAATACATGGTCAGTATCTTAAAATATAAGCTGTATTTTGGCAAGGGTGAAGAAAATCACAAGTGGCAAGCCACGTTTGTCTTTCTGTCATGAGCCAAAATGAAGCTTATTTTTAAAACATTGACCATGTCTTCTATTTATGCCACTAAAAATTCAGACTATCAAAGTTTCAGTGCTTTGTTAGGGACATACAATCTTAGTATACTAGATAATTACTTTATACTGAATTGTGCCAATTGACACACCTCAAAATAATTGCTCCATGTGGAAAGTCGGTTCCACACTTCACTAAATATATAAAAAGCAATTTTCCAATTTTTTCGAAAACAGCTCCTTTGTTACAACAAACAAGATAGCTTACTTAAGAAATTATTAAAATTTTTGAATGGTAAAAACTCAGTAAATCAAAAAGTCAATTTAATGTACTGCCATTTGCTGAGTATATAGGAAAAAAACAAAACGGTTTACAAAAGGGCAGGTAAGAGAGGAAAAGAGTCAACTTATATCAAACCAATACAGGTCATATGATCATGGGTGCCAAAGTCTGTTTAGGATCTCTTGTTGTTCTGTAATCTTACGTTAGTTAAATTATTTACCATTTACATTATTCTGACTGTTCCATCTAATGTGCTGATAAACACCAACCAATCACTGCCTTGATTGTCTAGTGACTCCACTCCTTCTAAGGTGATATTTTAAGTTGAGCAGAAGTCGTCCTGAAGGATGTGTCAAAACTTGGGTTTCACTACACATGCCCATTACAGTCTGCCAAAGTGCGTTCTCCCTATACAGTACATCTATTGTTGCTATGGTTGTATTTGGTAATGGAACTAGGCTTTATTGAATTCAGAGAGAAGCTGGAATTACCTCCCTTTGTGTATTTAATCTGAATAGTTTACCTCCCTTTTTGTAGATGTTTCACTAATGAAGGAAGAAGGGCTCAGCAAGAGTTGAACAGGAAACAGAGAGAATACTATCAGTCTCCAGCGCCAACAGCTAGGAGTGTTACTCCTTCTGGTTTGTGTATTTGGTGTCTTTGTTGTCATTCATTTGCGTGCCTTTAAGTTATCTAAGGATATTTGCTAGCTTTGAAGCCTGGAGTTCAAATGTGTAATTCTCATCATCTATGATAATTCAAGCCACAAACTGAATTGTTGTTGTAGAACAAAGATATACACAGAAGGACTGTACATAAAATTCCTTTATTCTGGCTTCCTTTCATAGGAATGATATTTTTTGGGAAGAGGCCATACACTGCAGATCAAAATCTTTAAATTTTCACATTTAAATTTTGTTATGTAGGTGTTACCCTGGTTATATTCTAACAGCTATATACTGCTCAGTTATAGAGAAATTCTCATCAGTTTGAGCGGCATCAGACTACTTAGCCAGAGGTCCCAGGTTCAAATCCTGACAGTGGCATCGAAATAAATAACGACCTCTGTTACATAGACTATAAGATATCATATCAATTGTGTACGATATGCCAGGGGTCGAAATTAACTTTTTTAGTCACTAGCAAACCATTGCAAGTGCCTAAAAATTCCACTAGCAAAAATGATGAACAAACTAGCAATTTTTTGGTGAATAAGTTTGACTTTTATTTACTGTTATATTGAGTTTTTCAGGAACTGAGTGATATATGGGAAAGATATCCAAGACATTAGATAAGAATGGCTGATTGCATCATTACTAGATGATCTGTTGTATCCTAGACTAATATTCAATTCTTTTTCCCATTTCCGTACCATTTTTAACGTGGCCGTATATGCATGTGGTTGTGGCGGTGATTTTATATCAGCAGCATCAGGAGAAACGCTCTCCGTTTTCAACGATTTTTTTCAGAAGGGCCAGGCTGTGGCTGTATTGACTATTGTCTAATCTATTTACTCATTTAAAGGCAGATGGAGAAAGGCATTTTATGGCAGATGTTTCGTCAAAAATAGTGATTAGGTATATTTCATTTCCACTCGCATAATTTTGCTAGTTCATTATTTTCCAGCTAGAAATTACCAGATTTTAGCTGGCATTTTGCTAGTTGTGTATAGTTAATTTCGAACCCTGTATGCTGTTATAAACCTGCCCCCAGATTTTGAGAGAGAAACGATGTATCATTGCCCTTGATACAGGAAAATAGTGTGATAAAAAAGCAAAACCTTAATAATATGTGTCATTTCAGGAAGTGAATTTGATGACTATGACTCAAATAGTGAAGAAGAGGACAGTGATGCAGCTGTCTCCACACAGGAATTCTCTGCTGAACTGATTCTCAGGTACAAACTCTTGTAACTTTGTGATTATCATTTCTGTTACTATATGTATACACAACCATTTCTCATTAATATTAGCAGATTAAATGTCTTTATTGGTGTTTATATATGGACCATAATTAATGAATGCATTTTTGACCTCTAACCTTTAAATGCATGTTTGGCTTCTGAGATTTCTTTGTGTAGGAATGTTTGACCTCTGACCTATAATTGTTTTTAACTGATTGACCCTTAGCTTTCATTAGGTCATCTGAGACAAAGTCTCATGGTGACCTATTCTAATTCCTTCATCCGGTGTCGTGCATCCGTTAACAATTTAACACTTTTGACTTCTTCTCAGAAACCCCTGACTTTCCCTGGCCTAAACTGAACCAAAATTGTGAATTATATAGTCCCCAACCCCCAGGGGTCTGAGGGGTGGGGCCATAAGGGGTCAAATTGACTCAAATTTCAAAAATCTTCTTCTCAACACCCAGATATGGTAGAATCAATTACTCTTCATGAATGGAAGGATCTTAAGGTGATTTACCAAAATTGTGAATTTCATGGCCTCAAGGTCTCACACATCCCCGTGGGGAAGGGTACAGTTTACTATAGTTTGTATAGGAAAACTAGATTTTTTTAACATACCCCGGTAATTTGTTTAATTTCCATTGAAAATATTTCAAACATGGTAAAAATTATGAGTGAAGGATTGATCCCTGGGGCTGATTGGCATGGCCAAAAGGGGTCAGATTGACTTAAATTTCAAAAATCTTCTCAACATTCAGATATGGTAGAATCAAATGCTCTTTATGGATGGAAGCATCTTAAAGGTGCTTTAATTACCAAAATGAGTCTCACATTTCTTCCTTGGGAGGAATATTTTTTAAGACTTTCCCACTGGAAATAACTTTATAAGAATTATCATTATAGGATAACAGTTTTAATGGTATACATGTATTGACACTGTCTATATTCAGTGTCACAATTCTGTTCGATGACACTTTCTAACTATCCTTTAACCTTTACATTCACTATTGGTTATCTCAGGTGACCATCATGGCCACTTATTTGAATACAAATGTTTGACCTCTACACTTTCATTGCTTATGATTGATTGACCTTCATTTGTTAATGAATGTTCACCTCTGACCTTTAGCATGGTGAATGGCCGTGAGAGTCCTGGAGATTCGGAGAAACCTCTAGCTTGTCCAGTTCCTGGCTGTACCAAGAGATACAAAAATATCAACGGCATGAAATACCATGCTCACCATGCTCACAAGAAGGAAATCAGGTACAAACACAACCGCAGAGGTGACAAGGTCAAACTGTTAGTGTGGTAACATCAGATATCAATACAACCATAGAGTTCTCAAGGTCAAACTGATAGTGTGGTAACATCAGATATAAATACAACCACAGAGGTGACACGGTCAAACTGTTAGTGTGGTAACATCAGATATAAACACAACCATAGAGGTCTCAAGGTCAAACTGTTAGTGACAAGGTCAAAGTGTTTGTGTGGTAACATCAGATATAAACACAACCTCAGAGGTCTCAAGATCAAACTGTTTGTGTGGTAACATCAGATATAAGCACAACCACAGAGGTCTCAAATTCAAACTGTTAGTGACAAGGTCAAACTGTTTGTGTGGTAACATCAGATATAAACACAACCATAGAGGTCTCAAGGTCAAACTGTTAGTGACAAGGTCAAAGTGTTAGTGTGGTAACATCAGATATAAACACAACCACAGAGGTCTCAAGGTCAAACTGTTAGTGACAAGGTCAAACTGTTAGTGTGGTAACATCAGATATAAACACACCAAACACAAACTGTTAGTGACAAGGTCAAACTGTTTGTGTGGTAACATCAGATATAAACACAACCACAGAGGTCTCAAGGTCAAACTGTTTGTGTGGTAACATCAGATATAAACACAAACACAGAGGTGACAAGGTCAAACTGTTACTATGGAAACATCAGATATAAACACAACCATAGAGGTCTCAAGGTCAAACTGTTAGTGACAAGGTCAAACTGTTAGTGTGGTAACATCAGATATAAACACAACCACAGAGGTCTCAAGGTCAAACTGTAAGTGACAAGGTCAAACTGTTAGTGTGGTAACATCAGATATAAACACAACCACAGAGGTCTCGAGGTCAAACTGTTAGTGTGGTAACAAGTTATTATTGAATGTAGATACATAAAGAATGGATTTGACTATAAAATAGAGATCCTAGGTTCAATATCTGGGCAGAGACATTAACACAGATAATGACCACAAAATTAACATGAATTATATACTTCCATCAATGACTTGATATTTAATCACTTTAAACAAATCAGATACATGATATTTCTACTGTCACTTTATTTCTGTTTTAAGACATTTTACTGTATATTTACAGTCAAATCAGGAAAGGAACAACCATTTACAACTGTAGATACTGCAGCAAGAGTTACAAGACGACAAATGGTCTCCGTAATCACATGCTTAATCAGCACACACCTTCTGACGTGATGGCGATCAAACCAGTGCAGCTGACCACATCTAGTTCAGTGTTCCTGTCATCCCAGAAAGCACTAGCCCAACATTTAGATAAATCAAACAATGAGTGCAGTGCTAGCGCCATCTTGTCTGAGTCTTTCGACACTTCCTGTGATGCTTCGTTTGCAGAGGACAGCATAACGCCCTCTGAATTCCCATCTCCTGTAGCCATTAAAAAAGTAACTATGCCAAAAATTATACGAGCTGGACTTTCATTTCAAAACTCTTGTGTCACCACAAAGTCATTGGTCACTAAACAAAAGAAGGCAAATTCTGCCGAATCCATGGAGTTATCCCCGTTCCTTATTCAAGATCATGATGTTTCCATGGCAATGTCCCCAGAGATCGCTGTTGACTTTTAGTACATTCCAAGCAATACTCCAGACAAGCCCAATTAAGCATGTGTACCTGTATATATTGTTTCATTGTGACTAATCATTAATTTAATGTCTACTTGGAAAATTTCACTCTCCTTGATGGCAACATATTGTTAGTGCAGTAAGTGGTTGTTCCCCCTTGTTCTATTTATAGTACTGCCACTCATATTGGTAACCTTGACACAGAGGTTATCAGGTTTACCTTTGAGAAACAAATTGATGAAATTGGGTGAAAGTTTCCCAGAATGCAGTAGCTCCATAACCTAAAACAAAAAAAACAAAGCTGGGGATAGGATGTGACACTGCAGTTTCCTTTTTAATGGCTTTCATAAGAAAAAGTATTATTCACTTATATGAACTGATCTTCACTGTTTCTAAATCCGTCCCGTAACGTTGACTGGAAAGACAGAAATTTGGATTGTGTTTCTGATCAATTTAGTTTGCAGTTTAGATCTGATGTTTATGATAAAACAGAAAAGTAACAAACATAGTTGGGCTGTTGATTTTATATGAAGAAACGTTTACTGGCCAGGAGTTTTGTATCATACTGGATAAACTTTGTCAGGTCTGGTGACCTCTGTCAGGTCTGGTGACCTCTGTCAGGTCTGGTGATCTCTGTCAGGTCAAGTTAACAAGGTCATTATACCAAGTTAACTTTAGCTTGTCTTGTAATGAAGTGTTTACATCATATAAACTCTAGCTTGTCATGTCAGTGACGTCATTACACCATCTAAATTGTAGCTGGTCATGTTAACAATGTCATTACATTATATAACCTTTAGCTGGTCATGTTAACAAGGTCATGACACCATATAACCATTAGCTGGTCATGCTAACAAGATCATTGCACCATACAACCTTCAGCTGGTCTTGTTAACAAGGTCATGACACCATATAACTTATAGCTGGTCATGTTAACAAGGTCATTACATCATAAAACTTAAAGCTTGTCTTGCTAACAAGGTCATTACAGCATATAACTTATAGCTGGTCATGTAAACAAGGTCATGACACCATATAACCTTTAGCTTGTCATGTTAACATTAAGCTTGTCATGTTAGCAAGGTCATGACACCATATAACCTTTAGCTGGTCATGTTAACATTACGCTTGTCTTGTTAACAAGGTCATGACACCATATAACTTATAGCTGGTCATGTTAACAAGGCCATTACATTACACCATATAACTTATAGCTGGTCTTGCTAACAAGGTCATAACACCATATAACTTATAGCTGGTCATGTTAACAAGGTCATGACAGCATAAACTTATAACTGGTCATGTTAACAAGGTCATTACACCATATAACATTTAGCTTGTCTTGTTAACAAGGTCATGACACCATATAATCTTTAGTTGGTCTTGTTAACAAGGTCATTACATCATAGAAACTTCAACTAGTCTTGCTAACAAGGTCATAACACCATATAACTTATAGCTGGTCATGTTAACAAGGTCATGACAGCATAAACTTATAACTGGTCATGTTAACAAGGTCATTACACCATATAACCTTTAGCTTGTCTTGTTAACAAGGTCATGGCACCATATAACCTTTAGCTGGTCTTGTTAACAAGGTCATTACATCATATAACCTTCAACTAGTCTTGTTAACAAGGTCATGACACCATATAACCTTTAGCTGGTCATGTTAACAAGGTCATGACACCATATAACCTTTAGCTGGTCATGTTGACAAGGTCATGGAATTATATATTGTAATACTTGTCCTGGTGGGAGAAATCTTTTCAGACACTGGGGCTTTGTAATTGGTTGTAGTGCCTTACTGTAAATAACTCTACACTTAGAAAGGAGTATTTAAATCATTAAGTCATTAATAAGTATTGATGTTTCTGGTGAAAAATGTGTAAATGGGCATTCTAACCCCTGAACAATGAAAACAGAATCCTGTAGGAGGCTGGTGGCATTTTTCAAAATAACACATCTTCAGTGGAGTTTAACAAAAACAAAGTCGGGGAAAGTGCACAAATTTCAAGTTGAAAAGTGTCCAGAAACATGAATATTTAGCAGAAGATGTGATCTGAAGAATGACTTAGATTGGTGATAATCCATAGATACCCTGTATAAGCTTACACTTGTTATATCCAGTCTGTACAATTTTCAATACTTTTAACCTATACTGAAGAGGTCACATTGTGGAGTGACCAAAATGGTCAAGTGCCTTTAATGTGGATGTCAATCAAGGTTTGATAATATTTTTTTCTGTCAGATCAAAAGATTTAGCAGCAAGTGCAAAGCATTACTTATTGAGTCCATTCTAGCATTCATTATTTCTCAATCTCTGGGTCTAACACATGTACAATTCACATGTCATAATACCCATGTAAGATTCTGTACAGATAAATTGATGATATTTGATGAAGTCATCATTAATTTTATGTCCTCATTTGGAAATTATAGATATTTTTTGTGAAATGCATGTGTATGAACCTTTTTATGATATGAAAATTGATAAAATTTGTGAAATCTGAAATATATCCTAAGTTTATGATCATCTGGAACACTGAGCTTTTGTCTCGTAAACGTTGACTGCATTTGTAAATAGTTATGGTATTGAGAAACGGGTAAAGAAGTTATACATAATCGTGCAATATGTTGATATTTCATCTATCCTGATTGATTTGTTTTATAAAAGGGGGAATTGTCCATTGATTATGGTTTTTTGATTCATAATTAGAGGAGGAGGGGGGTATAGTGTTTATCATGTCTATTTGTCATATCTTGTTCCAAATCAATGCTTTATGTCATAATTTGGATTATCTCTACAAATATTTGGTTAATATTTATCTTATATATATATTATATAACATCACACCTTATCTGATGATCGGCTTTACATCTTAGTGTGTGCATTCATGTCTGCAATACAAGACTGATCAAGATGGAATTATTGTCTCTTAAAATCTCTCGAGTGGAACTGCATGTCAAATCACTGGAGCGGAACTGTGTTGTTTTGCCAGTAATGTGATTGATATTGCATATTTGTGTTGCTCTTGGAGTTCTGAGTCAACCACCTTCTGATATTAGGTGTCTATTCACTGTTGTCAAGGATCAAAGTACTTAGCTCACGAAGTCAAATACACTTAAATCATTGTTTTAACATAACTTATACATTTGTGCTTTGTTGCTTTTCTTCAAATTCAAGTGTCCAGATAAAAGGATATTTAGCTTTCCAAATTTTATCATTGAATTGTTAATTTAGACCCGATGTCTTGAATTGAAAAATCAGATTGATTAAGTGTTTTTTAAAAAGATTGACCTGATGATAAGATGAATATTAGTTGACCTTATTATATCAAGCAGATTGGCAACTCCGAAATGAAGAAATCAAACAAACATATATCTGTGATCATCATATAAGTAAATTTGAACAAGTTGTGTTTAAATGTGATCCCCGACACTAACACTGTATAAGTATTTGTTTCAGTTAGAAATGATTTATAGCCAATTGTATCTTGCCAGAGTTTATTCTGTCATACCTTCCAACATATATTTGGAAGTCTTTGATGGTTCCATCATGTTGTCGTCCATCACTTTTATTGTTGATTGGTCAACACATTTGTACATTTTTATTTCATGCAATTATAATTTTTCAATGTCTAGAATTATTTATGGTAAAATTTTAAGCACAAATTATGTGTAGTTTTCTGTCTTTCAATGCCTTATGTTATTTGTTAATCTGTCACATTGTTGGGGTTCATTCTGAAATCAGGGTGTTTGTCCGTCCGTCTTTGACTATATTATTTCAGCAGGTTTGTTGTTAAATTTAGAGATCAATCACCCTTGCCTCCCTGCCCTATTTTCTCAGTGGCCAGGGTATTCTCTTAATGTTAAAAAATTGTGTGATTTTTTTCTTAAAGCAAAAATTATAATATACTCAATTAGCTTGCAAATCTGTTGTTAGAATGTTAATTATTTTCTATTCCCTGTTTTCTTAGTTATGCCCCTAGAAAGCATTTCTTGTATTCTCCTCATATACTATAGTTGTATAGATAAAACATGTATGGTAGTTTCATTGTCCTGTTGAGCTTTTTTTCAAGGTTGTCTTGTTCATAACATGTGTCTTAACTGCCTAAATACAACACAGGTTTACAACATGAAAGTAAATTGTTAAAAAGTGAAAATTTCTTTGTTTCACTGATACCTTTTTTGTTGGGTTATTCCCTTTATGTTAAAGACATAAATTACATACTGCAAAGATTTAACTGTAACTCTCTTTATTAGTATTTCTAACAAGATGAAGAAAGTTTTTTTTTTTTTATTTACAGTACGTAAACTCTCTTTATTAGTATTTCTAAAAAGATGCAAGAAGTTTTTTATTTACAGAGTTATCTCCCTCCTCAGTACATTGGGGAAACTCTATATGTTTAGCCTTCATTGGAAACAGTTTTGTTTTATGTAAGGATAAACCTACACAGCACTGATAATAATTGATTAGTGGGAATCATTAACATTATATCATTAATTTCTATGTTGTATTTAAGTGATTTATTTCTTAATCATTTCTTGGCAATCAGTAATTTCTTAATCAAAGCCAGCTAGTTAAAACGATTCAGTGTTTTGTGTAAATGATACGTTGGTCCTGTTGATTTAAGGATGAGGTTAAAGTGTAAAAAAAATCAACAAATGCTGTTTCATTAGTTTTTGATAAACCACCCCCTTGTTTTAGAGGTGATATGTTGGATACTGGATGTGAATTTCTTTGTAGTGAGTTGTAGTTTCTGTTTGTTATAAAAGATCAAAAGATGTTATTTTCCTTTGCCTTGATATTTACTGATATTACATAAGTTTCCAGTTTTATACTGCTGGATGTCACTACTTACATCAAATGTTTTACATAGTGTTTAACACATTGCATTCATTGTAAAAGAATCTCAGTCATGATTTAATGTATAGATAAAAAAAAGATATGATGTGCTGGATAGTTCCTTATTTGCTTACAGCCTAAGTCTGATAAAAAATTAAAACCTATAATGGTTTTTATAAAAAATCAAATTTGAAAATTTCATGGATGTAAGATGATTATTTAAAACCAGAAATGAATTATTGTAAATAGTCATAATTAAAAAAATTATTGTAAACAGTCATAATTAAATTGTCTTTTAAGAAGGTGACTCAAAACAATTTACAAAGAATGAGTCTAAAAGATAGAAAATACAAATTGACTTTGTCATAACTCATATGATAGATATTCAGAAGTAAATTTTCACATTATGTTGATAAGTTTTTATATTAGAATATTGCAATTAAATTTCAATGTTTGTCAAAATAAGTAAAGAATATTCAAATGTTAATAATTGTAGATATTGATTTGTTTTGTATTTCATTTGTGTTTTGCTGATATAAATGGTGGTGCTGTTGTTGATAATACATGTATGTTTACCCATCAAGGCATAATGTAGTACATGTACAAATTCTATCTCCTTTATTTCAATTTAGCACAACTTGAGATTGTTAATTGTTTTTTATTTTGAAAGGTGCAATTTTTGTTGACTTTTTTTTATTTTTTTGAAACAAGAGTGATGATGAGGAAATAAAGTTATTAAACTTACTTATAGAGGAGATGGTAATGATAAATTTGTACTGTTACAGTTATACGGTTATGTACTCTCTTTTCTTTGCAGTCTTGATAAAAAAGATCTGGTAAAGATGATCAGGTTGATGAAGAGACTGTATGTGAATCTGATGGTAATACTTAGTACTATATGTACTCTCCAAATCAGTGTCAGAAAGCCTATATTATATCTGACCTATGTTATTAAACATAACATCTGCCTATATAGGACTACATGTAAACATGATATCAAACATATTCTAGCCTTTTATGTTTGTGTATAAATACATGATCAACTAGAACTATTATTGATATATTAAGACTGTAACTAGAGATTTTGTCCTAATGAGTTTTGAATAGGCCCTGTTAGTTCAGCTGATAAACTTTGTGGTGAACTCAAAAAATGCATCAAAGCGGAGCCTTGTTAATCCAGTTAACACTCAGTTTCTGATTTGGCTGTTCCCTTCTCAGTCACCACTGATCTGGTCGTCTCCTCAGTCACCACTGATCTGGTCGTCTCCTCAGTCACCACTGATCTGGTCATCTCCTCAGTCACCACTGATCTGGTCTTCTACTCAGTCACCACTAATCTAGTCTTCTACTCAGTCACCACTGATCTGGTCGTCTCCTCAGTCACCACTGATCTGGTCGTCTCCTCAGTCACCACTGATCTGGTCGTCTCCTCAGTCACCACTGATCTGGTCGTCTCCTCAGTCACCACTGATCTGGTCTTCTACTCAGTCACCACTGATCTGGTCGTCTCCTCAGTCACCACTAATCTGGTCTTCTACTCAGTCACCACTGATCTGGTCGTCTCCTCAGTCACCACTAACCTGGTCTACTACTCAGTCACCACTAATCTGGTCGTCTCCTCAGTCACCACTGATCTGGTTGTCTCCTCAGTCACCACTAATCTGGTCGTCTCCTCAGTCACCACTAATCTGGTCGTCTCCTCAGTCACCACTGATCTGGTTGTCTCCTCAGTCACCACTAATCTGGTTGTCCCCTTCACAGTCACCTCTAATCTGGTTGTCTCCTCAGTCACCACTAATCTGGTGGCTCCTCAGTCACCACTAATCTGGTTGTCTCCTCAGTCACCACTGATCTGGTTGTCTCCTCAGTCACTACTAATCTGGTTGTCCCCTTCACAGTCACCACTAATCTGGTCGTCTCCTCGGTCACCACTAATCTGGTCGTCTCCTCGGTCACCACTGATCTGGTCGTCTCCTCGGTCACCACTGATCTGGTCGTCTCCTCGGTCACCACTGATCTGGTCGTCTCCTCGGTCACCACTGATCTGGTGGTCTCCTCGGTCACCACTGATCTGGTGGTCTCCTCGGTCACCACTGATCTGGTCGTCTCCTCGGTCACCACTGATCTGGTCGTCTCCTCGGTCACCATTGATCTGGTTGTCCCCTTCACAGTCACCACTAATCTGGTTGTCTTCTCAGTCACCACTGATCTGGTTGTCTTCTCAGTCACCACTGATCTGGTTGTCTCCTCAGTCACCACTGATCTGGTCGTCTCCTCAGTCACCACTGATCTGGTCGTTTCCTCAGTCACCACTGATCTGGTCGTCTCCTCAGTCACCACTGATCTGGTTGTTTCCTCAGTCACCACTGATCTGGTCGTCTCCTCAGTCACCACTGATCTGGTCGTCTCCTCGGTCACCATTGATCTGGTTGTCCCCTTCACAGTCACCACTAATCTGGTCGTCTCCTCAGTCACCACTGATCTGGTTGTTTCCTCAGTCACCACTGATCTGGTCGTCTCCTCAGTCACCACTGATCTGGTTGTTTCCTCAGTCACCACTAATCAGATGATGACTCATTATGATGATGATGATGGTGATGATGATAATGATGATGGTGATGATGATAATGATGATGGTGATGTATGAATATGTTATGAAATCAGGTTATTACATTGGATTTAGGTTTTTCTCCCTAAATCCATATTCAGTAACTTTACACAACAACATATGTAACTATTTCAACAGTATCATCATTCAGCATGAATGTGTTGGATGTTATAAGTACAAATATTAGAACTAGAAATCACAGATGATTTTTAAGAATCCTGAAATTGTAAACAGCAATCCTGACAATATATCACTTCTTGTAAGATTACTAGAGAGGTCTTATTCTAAGACCAAAATATTTTTTATGAAATGAACTTTATAAATGTTCATCTAGTCAAAACGTTTTGTTCTGTTAAATATCACTTATTTATCGTTTACGTAAGGTGCATGTACTGCTCTATATTGTGTTCTGATAAATCATGTTTTCAGATGGTTTTTATGCTGGCCTCTGAAATGATTGCTCCACAATGTTGTTTTTTTCTCAAAATAAAATTTCCCTCAGCTTTGGTAAAGTACACATCAAATATTTTCTGTGATAAAATTTAAATACATTTTGATATCAGGACTTTTAAATTCTCCTTAACTTTGAAAGATATCATAAGTAAGATTAATGAAATCTGGAGGGTTTCTAAAATCAACTTTTAGAATATCAAAAGGATTTCTGTTTTGTGTAACTTTTATGATTTCAGAAGGGAATTTATATTGGTTTTAATCTAATTTGAAAAGTTTTAAATTACATGGCCAGAAGTGTTAAGGTGTGTTTCCTGATTTTTGACAGGCCGCTACATAAAGTAATTGTTTCAGTATAATTGTATTGAGTGCTCCTACTGACCATCACTGACCAGAGTTCTATTGATGTTTTTGTATGTAGCCATTGTGTATATTAAGAACATAACGAAGACTGAGATTTTTTAAAAATTTATTTGAAGCCAAATAATTAGATTGGATTGAAAAGTGATGATTTGATTATACATGGTTGAAAGATTTGCCAAAATGTGTTTCGTTTGATTTGATTTTCTGCCCAGTTTAAAGATGTGTCAAATTGTGTTACATTCGTCTGAGAAAGATAAAATGTTGTTACATAATAAAATGTTAGTTAAAATTCATAGAATTGTTTGTTGATTTAAGTAATGCAAGACAATAAGATGCTGCAAAGTTCATGATGAAGTGGTATTCCCATATCTTCTCCAGAGTCACATTTGGAATATTTCATAACATCTGTTGCCAGCTTTCTTCTGTTACCACTTATGTAACTCTCCATAACATATTCTGTTGAATAAGTTTTGGTACCACCTAAGGATAATCTCCCGAACATCTGTCAAAGAATTTCCAGGACCATATGTGGAAACCTTAGTACCATCTTTTGCTAGATCAATTCCGGTACCACAAGTGGAAAACTCAAAATTATCTGCTTCCAAATCATTTCCGGTGCCACATGTCGAAAATTCAATACCATCTTCTGACAAAACCAGGTGTAGAAGCCAAATTACAGCTTCTGTCAAATCATTTCAGGTACCAAGTGTAGAAATGTCAAATACATCTTCTGTCAAATAATTTCTGGTGCCTAGTGTAGAAATGTCAATTACATCTTCTGTCAAATCATTTCAGGTACCAAGTGTAGAAATGTCAATTACATCTTCTGTCAAATCATTTCAGGTACCAAGTGTAGAAATGTCAATTACATCTTTTCAAAATATCTTAGTGTAGGAATGATCGATTTCCGCTTCCTGTATATCAGAAAATATCTTAGTGAAGGAATGATCGACTTCCGCTTCCTGTATATCAGAAAATCTCTTAGTGAAGGAATGACCGACTTCCTATTTATCAGAAAAAATCTTAGTGTAGGAATGATCGACTTCCTGTTTATCAGAAAATATCTTAGTGTAGGAATGATCGACTTTCACGTCCTGTCTATCAGAAAATATCTTAGTGTAGGAATGATCGACTTCCACTTCCTGTCAATCAGAAAATATCTTAGTGTAGGAATGATCAACTTCCACTTCCTGTCAATCAGAAAATATCTTAGTGTAGGAATGATCGACTTCCTGTTTATCAGAAAATATCTTAGTGTAGGAATGATCGACTTCCTGTTTATCAGAAAATATCTTAGTGTAGGAATGACCGACTTCCTATTTATCAGAAAATATCTTAGTGTAGGAATGATCGACTTCCTGTTTATCAGAAAATATCTTAGTGTAGGAATGACCGACTTCCTATTTATCAGAAAATATCTTAGTGTAGGAATGATCGACTTTCACGTCCTGTCAATCAGAAAATATCTTAGTGTAGGAATGACCGACTTCCTATTTATCAGAAAATATCTTAGTGTAGGAATGATCGACTTCCTGTTTATCAGAAAATATCTTAGTGTAGGAATGATCGACTTCCTGTTTATCAGAAAATATCTTAGTGTAGGAATGATCGACTTCCACTATCCTGTCACTTCCTGTTTATCAGAAAATATCTTAGTGTAGGAATGACCGACTTCCTATTTATCAGAAAATATCTTAGTGTAGGAATGATCAACTTCCACTTCCTGTCAATCAGAAAATATCTTAGTGTAGGAATGACCGACTTCCTATTTATCAGAAAATATCTTAGTGTAGGAATGATCAACTTCCACTTCCTGTCAATCAGAAAATATCTTAGTGTAGGAATGACCGACTTCCTATTTATCAGAAAATATCTTAGTGTAGGAATGATCAACTTCCACTTCCTGTCAATCAGAAAATATCTTGGTAAAGGAATGATCGACTTCCACTTCCTGTCAATCAGAAAATCTCTTAGTGAAGGAATGATCGACTTTCACTTCCTGTCTATCAGAAAATATCTTAGTGTAGGAATGATCGACTTCCTGTTTATCAGAAAAATATCTTAGTGTAGGAATGATCGACTTCCTGTTTATCAGAAAAATATCTTAGTGTAGGAATGATCGACTTTCACTTCCTGTCTATCAGAAAATATCTTAGTGTAGGAATGATCGACTTCCACCTCCTGTCTATCAGAAAATATCTTAGTGTAGGAATGATCGACTTCCTCATACCTCCGCTGACGACAAGTGTAATTATGGGAGCGCGTTCCTCATACCTCCGCTGACGTCGGGTGTAATTATGGGAGCGCGTTGCTCATACCTCCGCTGACGATAGATGTAATTATGGGAGCGCGTTCCTCATACCTCCGCTCACGACAGGTGTAATTATGGGAGCGCGTTCCTCTTACCTCCGCTGATTACAGGTGTAATTATGGAAGCGCGTTCCTCATACCTCCGCTCACGATAGGTGTAATTATGGGAGCGCGTTCCCAATATTTTCGCTAAGTACAGAGAGTCGTCTGATCATTCCTTTCCTGAAATTTATTGCCATGGAAGAGACAAATGGACGCGACTTTTCACTTTTAAGGCGTATACCATTTTGGATCGATCTTTGGATGACCAAGCTCTTCAAAGATCGAGCATGACGGCTCTGCCGGATGTAGATGCAGAATGAAATTAAACTTCCGGTAGCAAACACAACAGCGGCGAAATATAATCCTTCCTCATAACCCCCGCTCTCATCCGCTATCCAACCTATTTCAAAACAAAAAGTAGATATCGTACTGAGAAAAACTCTGAAAACTAGAGGTCGGAAACATCGGAATGAATGTAAGTGTTGTCATAACGAATTGACAAATGGCGTGACTAAACTTTCAAGATAATGATGAAATGACGTCACACATTTGTATATTATATCATAGATTAGAGGAAGGTGAGCATTGATACAACGCAAAGATGACGTCACGGAAAAATACATGCACTTTGATTTGCAAAAGGAGTATAAAAAAATGACCCTCCAATGATATTACTTGAACTCGTCAGAAGTTATTCCATCTATATCTCAACAGATGCTCCCTGAAAGGAAAACTTTGCAACTATTAACGAGGAATAAAAAATTTAAGGACCTACTTGTAAATTATAATTTCGGTCTGGTCTATTTTTATATTAGTTTTACATCGTACCTGCGATGGGCGTTCCTAATGTAAATGTGATCCCGTGAAAGAAAGACAGCGTGCCGAACGCCATGTTAAGATTAGCCTTTCCCACTATGTCCACTGTCACGACAGAAAGCAGAGCTCCAAAGATCCCTGTAAATCAACTTTACAATACTTTAAATGTTATAGGGAACGGGCAACCAAACTGACCTCGGTTCTCCAAGTTTGTTACTAGTGGTAGGTGTCAAAGTATTGTTATTGATGCGGTCAAATTAAAATTCAGAATATTTCAAAACAGCCTTCTTCAACAAATTTACAGCTGTCTCCTAATTAAAAATGTTCCAAATTTTGTTTGATTCCTATTTGAAAATGTTCACTAACCACTGATTTTCTCTAACCAGCCTTTGAACAACCGAGATCTGGAGGCGTGTTGTTTGTTGATTTTGTATCGAGGTACAGATGTGACTCTATAGGGAATCTTACATTGGTAGAGAATACATGGCTGTATTCTACTGTTTATATACACAAGGTCAATTATATGGTTAAAGATCGTTTGCTGAAATGTCTTATTTCTTGTATGGGTCTTTGAGAATTGAAAAGACAAACCAATTAGGGGTGAGGGGTAAACTTAGTGGTGTGACCCAAATGGTCGTCGAGAATGTGACATTTTTTGGTATTATTTGTAAACAAGAAACTGCTTGTATTTTCTAGTTTACTGAAAGTGCTAAAGATTCCTGATTATGATTATGTTGACATATTTTTTCTAATTTACGGAAAGTTCCGAAGGATACCTGTAAACATTCCCAGAATTCCACCGTATACTAGGAACATGATGTAACTGGAGAAGTATGCGCACGCTGCAGTAGAAATAGCACCAATTATAAGTGTCGTTCCATGAAGGAAGAGAGTGTTGACGAGGCTCCTGTCAACAAGAACACCTGCTACAGCTCTCGCGATAATTCCTGTTAGGAGAAATACATGAAATACGATTTTAATTACCATCCTTACAGATTTTGACAGACAGAAGGGAACGCCGGGAAATGGTGGTCGAGTGGCACAGTGGTAACGCACTCGTCTCTAACTTGATAACTCATCTGCCATGTGAGAGGAAGACCCTTCGGGAGCTCCCATTTAATCCCATAAGAATGAATATTTCAATTACTACTCATTAGACAAGTTGGACTGACGAAACAAGATTCTTTGTGGCATGGATACACAAGAAGAATCTAAAGACACTCCGTAAAACTGACTGCCGTCAGGATCGAAGGGATGCAGGACTCCACCATGGAATTAAGTATTCTTCCACGTAGCTGTCTGAGAATTGAATTTTTATTATTTCTAAATATATAGACAAAATCAATTAAAACAACTTCTTAGTGTTTTTTTATTATTATTTTAGAATAACAAATATTTCCGCTGGTTTCTTGATCTCAGAAATTACAAAAAATTAAGTTCAGAGTTCTTTTTTTTAATCATGAAAAGTGTCCTAGAAAATTTCTCTATCCGAACATAAAGTCTTCAGAAATAGTTCAATACCAGAAGATGGTAAATAAAGGATTTGAGAAATTTTGGAACATTTTCAGATTTTGTTTGCTATGTAGTTTAAAGCTCATTAAATCAAAGAAAGCATCTTCACGTAATTTCTTTCTTTATACCCCAGTATCACACCCTTACATTTATTAGAGGACAAAAGATTTTAAAGAAAGCTTGTCGCGAAAAGAAAAGAGAATAGCTGCTGTCCTGAAAAATCCCTACGAACTATATATGGAAATGAATAATTTCCCGTTACACATTCTGACGCCTGTACCGGGATAACAGTAGTGCGGAAACATTGATTGTTTTGCTTTCAATCTAATCTACCTTTTAAAATAAAAAATCATCATAATAAAAAAAAGTTTGATACTGTTTTATTGTTTGTCTCAGAGTACATCCTGCTGGATTTGTTCAAATAAATTCAAATAAACAGACGTAACTGAAATACAAGCTTCGACTCTTGTTTCGGTCGATATCACGTGGTGATGAATTGAGTTGGTCTAGAGACAAATTATTGAACTGAGAAGCAGAGTGAACTCATCACCCTGTGAAATCGAACAAAGCAAGATTCAATGCTTATGTTTCAGTTATGACGTTTTGTTTTTAAAAGTTTGAACAAATCCAACATTTGAGGATGTTCTCCTCCGAGACATACATATATACTAAAAGGATAAAGAAACGCAGGGTGAACTTTAAACCAGAAATTAAGTATGATATCGGGCTTCATTTAAAACGAAATTTTGTATACTTACAGATAAATTAAAGCTTAAAAATTTCTGAAGTCTGTATTCTGCATCTGACAATTGGTTTAGAGGTACTAACGATTTAATTGAATGGACCCATAGGATTTTGAAATTGAAATTGTACTGAGTCATCAATATCTTGTGTGTCCGCCGTTTGCTGTGGTCACGGCCCTTATTCTTCTGGTCATAGAGTTCATGAGAGCGTTAATCCGTCTTATGGGGATGTTGTCCCACTCTTCAATCAGAACTCTGGTCAACTGCTCTCGAGTAGCAGGGGTGGTTGGCGTTTTCGAACCTGTCTATCCAACTGGTCCCAAAGATGCTCGATCGGGGACAAATCACGGCTATATGGCGGCCAATCTAGTGGTTGAATGTTGTTGTTGGTTAGAAAGACTTTGCAAATCCTTGATACGTGGGGCCTAGCATTATCCTGCTGGAGGGTTAGATTATGAAGCAGTTGGTCTGTATAAAGACTAACGAAGAGTGACTTGACCAACGCTGCATGAGACCAGAACAACACGGTGCACAAGATTCTTGTTTTCTCCCTCCTCCATTTACCAGAGCTCAGAGCTGCGCACTGTACCGTGACTAAATTTTCGATACATGACAAGGTGTAATATGACCTTTTTACTCAATCCACAAAGTTTCACTTTATTTGGAGAATGCGTTTTCAAAATATCGGAATAAATATTACCCTGCGTTTCTTTATCCTTTCAGTATATATTCTATCAGTTGTTATGTCATAAATGTTGTGAACGAAATTAAGTTTATGGGTTTTTTTTTTGTCAAATTTAAGCAAACACTCACCCGTCACTCCGGCAACCGTGGTGATAAAAGGAACCTGGAGAGATGAGACACCTTTTTCCGCCGCCATGGCTGGCACTAATACGTAGGGAACCATGTACCCAAGAGTTCCGAATGATGAGTACAGACAGAACAGGGTGAAATCCGAGATGCTAAAAATGGCCTTTAACTCCGCCTTGATTGTTGCGATTTTAACAAGTGTCCCCTCGTTCTCCTCTATATTAATAGAACATTTTATCTATAAATAGATATAGATGCTTTTGAAAATGATTTACATGATGAAATGTAGTGAGAAACAGAAATAAAATATCAATAAAGATGAAGAGCAATGACTCATTTTGAAGGTAGAAAATGGTTTATTAAAGAATAACGAAATATTTGCTTAGTGTTTTGTATATCTACCTTGTGGCTTGGTTTCAAGTGGTCGAAAGAGGGCGCCACATACAACTCCCTGGAGACCTATACCGCCAAGCAAGAGAAAAGTGCCTCTCCACCCGTACGTTTCGATCCAGATCGTGGTAAGGAAAGGTGTAGATAGAAGAGACGCTGGAGATCCAATAGTAAGAATAGTCAGGGCCAGTCGTGACTTGTCAAAGTGTGTATTCACCGCCACCACCGCCGAGTGGAATACCATACCATTGCCGATACCTAGAAGTGTTTAATGCCTTGGTATTATAGAACTCAAATGCCAACAGATTCTTCATTCAAACTCAAATTCAAACCGTGGCAAAGTATTAACAAATGAAATGTTTACAAGGAGAACCCGACCAGGTGTTCATAAAGACTAAGCATCTTCTGCTTCATCGTTGACACTCGTTAATAAACGAACCCTAACTCTCGCAAACTCATGAACCTACACAGTAGTACGGTATGGACTTACACAACAATCAAAGTCATGAACCTACACAGTAGTACGGTATGGACTTACACAACAATCAAACTCATGAACCTACACAGTAGTACGGTATGGACTTACACAACAATCAAAGTCATGAACCTACACAGTAGTACGGTATGGACTTACACAACAATCAGTCATGAACCTACACAGTAGTACGGTATGGACTTACACAACAATCAAAGTCATGAAAATTTGCACAAAGCTTTGTATCCCAACCCTGTGGTACAACGGTTATCTTAAGAAGCACTTGTTCTATATCCTCCTTTATAAAAGCACTACATTCCCGTCTCCTACTCCAAGTTCTTCAGTTACACACCATAACAGCATGTGGTGACAACAATGTTCTAATCCGCATTGCAAAACTCTATTCGGACGACAGAAAATTATGCCTAAAATAAAGTTTGTGACACTCTCCTTAGCATTGCAACTAGGCATGGATCAAAGTGTTGTTTCAGCTATATCAGTTCCAATATATCGAAAAAAATGTTTTGATAAATAAGCTCTTACGAAAAAAGATTTACTTCTGAAAACATCTAAGTCACATGTCACGTGTCATTTGTATCAGTTGATTACTCCTTATCTATGTTGGTATTCCCCAAGGACTTGGACTGACCTAGATTTACATGGCAGATGTCGTCGATGAAGCAGAAGACGCTCACTTTTCTGGAACACCTGGTATTATTCTCATCGTACTTTTTCAGAAGTCTTTGTGTAAATATTTCTCGTGTTCATACAACTGTATGTTGTCCTTGTTTTAATGAATTTGAAATTGGATTATGATAAGTTGACATGTTGGTATTGTCTTGTTTTTTTCGATTCCTATAACATGGTAAAGACCGATGTTACACTGAAATATCGATCGCGGTCTCCATCTTGTTTGAGTAACGTACATATTTTCAGAAATGCGATATATTTAACCTTAAGCCATCACACATGCGCACCTGTTATAGTCCCGTAAGTCAGGTAAAGCTCGTGCACGTCTCCAACAAACATACTGGAAACCATTCCCATTGATATCAACAAGGCCCCTGTGATCGCCACCGCGCGACAACCAATCAGCTTCACCAGGACACTGGACGCCGGTCCTGCCAATCAACAAAATGTCATTCATAAGATATCAGAACAAGAGTTAACGATTACATCAAGGTGTGAAGAAGCAAAGAAGGCGGAAAGATAAGAAAGTTATTCCCTCATACTCGATAGATTTTTAAAAGTTTTTGTACGTGTATATAAAAATTGCACTGCCTCAGAGCGAAGTGATTAGTACTATAAGGTATGCATTCTGTTTATTTTTAAGACTTCGTGTTTAAATATATACCAGGAGACTTTTTTACGTCAACAAATTGCCATTTGACGCCATATTGAATGCAATCCAAGCAAGATATGTTCAAGTGGGGGAAGCAACGATGGTTCTCTACGAGAACGTGTCTACCTGCATTAGTCAATCTTTCCGACGATAGCTGTGATTCTAGAAAATTGTACGATAAGTGATAAGAACCTATCAATATAAATTGAGTATGCGATACTGTACAAGAAATTAATGAAATACACTACATCTTCCTTCTAGGGATGTTAAAGGCCTTTTTATGCCGATGGTTAAACTAGTTTTGTCGACATGGATTGCATACTATCAATTTATATACAGTATACATTTATTAATCTCAGACTTTATGTGTAATTTTATGAAAGCTTGAAATTTTGTAGAATGATATATTTAAAATCATGCAATAAACAGGTCAGATAAAGGTTGGATTCTGAGTTCAAGCTGTCCCAGGCTAACCAGGTAATTTGTTGATTTCTATTCCGCTTTAACCGCTTTGGATTTTCATATACAACATTACAAATCGCTCGCTCGCTTTGATAAAAAACGCGTTTTTTAGGGGATGAATAAATAGATGAACATAATTTATCTTTATCAAAGTGGTCGGGCAGGTGACCGCATACCTTTTCCCGACCATTCAGGGAATCGAACCCCGGACGGATAGATGAAAGACTAGTGTGTTACCATGTGTCACCCTACCATCCATTTTCGGAAATGTTACATACATGATGGAAAATTATAGGACATTTATCTGAACTTAGATATAACTCGTTTGTGCCATTTGTCGGTTTAAATGTACCATCAATAAGTGTTGTCCACTTCAGTAATTTTATGGTAGTGAACTATGATCACACGTGACTTGATTGAAACATGACCATATAAGGCCGACAAACGATGAAGTAACATCGGTGTTCGCGTGTATTGGTTACAATGAAATGACAACACCGTACTTAACGACGGGAACCTGTATCTCTGAACAAAGGTGACAATGGACTCGAACTTTAATTTGAATGGTTATGTACTTAGGGACTATATCATTATAATGTTTCACTGGGCTAGCCTCTAACAAGCGTTCATCTCCATTACTAATGGTGTGTACAAGCGTTCATCTCACCATGACTAATGGCGCGGTCACGCTGACTTTCTGTTTTCAACTCATGCGATTTTCGTATTATTTCCAGCTGATGTTTCGTTGTTGTGCGTTGATCAGTGTGAAGCGTTAAAGTCTTTTATCATAAAAAGGTTGTTTTTATATTCATTATTGATTTCACTTGATCGAAAGGGAGATTAAATAATCAAATGGTACGGAAAAAGCCTGTTGGAGGACATTTAAATAAGGCACGCGACACGGATTCCTTAACCGTTGTTATCATCTACGGCTTCTATATATCGTAATTATACAAATTCACACTTTTTTGTCTAAAGCTTTTGATAGAACCATGAACATTTGAACCATAAGCTTGAAGTACCTTTTCACTTCTAATTCAATATATAGCAGATATTCACATATAAAGACATGTATATATATGTGTGGAGAGAGAGAGAGAGAGAGAGCAGAAGCAGACATATACGGAAACGTATAGGGGACATAAGTTCCTAACATAAATGCACTATAGATATTTGTAATATCCTCATTTACGGACATAATTGTTTTCATCTTGGGATAGATAATTTAACATACCACAGTTTATCCTTATATCTGACATTCAAATCAAACGACTTGGGTACATAAATCTACTTATCTTAAGGAAATATATGTCGGGAATGCAAAACGCTATTATTCCATTTTCTGACATAATGGATTGTATATTATTCTAAGTCGTATTTACAGTTTAATATATATATCTTAAGATAAGTTAAATTGTCTTTGAGATAGTAACACTTTAACTCAATATACAACAAGTTAGATAAATAAAATGGATGTTGGAATACAAGATGTAAGTTGATGTATTGATATTTGTCTTAAAGTATGCAATAATAGTCACTATATCGATAAAAGTCGACTTGTCGATTTATGACATCAAATACTTTATATTAATGTCGATTTTCTTGATTTAACAGAATGAAAACTATTGCTTATTAATTATGAACTGTACCTTACTTTGCAGCTACATATTTCCTCAGTTACTCTGATCTCTACCACTCTCTATTCTGACTGTTTCGTCCGAACTGTACTGTTTACGTATATATATATCACATGTCGACTTACATAAATAGACGGACATTTTTCTTCATGTAAACATAATTTGACTAATTATTTTTTCACGACAATTCTCCGGTAACAAGTTATAAAGCGCAGACTTAGGAAGAGGTCGGATTATCAGCATAAACATATAAAAACAGTGTGGATTATCAACATACACATAAAATAACAGTGTGGATTATCAACATAAAATAACAGTGTGGATTATCAACATACACATAAAATAACAGTGTGTATTATCAACATACACATAAAATAACAGTGTGGATTATCAACATACACATAAAATAACAGTGTGGATTATCAACATACACATAAAATAACAGTGTGGATTATCAACATACACATAAAATAACAGTGTGGATTATCAACATAAACATAAAATAACAGTGTGGATTATCAACATACACATAAAATAACAGTGCGGATTATCAACATAAAAACAGTGTGGATTATCAACATAAACATAACAGTGTGGATTATCAGCATAAACATAAAATAACAGTGTGGATTATCAGCATAAACATAAAATAACAGTGTGGATTATCAACATAAAATAACAGTGCGGATTATCAACATAAAATAACAGTGTGGATTATCAACATAAACATAAAATAACAGTGCGGATTATCAGCATCAACATAAAATAAGAGTGCGGATTATCAACATACACATAAAATAACAGTGCGGATTATCAACATAAAAACAGTGTGGATTATCAACATAAACATAACAGTGTGGATTATCAACATAAACATAAAATAACAGTGAGGATTATCAACATAAAATAACAGTGTGGATTATCAGCATAAAAAACTGTGTGGATTATCAACATAAAATAACAGTGTGGATTATCAACATAAAATAACAGTGCGGATTATCAACATAAAATAACAGTGTGGATTATCAACATAAAATAACAGTGTGGATTATCAGCAAAAAATAACAGTGCGGATTATCAACATAAACATAAGATAACAGTGTGGATTATCAGCATAAAATAACAGTGTGGATTATCAGCATAAAAAAACAGTGTGGATTATCAACATAAACATAATTATAACATTGCGGATTATCAGCATGAAATAACAGTGCAGATTATCAGCATAAACATAAAATAACAGTGCGGATTATCAGCAGAAAATAACAGTGTGGATTATCAACATCAACATAAAATAACAGTGCGGATTGTCAGCATAAAATAACAGTGTGGATTATCAGCATAAACATAAAATAACAGTGCGGATTATCAGCATAAACATAAAATAACAGTGTGGGTTATCAGCATAAACATAAGATCAGAGTGTGGATTATCAACATCAACATTAAATAACAGTGTGGATTATCAACATAAAATAACAGTGCGGATTATCAACATAGAATAACAGTGTGGATTATCAGCTAAAAATAACAGTGCGGATTATCAGCATAAAATATCAGTGCGGATTATCAACATACACATAAAATAACAGTGCGGATTATCAACATAAAATAACAGTGTGGATTATCAGCTTAAAATAACAGTGTGGATTATCAACATCAAAAATTAAATAACAGTGCGGATTATCAACATAAAATAACAGTGCGGATTATCAGCATAAAATAACAGTGTGGATTATCAACATCGAAAATTAAATAACAGTGCGGATTATCAGCATAAAATGACAGTGCGGATTATCAGCATAAAATATCAGTGCGGATTATCAGCATAAACATAAAATAACAGTGTGGATTATCAACATAAAATAACAGTGCGGATTATCAGCATAAAATAACAGTGTGGATTATCAACATCAAAAATTAAATAACAGTGCGGATTATCAGCATAAAATGACAGTGCGGATTATCAGCATAAAATATCAGTGCGGATTATCAGCATAAACATAAAATAACAGTGTGGATTATCAACATAAAATAACAGTGCGGATTATCAGCATAAAATAACAGTGTGGATTATCAACATCAACATAAAATAACAGTGCGGATTATCAGTATAAACATAAAATAACAGTGCGGATTATCAGCATAAACATAAAATAACAGTGTGGATTATCAACATAAAATAACAGTGCGGATTATCAGCATAAAATAACAGTGTGGATTATCACATTATTAGCATAAAATAAAGGTGCAGATTATCAGCATAAACATAAAATAACAGTGCGGATTATCAGCATAAAATAACAGTGTGGATTATCAACATCAACATAAAATAACAGTGCGGATTATCAGCATAAACATAAAATAACAGTGTGGATTATCAGCATAAACATAAGATAAGAGTGTGGATTATCAGCATCAACATAAAATAACAGTGTGGATTATCAACATAAACATAGAATAACAGTGCGGATTATCAACATAAAATAACTGCGGATTGTCAGCATAAAATAACAGTGTGGATTATCAACATAAACTTAAAACAAACAGTGTGTATTATCAGCATACACATAAAATAACAGTGTGGATTATCAACATAAACATAAAATAACAGTGCGAATTATCAACATGAAATAACAGTGCGGATTATCAGCATAAAATAACAGTGTGGATTATCAACA